GTGTGTATATATATTTATGTATATAAAATTCCTAGTATGGAATTTTATTAAGCTTAATCATTTAAAAATTGCTACTGTGTAGTACTAGCCACAAATAACCCATGTTAAAATATTTAGAGCCGGTTGTGGTGGCGCACGCTGGTAGGATTTGCTGAAGGAGGCAGAGGCAGGAGGATCACGAGTTCTAGGCCAGCCTGGGCTACACATTTTCGGCCTGGGCTACAGAGCGAGTTCCAGGACAGCCTCCAAAACAATACAGAGAAACCCTGTCTCAAAAAAAAATTTAGATAGGCCGTCTGTGTTCCTTGGTTTTAAAATTGCAATATAAAATATTTGTCGGTGGAGAAAAAAAACTAAAAGTTTTGTCTAGAAGGACCTATTTGTGGTTTTGCTTTTTGTTTACTTTGGCTATTGTCTGCAAGGTCTTGGCAGGTTCTTCAATGTGTGCCAGTCTTAGAACATGATATTATCAAGAAAGTAGATTTAACATCTTTTTAAAAAGAAAAAAAAGGTGGTGTTTTGAAAGAGAAGCACCTTTTCCTGTAAAAGTTGATGGGCAATCAGCTGTACTTACGAGTCAGTATCTCTGGTGTTTGGGCTCTAGTGCACAGGTGCTGATGCTCCAGCCGCTCACAGGGCCCGGAATCTCAGAGCAGGACTTTACTAGCTTTCCCAGAACCAGTGCCACTGCTCAAGCTCACAACGCTCTGAACCGCTGATGTCTTTCTAGAGAGGGTCCTAGATGGACACTTTGAACAAAGCTTGCACCATCTCACTTTTGTGCAGAAAAGCCTCCATGCACTTTCTGACTGTCCCTAAATTGTGTTCCAGATGTAGTCAAGATGAGACTTGTCAGGTGTATCCCTTATCTGGACACCATGGGAGATTCCAGTTTAATGCCTTTAAATTCTTGAGACATCTGAACTCTGTGTATCTGAAGTGTAAGATCTTGGTCTGTGATACCAATGACCAAACGTCTCGCTGCTATCAAGGCTGTACCTCAAGGAGGAAACGAGATATTTCTTCATACAAGTGGAAGGCTGATTCTGTCATAGGACCAATTCGCCTGAAGAGGGATCGAAGTGCAAGTGGAAACTCAGGCAAGAACACACTACTTATGATCTAAGGACATAGAGCTGTGTGACTCATAAAATGTAGCTCAAATCTGTTGTTCCTGAGATGTACAGTTTAGAGGCTTAAAGCAGAAACTCTAGCAAACGAATGACTAAGCACACAAGATGAATACTTCCATCATATAAGCATATATAAATGCATAGCACACTGTACTATGCCATCTGTGCAACTTTTAAGCGTGCATATGTACTATTTCTAAAAGGAAATTTCCTTTAGTTTCCCAGTTCCTTGTTATAGATGTCTAAGCAGACAACCAAATTAGAAGAAAAACCCTATTTTTCTGAATGAGGGAAAAAGTTAACCAGTGTCCACATCAGAGCCTATTTGGGGAAATAGTTATCTTTTCACAGTAGACAATATCATATTAACATAGGACAACCTACTTACTTCTGGGCATATTGAAACTTGATAGGCTGCATAGGAAAGACTCAAAGACAGTCCAGAGTTAAATGGCCTAAGATAAAACATAAATATAATGAATTCAGACTGTTTGAGAATTATCTCCCTCTATTAAGTTGATATTACATATTATTAATTCATGCATAAGTTTCATAGGGCATAGCATGACATTATGAATACTACCAAAAAGGTGTAATACTAATACTAAAACTATTTCCTATTCCAGGACTTCTGCCTCAGACACATGCAGCAGAAACTCCAAAGCAACCTCTCAGCCATCTGCACCTCTTTTCCTTCATGGTCCTTGCCCTCAATGTGGTGATTGTGGGAGTAGCAACAGTGAGGCATTTTGTGAATCAACGGAGGGATCACAGATACCAGAGGCTATACTAGCTGTTGACCCTAAGAAGAACCCTTGTCTTCTCAAGGGTGCTGGATGAAACAGATTCATATGGCTACAAGGATTAGGAATAAACCAGGAAGGCCTGAACAGTCAACACACATACCTTTATGCTCATGTCAAGGTGACAGTGTGTTTCATTATGAGATGGCTGAAATAAATAAATATTGTATCTGGCCACCTTTTTTGGATGCAGTCTCATTATGGAACTCTGACTGGCCTGGAACTTGTTATGTGAACCAGGCTGACCTTGACTTCACAGAGGTCCTGCCTCTGCCTCCCCAGTGCTGGGACAAAAGGTGTGAGCCACTAGGTACAACTCAGCTTCCTTTTTAGATGCTAAGTAAAATGTGTCATCTACAAAAGTTAAAAAACAAATGCAAATATGCTACCCTTTGAATGACCAAAGGCTATAATTTGAAACTGAAGAAGATCCATTGCTGCTGTGCAGTCTGAGTACCTTGCCTTGGGCAGTTCACAAGGGGCCTTTGGTGGGCAGAACCTGATGGTAAAATGAGACTTCAGACTGCTTTCTGAGTTATGACATAAAACATTCCTCTTCTGTTTCCTGTGGATCTGAGCAGATGTTATTGAAGGCCCTGAAACGAACTACTTTTTACCTGCCAACACCAAAGCTAATTATGTTAGACAAAAAAATAAAACCCCGTTTTTCCAGTAAACAACACATACTTTCATGTTCCAGATAGATCTCAGCAGGTAGCTGCATCCCAGAATGCCAAAGGGCTTGGTATTTGCTTCTTTTTATGTTATGTTACGTTTCCTTCTATAAATATGTATCATGTACACCACGTATTATAGGGAATCTGCTGATGTACGACGGATATAAAAGATACCACCCAAGTCCTTACAGGTTTGCTGATTTCCCTGCCCTAAATCAAAGCAGGTGTCCCTCACTTACTTAACAACTTAGTGCTAATCTTTCAAAGGCTTCCCAAATATTCATGTAACAATTCTCCTCTCTGTCTGCCCATATAATCTAAATCTCACTGCCACAAACTCCTTTTTAATATAACACAGAAACACCTAAAAGTTTCACTAGTCGTAGGCAGATCATGTTGAATTTTTTTAAAGATTTATTTATTTTTATTTCACATGTAAGTGTGTTTTACCTGCATATATGTATGTGTACCATGTGTGTGCTGGTGCCTGGGAAGGCTGAGAAGAGGGTATTGGATATCCTGGAACTGGAGTCAGACAGCTGTGAAACAGCTGCCATGTGGGTGCTGGGAGCTTAGCTTGGGTCCTCTACAAGAGCAGCAAGTGCTCTAAACTGCTGAGCCATCCCTCTAGCTTCACATTAAGTTCTTAAGATAACACAACTGTCTGGTCTGGTCACTACCTGTCAGCCATCTCACTATCAGGAATTGATTATAAATTCTGTGTTGGCCATCATGATAGATATTCAGAGACACTACAGGCATGAATAAGCCATTCTAAGAAAACTATCACCTATTGAGACTCTGTGGAGAGTGTAGTCACTGTTACTATAGTAAAGTGATCAAAGGTTCTAGGCCTAGAGTCAGTGCACTAGGAATGGTCCTTACCCCTTTCCTATATAGATCTACTGTCCAGGCTACCTTCACCTTCTGTCTCTAGAATTTGCCCAAATGGATGATAGGGGTTAGCATCATCTGGGGATATGGTAAATGAAGGAGAGAATTTTCTAGCAACCAGGGACATCTGTGCTCCACTCGCCACCTGTGAAGAGTCATCTTTGGATAAGAGCTGCTCAAATGGAGCTGTGGACTGGGACAGGGCAGCAGCCTTTATGGAAATTTCTAGGAAACAGTGGTGCTGAGCCCCTAGTCAGTGGCACTCCCAGAAGCCTAGAGAATAAGTGCCTGTACTTTAGGGGCATTTGATGTCACCTCTGGACACCTACTAACTTTTCTTCCTAAAACATGACTTTTAGAATGTCTCCCAAAGCAAAATCCATTTCTAAGCTTTATCAGGAGACCTACTTAACCAAGCTTTTCAGAAAGGAATACAAAGGGATAGGCATGGAACACCAGGCACATGCCAATCAGAGGGCCAGAGGTGGTCTAGCCTCCCCGGTTTTCTCTGCCTCCCTGAGTTGATCACCTCACTCCCGGCTCTCCACTGAGCCTGCCCAGAATGAAAGGATTCCAGTTTCTTTCTAAATAGGAGTGGGAGTGGCAGGCCAGGCTCCTACCCGGTCAGCTCTGATAGGCGCAGACAGGGCCTCACTGCTGCCTACAGGTGATGAGCACCTCAGACTCCATTCTGCCTTCTCTGAAATCATTCTGTCCTCGTAGGGAATGGAGGCAAGACTCCTTGTCTCATTTTTGTAACCAAACTGAAATGGTCTCTAAGGTAATGTGAGTTGTTCATCAATTTTCCACCTCAGTACCACAGAGTCAGCCCCCAGGTCCCACCAGACACTGCCTTCCTCCCTTCAGAAGGTCATTCTGTCATCTTCTTTCTCACATGCTCTTTAGCAGCAGAGCCCCCAAACAATTTCTTGGATAAAGATGAGTACTCGTTCTAAATATTTCTACTGAGTATTTCTGGACAGCAGAAAGAACAAAATCATTCTGTTCAAATCTGTTCTGAATCCATGTTCTGAAAGAGACTGCACTGAGCAGGATCACATGCTCAAAGCCAATGTGGGGTAGGCAGTGAGACCTTGTCTCCAAAGGTAAAACAAAACAGAGTGAAGCACAGCCTGCTTCTCCTTCCAGGAAACACGGACATTAAAGCAAGGGCAGTCCTCTGCTTCAGGAACAGAACATTACTGACCCGTTCTTGTTTGCTCTTCAGCTTTCTTGGGTGGTTTTCAGGGTCCCCAGATGTTTTGAGAGCATGACTGTGTGCACACGAGGATCTCACAGAGAAGCCCTGTCTTCTTATGACTGCTTAAACCCTCTCATTTGCAAGCTGAAAGTTAGACCCCCAGAAGCTAGGCTCTGATTAGTTCCTTTCAGAACAAAGCAGCTGGATGAAAGAAACTTTTGAAAGTTGTCATCAATGGCTTGTGTCATTCAGTTGTTCCGCTTAAAAGAATTTAAAGAAAATGAACAGTGACTTCCTGGAAAATGATTTATTTTTTTTACAAGATTACTTGCAAGATCTGGTAATGAATTTTCACATTTCCAGAAGAACAGATAGAGGCCCACCCACCTATCAGCACCCAAAGTAGACATTTAAAAACCATCTTTAACTGCCCACGGGGTAAAGAGAGAACCTTGCTTTTTCTAATGTTTTGTACATTTTAAGACAATGATCAACTTCTTAAGAGCAAAGAACAACAAAATCAGCTTTCTTTTTTCTTTTTTCTTTTGGCTGCAAACAGAGCAACTGCCTGTTTGCAGTTGCTCAGGATTATTTAGTGACAAACCCCAGAGAAGCATCCCCTTGGGTTTTTCCACCCATCTAAATGGATAGTGTAGACAGTGAGGTCGATGCGTGTCTTCCGAGTGACCAAACAGTGCTTCCTGGTAAGAATCAGACCTTGCTTCCGGTTTCCTGACACACTCGTGCGAGAGCGAGAGAGATCACCCCAGGGCCTCGCTTTGATTACCTGCTCTGTGGATCTTCAGTGGACCCACTGTTTGGAAATACTCAGTTTGCTCTTCCCTGACCTCTGCAGAGCCCGTGCCTCTCCTTCCCCGCCTTGTACAGTCTTGTGAGCACCGGGAAGAGTAGTCCCCGAGTCGGCAAACAGCAACGTTACACTGCAGGTAAACCACATCATAGTTTTTGAGGAAGCTGAAGGCGTTGAACTTGAACTGGGCCACGTTCTTCCCAGGGCTATGAAGGTTGGAGTAGGAATTGTCTTTGATGCATCTGACGGGGAGAAAAACCCAGACCTAAAAGGTTAACTAGTGCATGATATGAATTTTCTCCAGCCCATATAACCAAACTTGATGCTAAGGTTCTGAATCCCAAATGGAGTTCTTTCCACTACCCTCCTTTTTATGAAGCAACTAATACTACTCTACTATACCACTACTATGACTTTAACACCATTGTTAATGGAAACCCTATACCTGGTCGTAAAGGGAACTGTTAAATACAGTGAAAACAAGTCAAGGTTTTAACTGCAACCTTTGCTTTCTAGGTATACCCTATTTTGTCTAAAGGGAGGGTAGTCAGGTAGATGTTACATTTTAAATATACTTAGATGCAGACCAGTGAATGAGTACTTGGCCTTCTAGCATTCCCAGTGCCCTGAGTTCAATTCCCAGCACTATCCAAGAAAGCATATTGTAAATCATAGGGTGATAAGTGTTGCATCAAGAGGAGATAAAATATAGTTATGTAAAATGTGCAGTTAAAAAGAATCAGAGAAGTCAGAAAAAGGGGTAGGCATAGGGCAGGGAAAGACAAAAGACAAATGTGATGAATGGTGGAGGATTCTAATCTAACTGCTTGGATAAAAACGTTAAATAAGAATAGTTCATATTTACACCAATGTAAAGACAGAAGAATAGACTATAAAATAATACACAAAACATCTGACTATATGTTCTTTAAAAGACAGTCACTTTACATATAAAGACAATAAACTGGAATGGAGTGGAAAACAGTACAGCAGCTGTTCGTCTTACTCAGAACAAACTTCAGAGAGAGCCAAATTGTCAGGGACAAGATGGGTGCTTTACAACTACAAAAGAAAGGGTCAATTCTCTAAGAAGAGATCCTTAACCAAGATAATAGAAGCAAGGAATACTCTTTATCCAAATATAATAATTGCTAATATAATGCACCATCAAGCAGAGCATTAAAATGTAGGAGGCAAAGAGCACTGCAGTGGGATACTGGCAATCCCTATTATAACTGGATGCTTCAATATCCCTCCATCAACTGGTAGGTCCAGTGGGCAGAAAGCCAGTAAGGGTACAAATGACTTAAGGGGTACGATTAATCTACTAGATCTTGTCGGCATTGATTAAACAATCTGTCCAACAAATTCCTCTCAAGTCCAGGTAGAACATTCACTAAGACAGACCACATTCTGGGCCATAGGGCATTCTTAAATAGTCTTAAAAGGATAGAAATACATTCTCAGGTAGCAATGGGATTAAACTTGAAATGAATGGCAGTGGTATTTCTAGAAAATTCTCAAATGCTTGAGAGTAAACAGTATACTTCCTGGTAACTGTTGTATAAAAATGTCCTAAGAGAAATTTAAAACTGTTTTGAATGAAGGGAAAATGATTCCTGTGGTGGTACGGATGGCAATAGCCCATAGAGTCTCATTTTTGAATACTTGGTCCCTAGTTGGTAGAACTATTTGGGAAGCCTTGTTGGAGGATGTGTCTCACTGGGAGTGGGTTTTGAGGTTTCAAAAGATTAGTGCCATTCCCAGTGTACTCTTTCTGCCTCCTACTTTTGAATCAAGACGTGAGTTCTCTGCTCTTCCTGCCACCGTCCCTTCACTCTATCATTATGGACCCTAATCCTCTAAAACCATAAGCCAAATTAAACACTTTCTTTACAAGTTGCCTTGATCATAATGTTTTGTCACAGCAATAGAAAAGTAAATAACATGATACCCAACTTATCAAAATTTGTGGGATACAGTTAAGACAACACTAGGAGGGATTTATAGTATTAAAATGCATATAATTTATAAAGATACCAATCAATCTAAGATTTAAAGGCTAGAGAAAGGGGAGCAAATTAGCCTAAAGCAAGAATATCATGCTAGCTATGAAGTTCTGACTCCTAACTGAACTTCTCACCTTAATAATTTGATCATAAGGAGGGTCAGAAGGGAAGAACCTTCTCCTCCTAGAGCTCTTTCTAGTCTATGCATCTCACGCCACAGCTCACAGACACCTGTGGCAGGTGCTGGCTTGCTCCTCTGAGGAACTTTGTTAGCAGATGTCTCACTGTTCCCCGTGGGCTTAAGGCAGCTATGACTCCTACCACACTAAAACTGTCATTGAGTAAATAATGCATTTTTTAACTAGTTGCCAGTTATCCCATTCAAGAACATTCAGCACCCATCCTCCAGGCATGACCACTGCCAACTCGAAATCAGAACTGCTGGGATCATCCATACCCAGGAGACTCCCTTACCAGGCCATTGACATTCCTTCATACAGGGAGGGAGTGGAAAGGCCATTCCAGCCACTCCCTCCTACCCAACCCCAGGTATATTCAATCTCAGGAGCGCTGGAGTATATAGAAGGTAGAAGGTTAACTGAAGGGGCCTCTATCTGTTCAGCAGTATTAACAGGGATGGGTGTGCCATCCATGCTGAGGTGGCACACTTGGGGTCACCTGTGCAGCTCCTCACTCAAGCTTCTGCAAATAAGCCCAGAGAACTTACTGGTTTACCAAGCTGGACTTGGATGAAGTTTTTCTTTGGGAGGTGGGTGTTGTCCTTCATGCTATCTGGAGCAAACAGACACTTGTGTATGTTCCCCAGAGAAAGCAGTGCAATAGCACCTGATAAAAAATGAAGGAGCCGCAGAGGCAAACAAACTTGCCAAGGTTTTCACTTGGCAAAGCACTCGGTGAACCAAACCAGCCAGAAGACACCTGGCTAGTTTAAACAAGAGCTTATTTTGGAAAAACATATCGACCTATCATTGTGAGCCAAAGTCCCGAAGGTTTGTCCTAGAAAGGAAGGAAGGATTATGCCAGAAAGGGTGGGGAGCAAAGCCCTGGATGGGGTCTTTGAGGAGTGTCACTCCCATGCGCAATCTCAACTGCAGACTGGCCATCCACTTTGAGGTAGTCTAGACTGCTGTATTCCCCACTGTGAACAGAGGTCTGGTAGGGGCACCCGAAACCCTCTGACTTAGGATTCCAGGCTCAGAAACTGCAGGTTCCCCAAGAGAAACCCATGCACATTTAAAATCAGCTGGGCGAGAGTTTCCACATTCCTTACCCTTCCTGGATCAAATCATGTTTGAGAGTTGTGAAATCTCTGGGGTCAGGAGAAGCCACACAGGTATCCACGATGAGCCTCAGATTGGGATTGTGGCTGTGGAGGGTGGCCTGGAGGAAGACCTCTTCCCTCTGACGGGTGTGAGAAGGCCCTCCAACCCCCATACTCTGAGATTCAGGTGACTGGAGGAATGCAATTGATACATCATAGCCGACGTCGTCCTTCTGAGTGTCACTCCCGTGCACAATCTCAACTGCAGACTGGCCATCCACTTTGCAGGTGAACTTGACCTGGGGCACCTTGTGCCTCACAATGACTCGGCCAGGGTGGCCTTGTGTTCTGCCTCTGATGGAATTGGAGTAGCTGAGAGAGCCTTGATGTTCCTGTGGAAATGAGAGAATTGGCAGGCTGTGTACTTGGTGCCTTGGTACTATCTTTTCTATAGCAGATATAGCAGAGCTCCCTCCTTCTAATATGTGCCAAGTGCCAGATTCATGACATACTTGAGGACTGGAGTCCCTGGCTGGACCATTGTAGTAACAGCAGGAAGGTGTGTGTGTGAGTGCGAGTGTGAGTGTGTGTGTGTAGGGGGGGTTGTCCCTTAGTGAGGACTGCTCCTTCTTCCTGTAATAGCCAATCTGTAGAACTTTGAGTTGGGTGGCAAGTCCACTATGTCCATTATGGCTGCCTGGAACTCCCACTCTTTTGAATTCCTCTACACATTCAAGTCCCACCGGCACCCCACACCTATGACCATACCCAGCTTGGATCTTTTACCTTCTCTGCCCTTGATCCCAAGCTAGTTTTGGCTGTAGCCTTGGTTCTTCACCTTGCTTCTTGCTGATACCCACCACACATCACCTCTATCAGAACATATAGGTTAGAAGTGGAATGAATGGACAGTATGATGGGTAGGAGCCACCACCCATACTTCTTCAAATGCCCTGTGTGAATGCTCAGAGGCACATCCAGGCCAGAAACATTTCTGAACCATGTGTGACTCAGATCCACAGACTCTCTGCCAGGGGCCATCTTCCTCCTAGACAGAGGGAGCTTCTGTCTTGGCTTCAGGGGCAGAAACCTCTCAGTTAAGAAATGAAATTTTCACAGAAAAAGGGATAAAAGTGACCACAATGTATATAACCAAACTGCAGACAAAATGCAAGTGTGGTATTCGTGGGATTATGTTCGTTGCATCCCATGGTCAGTTTGAATGAATGTCACCTTCATATCATCAGCTGAGCCTTTTTGTATTTATACAACAGGGAAACAGGAAAACAGTGTCAAGATCATGCTTTGGACCATGTCACTGCCAAAGATACTGAGACGGGTGTCATAGCGGAACAGTTCCTTCATATATACACGAGTTTCCTTAATTTCAATGCCAGTTTTTCATGAGATAAGAAAGTATTTGCTGAGAATTAAATAGATGCATGTATTTTATGACTCCTGAATATCCTAGATGTTTGCATTCTATAGTGTGTAATATGACTACCTGCTTAGTTAGAGACATAGGAGACAGACAGACGACCTGTCCCCCCCTTATACCCAGCACCATAACTTGCTCATGGTAGATATATCCTAATGTTCAGTCAAGAAGCATGTTATGACAAATGCTGTCTTTGAAACTGGAAGAATATTATCAACCTCACTCTTCTTTTACCCAACCCACTATCCATGTCATTGAAGTCAACATTTGTTATACATCATCACAGGATGAGTGTGTCTGAAAAATCTCCAAATGATGGAACATTTCAGGCAAATCAGTGAGCCGCTTAAGGAATGAAGTTCTTCCTCTATGTACTCAGGAAGTTTAATTTTTCTAAGCCTTTCTTCCTGGACTCCATCCATACAAGGTCATCTCTTCAATGTCAGCCTCTTACCTGCCTAACGGTGCCACAGTGGCCATAAGGAATATTGAAGATGAGGTAACGCCCAGTGACTTGGGGGCGACACATCTGATCATTTAAATGGATGTCCCAGGAGGAGTAGCCTAATCTCCGGAGATAGCCTCGGTCAATGATGGCTTGGAAGAGGTGAGGCAAACAGGACAGCTGAGCTGAGGGGAGAGAGAGAGAAGCTGACACATTGATGCATAGCTCAGGGGGCTGTCTGAATGTTATAAAAGTACCACAGACAGTGCTCTGGGATGGGCAGAGCCTGCCTCAGCTTCACTTACTCCAGTGTTTCTTAACCTGTGGGTCACAATCCCTTTGTGGGTTGCATATCACATATTTACATTGTATTCATAACAGCATCAAAATTATACTTATAAAGTAGCAACAAATAATTTTATGGTTGGGGTCACCACAACATGAGGAGCTATATTAAAGGGTCTCAGCTTTAGGAAGGTTGAGAGCCAATGATTTAATCTATGACCTTGACTTGACTTCTACTGATGTGTGTGTGTGTGTGTGTGTGTGTGTGCGCGCGCGCGCGCGCGCGCCCGCGCGCGCGCGCCCACTCACACACATGTTTGTGAAGGAGGCAGTAGGTGAATGTTGGATATCTTGCTTGGTGGCTGTCTGCTTTATTTTCAGGACAAGGTCTCTCATTTAACCTGGTGCTTGAGGCTTTGGTTAGACTGGCTGGCCAGTAAGGCCCCAGGATCCTTCTCCTGTCCCCACCTTCGCAGTGCTGGGTTTACAGATGTGTACCACTGTGTCTGGCTATTATGTGGATGCTCAGGATTAAATAAGTTGTCATGCTTGCATGACAAATACTTTATCAACAGAGGCATCTCCACAGCCCTGACTTTCATTGGCTTTGCTAATATTCTTTTTTTTAAAAAAAGGCTTTGAAATTAGGCCACATCCATAGGGATTCCTGCTTACAATCCATACCCCATAGGCCACAGGTCAGAGCCTTGCTCAGGGGGTTATAGGACAACTCATGACATGCTCAGTCTGATCATGTATCTGTCTGGACTTTTGCACAGACATGAGCTGGAAGAAAAGTGAAAGCAAAAATAGAGAGTTCCCGAGTACAAACTGGCTTCTTTCCTGACCTCCTACTATCAGGCAAATGGACATCCCTTATGGCCTGTTTTTTCTCCCCATTCAGCTACTCTCTCAGTTTCTTCCCCAGTCAGCTTCAGGACCCAGGAGGGAAGATAACTTTACCATTATCCTTGGGCACAGGAGAATCAGCTGGACCTGTTGAGGGGAGATGAAAAGTGAATGTCACTGGTCTGAAACACTGGAGGAGGACAGTAAACTATCATTAGACAAACCATTGCAGCTGGACTGTAATGGCATGAGAACATTACAGAACATGGGAAGAGGGCCCAGTGTCTCTGACAGAGATGGATTCTGACACATGGGAAGGAGCACTGAGAACACAGGTGCTATGAACATCAGATTTATGGGAGCAAAAGAATGGTGAATACAAAAACCACTGCATGAACGAGCTCTTGGATTCTGTCTCTTTCTACACCCAAGCATGCTCAGGGTCCCAGGTTGGGAAAAAATGGATTCTGAGGTTATCAAGGACTTCTCTGGCTCAGAATCAAGACAGGACAGTGTCCCAGGGCCAAGGTTCAGCCCAGGAAATGTGCAGTCAGAGTCTCTCAAGCCCTTTAGACTCAACAGATCCCTTTGGACATGGGACATGGCCACCTTGGTGTATGGTCCAAGAACTGAATGGGTCCTTGTTAAAAGCAGGCTTCTGAGAGGGATGGCTGAACTGTGACAAGGTACAGCAACAATCAAAGTCTGGAGGGTACAGACCCCGGAACAGACAGATGTAGCTTGGTTTCAGGGGGCTGTGATTGTGTTTCTATTTGGGCCCCACATCTATCCAAACAGCTTATACAAGGTAAAAGCAATGGCTGTGGTTTGTAATAAAAGTAGCAACAGAATAGGTAAGGTGAACTCAGGTTTCTTCAAGTCTTAGAACTTCCCAACTCTCTGAAATCTGCATGGGCCAATTTGGGGTTAACAATTAGAAGGAGGCACTGTGCCATAGAGGTGGGCATCAGAATGCCAAGACAGCTGACGATAAAAGATATTCCAAGGAAGATACAGGCAGAATCTTTGCTAAAAAGAACACAGGGAAGCTGGGACACTGTGAGTGTGTTGTAGACTCTGAGGGTTAGTTAGGTCTGGGCTACACAGTGTCTCCAGGATGGGACCCTTGATGAGCTCACAGACTGAGAAAGTAACAGGATAAGCTGTGCCTGGTCCCAGCAACTGCTATGCTGTTAATGGTTCTATGACACTGTCACTCCCTTCTTTGGAATTCATAATTCTTCAGTTACATTTCTGACAAATGCTTCACAGAGCTGGAATTAGAGCGAGCTCATTTAACAAAGTCAGGCCAATGATCAAAATGTCACCACCACTAGCTCTTTGTCTCAAAGTGTGATGTCTTGGCCAAATGATGAACACCTTAAGGATAGGTGGTGCTGAGGCAGAGCCCGGGGATTTTTACAGGCCCATTTGCACAGGAACTGCTGCCTGCTTGCTAGGATCCCCTACCTGCGCAGACCACACCGGCATCCTCATAGTGGTGGCAGTTGTGCCTTATCCAGCCAGCGTGGGCACAGCTCTCCAGAGAGTCCTCCCTGCCGGAGCAGCGCACTTCATTCATCAGGATGGGGCCCGTGCCTGCCCCAAAGCGGCTTCTGCCAGGGGCACCCAGCGCGTGGCCGCAGCCTAGGAGGCGGCACACAACTCGGGCGTTCTTGATATTCCAGCGGTCATCGCATACGGTTCCCCATACTCCCTGGTGCCGCACCTCCAGCCGGCCCTCACAGCGGTTTCGTCCGCCTACCAGGCGCAGAGGCAAGTCTGCGCAGCGAGAAAAGTCAGAGGTTAGGGTCAGGTTTCTATAGTAGACACTATCTCAGGATGACACTTGCAGGGGGATCCTTCTCTACCCCCCTAAAATACCCTTACTTAATACTACTCTTCTTAAGAGGCAACGCTTTAACAACAAAACTGTTGTTAGCACCACAGAACTCTTCAAGAATCATACACCTCAACAACCTCGGTGCTCATCCATAGGGCACTACCACATATAAATACTTCAAAAAAGTTTAATTTTGGATAGAAAACAATAAAACAAAACAAATGAAACCTGTACAACCATGTTGCTTAATAATGAGGATACATTGTAAGAAATGTGCAGTTAGGAAACTGATGATGTACACAAAAAGCCAGCTCTGGGGTCACTAGGCAACATGATCTATGGAGTCATTGCTGTATACGGATACATAACGCTCTATTGTTGACTGAAACATCCTTGTGGGAGGCATGGCTGTATTATTGTGTGCACATGAATATACCTGTGAAGTGTCAGGCTCACAGATAGGTACCAGGTGATGTATCTCTGTACTAGTCAACCCTGCACTGTTTGACCCAAAGAAAAACCTTACTGAATATTAAATCCACAGGCATTAGTTCTGACTATAGTGTGATGATGGTTTGGGTAGCTGCCCTCTCTTGGCCTAATTAGTATTATAATATCGAAAGCAAGATACTTGTGTAGCTAGGAGAATGGACTGAGTTTGCAGATCAGTGGAGGGAGTGTTTGCTGGCACAGTTGAGGTCCTGATTTGCATCGAGCACCAGGAAGGAAAAAAGTGTGACTCATGAATACACATGGGGATCTTCTGAGCCAGGTCTTGGAGGCTGATTTCAAGCATGAGTGACCCACACTGTGTGTATGTTGGTGTGTAATATACCTACAGCCTTGTAACTCTTCCTGTAAGAGGTAAGTGATAAATGAAATCCTAACTGTATCAAAAGACAACTTGTCATTTTTAGTGAGCAGAAAGAAACAAAACCTGCCAGATTAAGGGATAATTGCTTCATCAGTGTAAAATATTAGGTTTGCAAATGTGTATTCTCACAGGCTTGCAATTTAGCTTCAAGCTGAAGAGGGAAACCCTTTCTGTTATTTCAGATTCTAATTGTGTGCAGGAATGCTATCCATGATGTTTTACTTTCTTGACATCAAAATGTGACAAATATTGTTACGTTTTGTTTATTCTTCAAGAGTAAAACAACTTGCTAAATGTTCAAAAAATCTGTATCTCCTGACTTTTTAAGGAAAAAAACTAAAAGCAGTTCAATTTTATAGGTAACTGGTTTTTTTTGTTGTTTGTTTTTTTGAGACAAGATCTCTTTACTTAGTACTGGCTAGCCCTTGGAAATTAGTATATAAATGAAGCTGATTCAAACTCACAGAAATTCACATGCCTCTGCCTCCTGAGTATTGGCAACTGAAGGTGTGTGCCACCATATCTGGATTTAGGCAACATTTTTACAAGGGCCAAGAATAAAGAGGAAGATCATATTCCTCAGGCGCAGTTTTAGGTAAGGAAGATGGAATATTAACAGAGGGAAGCCAGGTAGAGAAGTTATCAACACAAGATGAAATGAAACGTGGTAGCATAAAGTAGCGAATGGAGTTTTACTCCAGCAACAAGCATGGTGATCATTACCAGGTGATGGAGTCACTTTTGTCAAAGAAGTTGGAACTGTGTCTGAAAAAGAAATCAGTGAAAAGAAGGGATTAAAATGTGGCCTCATTGAAATTCTACCTTAGACTTCAGCTCCACAGCAAGAAGTCTGCTCCCAAGCCATATGCGTTTATCGTGTGTGTTGGCACACGCCAGCATGGCAGAGTGTGTAAGATACTGGTGTTGTGGGACACAGCTTAAGAATGCTGTCATGATGCACATCTCCAGCAAGCCAGATAACCCACTCTTCTAACTCTTACAGAAGCTGACCTGAGGAGTTTTACCACTTCTTTAGCATTGGAAAAAATGGAGACTTCAGAGGAAGTCTCCTATGTAACAGGACTATGTGATTCTCAGCTTAAACCCTCAAGCCCCAGGGCCCATGTTCTTTCTAACTATTCTGTATTCCAGGAGCATAAACTGTGGGGGTTGCATTCATGCTGGGCTCAGGGTGGTGAACTAGAAAAGAAGGAAGGTAAGGGTTAAAGGTCACATTAGTTCCAGACAGAGCAGCAGAGGGCTTACTCCTGAAGACAGAAATGCCACAGGGATCAGAGGATTCTCTAGCAAACCCAGGACATTAGAAGGACCTTGGATGAGAGTTGCGACATTTGGTTTTGTCTTGTCAAAACCTTAAGCCAACATGTTCCTTCTTTGTGACTCATTTTCCTCCAAAAATAAGAGATCATTTCTAAATGTTCCTCCTGGCTCTGCATCGAGGCTCTGTTAGCCTGTTAATCCTGTCCCCAGCATCTACCTGCCATCACAGTGCTCAGGGTTAAAAGCAGTGGAGGCCAGTTGTGTTCTAGGGGAGCTGAATGGCCTCTCTTGACACACATTTTCTCTCTTCTGTCTCGTGGGGAAACTGGGCCTGCTATTCTGGCCTCCTTTTGTTTGGTGAAGATGCTCAGAGAGTGACTCCTTGGGGGCTGCAATGAGCAAGAAGCATGGCCAGGGAAGAGGTGACCTCGTCTGGAGTGGAAAATGGAAGAATGCTTTGGTTTGACAAGCAGCATGGTGTAAAACCAACGGCGGGGTGTAAAAAGAACAAATAAATAGAACTATTGTCACGACCTAGTTGTGGTGTGTGTGTGTGTGTGTGTGTTTTCTGGCGTGCTGACTGGGTCAAAGCATGACCTGAAACAACACAACCAACCAAACGAGATGCGGACCCTTTGCCCAGCCTCTCTCAGGTTCATATGATCAAAATTAGGGCAAGGGTGAAGGTGCCTGCAGTGGAAGGACCACTTCAGTGTCTATGTGAAGAAATGTGAATACCATCTCGGAGAAGAGGATGTGGGGTTTGTGTGTATATCAGGCGTATGTCATAGGCAGAGTTCTGCACACAGAGGTTTCATTCCCAAATAAGAAGAGCAAAAGCTGTGTTTCAGTTAAGAAACTGAAAAGATTGCTGGAGATCTTGGCAGCACCTGTGTGTGGAGCAGAGGAGAGGATGCTTTGAATGAATGTCTTTATTTGATGACAGGGGGATTGTGAAACAGGTTCATTTTGTAAATATGGCATGACAAGCAAGAAACAGGCTATGTAAGAACAATGGTGGCTTACCACTTGGAGAGGTCAGTTCTGCTGAGGTTGAAGACTCTACAAAGAACAGAGGAGACATAGCTAGTTTCACTTGCCAAAAGAAAGCAGAAAAGTCCTGAATAGGTTTGATTTAAGAAATGTGACAGGCTGAAAAGATTACCAGACATCTTCTCTGCTGCAACTGAAGACTCATCTGTGCATAAACCCAAAGAAGAGGATGCTTTAAATTCTACTGAAAGACACTGAGGGCGTGTTTCACTATCTTTACTTGGTGGTCAATATGATCATTAAGCAGATTCAGTTTTGAAACAAACCTAATAAATAAGAAACTCATCTCTTTAATTTAAGTAGCACAGTGGGGACTTACCATTTGGAGAACTTGCTTCTGCTGAGGTTGAAGAAGTATCTACAGACAAAAAGATGAGACATAGTGATGCCATTTACCATGATAGAAAGGGAAAGGCTCTCCTTATGTTTCATAAATGTGAACTTCTGGGTAAGATGGGAACTTAGAAGCTATATTGTGTATGTATGAACATAATTGAGGAGAAGGACTTAGTATGCCACTACAGTGTTCCAGACAACTCTCTGACTCAGTATCCACTGATAGCTGTATTTTCCAGAGAGCATCTCCCACAAATGGTACTATAAGCATCTAGGTTACATGTGAATGGAGTGTGGACTGAAGCAGGAAAAGGAGCTTAGTTGTCTTGTTGCTGGCACCTGTTGCTGGGACACTGACACCACTGATAACCTTCTGTCCAGTATTAACTGTGACCCATCCACAGGACTGGCACTGGAAAAGCCAATAGAAATTTTGGAAATGAAAGAGTCAATCAAGTAAAAGCACAACAGAAAGTGTCACCATTGGACAAGACCAAGCAGAAGAATGAATTTCAGGGTTCTACCACAAGCAGAAGCAACAATACAGGCTGAAATACATAAAGAACAAAAATCAACAAATATGACTCATCTTGCAAGAAATCAAGCCTAAGAAACCAAGGGATAGAAGAAGGAGCTCACTCACAGTGGGGCAACTGCTGCTCTATGCTGCTCCAAACAGGACTGCCAGCCAACTCCTCCCACAGCCCTCATCACACAGTCAAGGACATCGCATTCATCTTTACTCCCACCATGGGAAGTTAAATCTGAGCACAAGGCACAAAGGGACCATGGACATGAGGAAGAGGATCCACCAAGAGCTAAGGAACCAGTTGTTAGAGGGTTTGTCTTAGATAACTGAAAATCAAATGACGGGAAAATCTAGAGGTCAACAGCAGAATTTGTGAACTTAAGAGTTCCTCATTTTAGTTAGTGTAGGCTTGATCAGGTTCAAATCCCCTCATGGTACTAAAATAAAAAACCTTGAGATCAGAGCTAGAATATCTAGAGGTCTGAACATATTGAGAAAGGCACTTTCAAGTCTCACACATTGAAATCTAAGTGGAATATACGAGAAAATATCAGGACCGTAAGACCTCTGAAAACCTTGGATGATCTAAAAAACTTGGATCTTGTCAACTGTGAGGTCACTAACCTGAATGATTACCAAGAGTGTGTCCTCAAACACACCTGCCCCAACTGATAGTCACCAAGAGAACCAGGAACCTCATTTAGATACAGAGGCTAGGATGAAGAGGAGGATGAAAAAGGGGATGTGGACAGGGTGGATGAAGAGTTTGATGAAGAGGAGGATGAAAGTATAGAAGAAGATGATGGCAAAGATGAAGTCATTGGTGAAGGAAAAGAATATGAGCGTGGCATAGAAGCTGATGGAGGTAAAGACAAAGAAGAAAGCAGGAAAGAGAGAGAGAGGATAAAGGAGAAGATTATTCATCAAATAACTTGCAAAAACAGAATCAATGAGTCAATGGATATTGGTGGGATATTTGTAGTTTTGATAGATGTTTATAAAAGCTGTGATACAAACTTCAGGAGACATACCCACTGAAAGAGCCAAAGGCTAGTTCCTGTGACACTCTGTTTTCCCCCGCTTAATCTCCCATTGACAGTGGTAATCTCCAACACCAATCTTGGGAACCCTGCTCTAACAAATTTGTAAAAATTATTAGATTTTCATGTAAGTCTCTTGCTGAAGTATGAATGGCTATGATTGGTAAGTCAACTGTGCCTACCAAAAGTTGTAATGACACTTTTATGTTCAGCAAAAAGAAAATGCTTGATAATGAAATTTTAACTCTTGGGGTCAGAAAATAATGTATGATGGGGATAAAAGGCCTGGTTAACAAGTTGGATGGCTAGGGAAGAATAAAACTAGATCTACATCTTTTACTTTGCACATAATTAATTCAGGATAGATCAGAGACCTTAATGTAAAACACAAAATGCCGAAACTGCTAGAAGACAACAGGGGAAAAATATTTAAAGATGCAGAAACAGGCAAAAGCTTTTGAATAGGACTCTATTAAATAACTAAAATTTTGACTACATGCAATTAAAAAGCTTCTGTACAGCAAAAGAAACCATCAGCAGAGTTTACACACAGTTCACAAAATAGGGGAAAATCTCCTCCAGCTAATTCAGATAGTTGGCTGTTATCTAGAATCCATAAAGAACTTCAAAAATGAAATCCCAAACCCTAAATCTGACAGCCAATAGATGGGCAGACAATGGAACAGACAGTTCAAAAAGAAAGAAATGCAAATGACCAATAAATATTTTTGAAGTTGCTCAACATCCTTAGCCCATCAGGAAAATGTAAGGTAAGACTACTTCTTGGGGAAGGAGCTTGGTCCTGCCTTAACTTGATATGCCATGCTTCGTTGAGTCCCATGGGAGGCCTGCTCCTTTCTGAGTAGATAAGGAGTGGATGTGGGAGGAGGGTAGACAGGAGGTGGGGGAAGGGAACGGGAGGTGTGGAAGAAGGGGAAACTGTGGTTGGTACGTAAAATAAATGAAAAAAAAAATAAAGAAAACACAGAATGAAGGGATGCTGGAAATAGAAAAGCTCGGTAAACGGTCTGGAATTACAGATGCAAGCATCACCAATAGAATACAAGAGATAGAAGAGAGAATCTCAGGTGTTGAAGACTCATTAGAGGACATAGCATCGTCAACCAAAGAAAATCTCAAAACCAACAAATCCTTAACACAAAATATTCAGGAAATATGGGACACCGTGAAGAAGCCAAACCTGAGAATAATAGGTATAGAAGAAGGTGAAGAACTTCAACTTAAAGGTACAGAAAACATATTCAACAAAATCATAGAAGAAAACTTCCCTAACCTAAAGAAAGATATGCTTATGAAAGTACAAGAATCTTACAGAACACCAAATAGGCTTGACCAGAAAAAGAAGTCACCTCGCCATATAATAATCAAAACATCAAACCTACAGAGCAAAGAGAAAATATTAAGAGCAACTAAAGAAAAAGGCCAAGTAACATATAAAGGCAGACCTATCCGAATTACACCTGACTTCTCAATGGAAACGATGAAAGCCAGAAGATCCTGGTCAGATGTCCTACAAACGCTAAGGGAACAAGGATGCCAGCCCAGACTACTATATCCAGCAAAGCTCTCAATTACCATAGATGGAGAAAACAAAATATTCCATGACAAAGCCAGATTTAAACAATACGTATCCATGAATCCAGCTCTACAGAAAATGCTAGAAGGAAAACCTAGAGCCAAGGAAGATAACTACATTCACAAAGACACAGGCAATATAGAATCATACTTTACAAAACACTAAAAGAAAAAGGGAGGAGAAACTACACAAAATAACTTCACTAACAATAAATCAAGCGCAAACAAGGATCACCAGTCAATGGTCATTAATATCCCTCAATGTCAGTGGCCTCAACTTACCTATAAAAAGACACAGACTAGCAGAATGGATACGAAGACAGAACCCTTCCTTCTGCTGCATACAAGAAACACATCTCAACACCAAAGACAGACGTTATCTCAGAGTAAAGGGCTGGGAAAAGATCTTCCAATCAAACGGCCCCAAGAAACAAGTGGGTGTAGCAATCCTAATATCTAACAAATTAGGCTTCAAATTAAAATCAATCAAAAGAGATGAAGAAGGGCACTTCATATTCATCAAAGGAAAAATACATCAAGACGAAGTCTCGATTTTAAATATCTACGCCCCAAATACAAAGGCACCTACATTCGTGAAAGAAACATTACTAAAGCTCAAAATGCACTTAAAATCTCACACACTAATAGTAGGAGACTTCAACACTCCGCTCTCACCGCTAGATAGGACCTCCAGACAGAAACTTAACAAAGAAACAAAAGAATTAATAGAAGTTATGACCCAACTGGGTTTAACAGACATCTATAGAACATTCCACCCAAATACAAAGGGATATACCTTCTTCTCGGCACCACATGGAACCTTCTCTAAAATTGACCACATAATAGGAAACATAGCAAATCTCCACAGATAAAAAATTGGAATAACCCCTGCATTTTATCAGACCACCATGCATTAACATTAGAATTCCACATTAACACAAATTGCAGAAACCCTACAAACTCATGGAGATTGAACAATGCACAATTGCACCATGCCTGGGAAAAGGAACAAATAAAAAAGAAATTAAAGACTTCCTCAAGTTCAATGAGAATGAAGACACAACATACACAAACTTATGGGACACTTTGAAAGAAGTGCTGAGAGGAAAGTTTATAGCACTAAGTGCCCACATGAAAAAACTGGAGAACAGTCATACTAGAGAATTAATAGCACAGCTGAATGTTCTAGAACAAAAAGAAGCAAACTCCCCCAGGAGGAGCAGACGCCAGGAAATAATCAAATTGAGGGCTGAAATCAATCAAGTAGAAACCAGGAAAACATTGAGAAGAATCAATGAAACAAAGAGTTGGTTCTTTGAGAAAATCAACAAAATAGACAAACCTCTGTCCAAACTAACCAAAAGACAGAGAGAGAACATGCTAATTAACAAAATCAGGGATGAGAAAGGGGACATAACAACGGACTCTGAGGAAATCAAGAGAATCATCAGGGCATACTTTGAAAATCTGTACTCCACAAAATTTGAAAATTTAAAGGAAATGGACAATTTCCTGGATAGATATCACTTGCCAAAACTAAATCAAGAACAGATAAATAATCTAAACAGACCTATAACCCCTAATGAAATAGAAGCAGTCATCAAAAGTCTCCCAAACAAAAAAAGCCCAGGCCCAGATGGCTTCAGTGCAGAATTCTACCAGAAATTCAAAGAAGAGCTCATTCCAATACTCGTCAAAGTATTCCACACTATAGAAGCAGGAGGCTCACTGCCAAACTCTTTCTACGAGGCTACAATTACCTTGATACCCAAGCCACACAAAGACACAACTAAGAAAGAGAACTATAGACCAATTTCCCTCATGAACATTGATGCAAAAATACTCAATAAAATACTTGCAAACCGGATTCAAGAACACATCAGAAAAATCATCCACCATGATCAAGTAGGCTTCATTCCAGGAATGCAGGGATGGTTCAACATTAGAAAATCTATCAATGTAATCCACCATATTAACAATCTGCGAAAGAAAAACCACATGATCATCTCACTAGATGCTGAAAAAGCCTTTGACAAAATCCAGCACCCCTTCATGATAAAGGTCCTAGAGAGATCAGGGATAACAGGAACGTACCTGAATATAATAAAAGCAATTTACAGTAAACCAACAGCTAACATCAAACTAAATGGAGAGAAACTCAAAGCAATTCCTCTAAAATCAGGAACAAGACAAGGCTGTCCACTCTCTCCATATCTCTTCAATATTGTACTTGAAGTTCTAGCTACAGCAATAAGACAACAAAAGGAGATAAAGGGGATACAAATAGGAAAAGAAGAAGTCAAACTTTCATTATTTGCAGATGATATGATAGTTTACATAAGTGACCCAAAAAACTCCGCAAGGTTACTCCTAGAGCTGATAAACACCTTCAGCAATGTGGCAGGATACAAGGTAAACTCAAAAAAATCAGTGGCCCTATTATATACAGATGATGAAGTGACTGAGAAAGAAATCAGAGAAACATCACCTTTTACAATAGCCAAAAACAGCATCAAATATCTGGGGATAATGTTAACCAAGGAAGTGAAAGACCTGTATATCAAGAACTTTGTGTCTTTGAAGAAAGAAATCAAAGAAGATACCAGAAAATGGAAAGATCTCCCATGCTCTTGGATTGGTAGGATCAACATAATAAAAATGGCAATCTTGCCAAAAGCAGTCTATAGATTCAATGCAATCCCTATCAAAATTCCATCACAATTCTTCAAGGACCTGGAAAGAACATTAATCAACTTTATATGGAAAAACAAAAGGCCCAGGATAGCCAAAACATCCCCATACAATAAAGGAACTTCAGGAGGCATCACCATACCTGACTTCAAGCTCTATTATAGAGCTATAGTCCTGAAAACAGCTTGGTATTGGCACAAAAATAGGCAGGTAGACCAATGGAACCGAATCGAAAGCCCTAATTTTAACCCACACACCTATGAACACCTGATTTTTGACAAAGAAGCTAAAACTGTACAGTGGAAAAAAGAAAGCATCTTCAACAAATGGTGCTGGCATAACTGGGTAGTGGTATACAGAAGACTGCAGGTAGATCGATGTTTATCGCCTTGTACAAAACTTAAGTCCAAATGGATCAAAGATCTCAACATACATCCAGCCACACTGAAACTTTTAGAAGAGAAAGTGGGAGATACTCTTCAACGAGTTGGTACAGGAGACCACTTCCTAAACATAACACCAGTGGCACAGGCACTGAGATCAACAATTAACAAATGGGACCTTCTGAAACTAAAAAGCTTCTGTAAGGCAAAGGACACAATCAAAAAGACAAAAAAGCAGGCCACAGAATGGGAAAAGATATTCACTAACCCTATATCTGACAGAGGGCTAATCTCCAAAATTTACAAAGAACTCAAGAAACAAGTCTCCAAAACACCAAAGGATCCACTTGAAAGGTGGGGTACAGAGCTAAATAGAGAATTCTCAGTAAAGGAGGCTAAAATGGCCAAGAGACACTTAAGAAAGTGCTCAACATCCTTAGCCATCAGGGAAATGCAAATCAAAACAACTCTGAGATACCATCTTACTCCTGTCAGAATGGCTAGAATCAAAAACACCGAAGACAATTTATGCTGGAGGGGATGTGGAGAGAGAGGAACACTCCTCCACTGCTGGTGGGAATGCCGACTCATACAGCCTCTTTGGAAATCAGTATGGAGATTCCTCAGGAAAATGGGAATTAATCTACCACTAGACCCAGCAATTCCACTCTTAGGCATTTATCCAAATGAGGCAGGTTCATACAACAAAGGCATCTGCTCCACTATGTTCATAGCAGCATTGTTTGTAATAGCCAGAACCTGGAAGCAACCTAGATGCCCCTCAACTGAAGAGTGGATAGAGAAAATGTGGTACATTTACACAATGGAGTATTACTCAGCAGAAAAAAACAATGGAATCTTGAAATTCACAGGGAAATGGATAGCACTGGAAGAAACCATCCTGAGTGAGGTAACCCAGTCGCAAAAAGACAAACATGGTATGTACTCACTCATATATGGATTTTAGATATGGATCAGGATAGTGCCAGTCTGCACTTCCACAGATAGAGAGTCTGGGAAACAGGAAAGAACCTAAAAGATATGCATATATGCATAGTACCCAAGAGAAGAGGATGGAGACAAGATCCTCTGAATGGATGGGGAACAGGGCGAGGGGGGTAGTGGGACCTGGGAAGAATAGAGGGGGTAAAGAGGAAGGGAGTTGGTCATGGGGGAACAGGAAGTTGAGGGGGTGGGGGTAGAATAGGGGGAAGAGGGAATCATAGGATCGAAGACAGATCAGGCACCAGAGTGACCTCGAGTGATCTAAAGGTATAACATCAATTGGCAAGCTAAGCAATAGTGGAAGGACCACCTCGAATGCCCATTCCTGATAATGAACTTGATGTCTATAACTATCCGGGAGCCTACATCCTGGGACTGATGGAAGCAGAGGCAAACACACAACTAAGCACTGAACTGAACCCAAGGAACCCAGTGACAGAGAGAGAGGAATGATGAGCAAATTGGCAAAGAATGGGCTGGCAAAACCAGCAGAGACAGCTGATCTGAACAGGGGAGTGCTCTTGGACCCCAGACCGACAGTGGGGAGGCCAGAATGGGACTGATCTGGACCCCCCAAATGTGAGTGTCAGTGAGAAGGCCTGGACAACCTATGGGGCTCTGAGCTGTGGATCAGTGTCTATCCCTGGTATACAATCGGTCTTCATGTGCCTATAGCACAAAGAGAGATGCTCTCTCAGCCTGGACTCTTAGGGGAGTGCCTTGACCCTACCAAGAGTAAAATGATAGACTCTAGACATCCCCTATGTGGAAGGATTTGGCAATAGGGTGGGAGGGAGGTTGGAAGGGGAGTGCGGGAGGAGGGGAGGGAGAGGGAACTGGGATTGACATGTAAAACAAGCTATTTAAAATTAAAATAAAATAAAAAACAAAAAAAAACAAAAAAAACAAAAAAAAATAAAAAAGAAATGTGACAACAGAAAACCTTACCAGAGGAGCTCATCTCTCCTGCTGAGGATGAAGACATATCTGTGTAGGAAGCCAGAGAAGGGGGTGCTTTAAAATGGACCAGCTTTTACTGATCAGTATTTGATGCCAAAATGATCATTAAGTTTAACATGACAAATAAGACTCTCAGTTCAGTATTTTAAGCAGCAGAACAGGGGGACTTACCAGTTGTAGAACTCGATTCTGCTGAGGCTGAAGACATATCTAGAAATCAAAAGGAGATGCACAACTGAATCCACTTGCTGAACAGGGGACAGACTGAAATTGTGTCTAACTTAATGTGACAGAGAGTGTTACCAGAGGATGTCTCTTCTGCAGAGGTTGAAGACACATCTGTGTAAAAATACAGAAAGCATGATGCTTAGAAAGAATGATCTTTGGTTTGTGGCCAATAGAACAATTAAATAGGTTCATTTTCTAAATACAACATGACAGGTAAGAAACACATGTGTGTTAATGAAGATACAAGTTATTATTTGGGTGCAGGACATGAAGAAATAAAACTGGGACTGAACTGGAAACATTCTCTCTGCTGGCTAGTTTTCACAGTGCTGGGAGGCTCTATTCAGGCTGCCGGGGGATAAATGTCAAAAACAATCTTACTCAGCTGTTAATATTTAATGCTGTAGTACTAATGTGCTAGACATGATGTACTAACAGGTATAAGAGTGCTGTGACTGCTATAGGGGTAACCAAACACTTTCTGACTGGATTTGAAGCCCTCCCCAAAGAAGGGAATTTATATCGAGTATTGTAAACTTGGTCTGGGTACGTGATAAGCTCCAGTGGGGAAGGTACTGTAGTTGTCTTGCTAAGTGGACACAAAGTGACTGTCAAATTGATTTCTAAATACTCATAGTTATGCTCACAGACTAGTGTCACTCCTGACTTTGGCCAGAGAAGTTTGCTTTTGCAAGGGTTTATGGTTCTTACAGAGACTCACAACTTGCCAAAGTGCTGAGAATAGGTGATTTTTATGCTTAGCCTCAAATGAGACCTCAATATTGCCTCTTTCAGGTCTCAGGAAACTGCATGGAAGAGGGAGTAGAAAGAACATAACCTGGGTGTTTGGGAACATTGTCTTCTGGGCATGGCAGATGTTGCACTCCTGATTCTCAGCAGCTATGATTATTTACACAAGACTTGCACAGGATTGAGTTCATCTTTATCCTGTTGTAGAAAGAGGAGTTCCTGAGCCCTAATCCCTCCCTATAGGCGCTGTAGGCAATTGAAGGTTGCTGAGAGAGAGTGAAGGGGAGCTGGGTGGCTTTCTTTGGTGTTGCAGTCACTGATAAGTTGTCTGTGCTCTTTTCAGTAACTCCTCACCTATGCTTTGCCAGGTAACCTTAATTAAACTGATTAGTTCATAAAACTAAGCTATGAAATAGAAGATGTTCTAGCTCGAAAGAGGAACAGAATTATTAAGAGTATGAGGGGCACAGAGGAGTGTGGTGGAGGTGAGAATAATCAAGTGTAAAATTGTCATAACAAAATTCATTAGCATGTGTATAATGATTTAAAACAAAAAGCACTTATCATTAGTTAAAACAACACAGTGAAGGACATTACCAGTTAGCTCTCCACTCTTCCCCGCTACTGAGGTTGAAGACATATCTATGAGCAAAGATATGTGTTGTCACTTTCCAAAGAGAAAGAGGAAAAACTGTGACCGTGTTTCACTTAGGAAATGTGATGGGGTGAAAAGATCACCAGAGGAGATCTCTGCTGTGATTAAAGATTCATGTGTGTGGAAACCCAGAAACAGGATGCTCTGAAATGAGTAGAATGGTATTGGGGGTAGGTTTCATTCACTTTGCTTTATGATTAATGTGATATTAAATAAATTTACTGTCTAGATACAGCGCAACAAATAAGAAATGTCTTCACTAGCTAAGCAGCACAATGGAGAGGTCTACCATTTGGAGAGCTTGATTCTGCTGAGGCTAAGGAAGTATCTACAGACAAAGAGAAATAAATATTTAGATAATCTGCCAAACAGAAAGAGAAAAGGTTGTCATTTGTGTAGTGTAAAATCATGATAGGCAGAAAACATTACCGGAGGAGGTATCATCTGCAGAGACTGATGATGCATCTGTGTAGAAAGACAAACAGGATGCTTTGAAATGAATACAATTATACCCGGGCTGGTTTTTATTAGCTTTACTTTGCAGTCAATGTGGTCATTAAATAGATTTACTGTCTAAATATACATAGCAAATAAGGGATTTCTTCACTAGGTAAGCAGCACAATGGAGTACTTTACCATTCAGAGAGCTTGATTCTGCTGAGGTTGACGAAATGCCTACAGACAAAGAAAGAAGAGCCGGGGCTAGGTCCTTTGCCCAATGGGAAGAGTAAAAGCTTTCACTGTATTTAATAAATACAGAAAGATTACCAGAGGATGTATCTTCTGGTGATGAAGATGCATCTATATATAAACCCAGAAAATAGGATGCTTTAAAATGAGTATACTGGATTGGGAGCATGGCTCAGTAGGTAAAGCGCTTACCTTACAAACATGTGAACCTGAGATCAACTCAGGGCACCCACATAAATGCTGGGAGTGGTTGTGTGCCCTATCTTCCCAGCACAGGGAGACAGAGAAAGGAGGATGCCCATAGCTCTGTGCTCAGTCTCTCAGTCTCTCTAGCCTAATCAGTGAGCGCCAGGCCAGAGAGAGACCCTGCCTCAAAGGAGGTGAACAGAAGTTCCTGAGGATGACATCCAAGGTTCTCTTCCAGCCTCACATGCACATATAGAATAGTGCTCATAGTCCCCATACAAACATCATCCACAAGCTTGTGAAAGATATGCTTCTTGTCACTGGGCTTTATTTTGTGTCAGTGTGATTATTAAATGGGCTCATGTTCTAATTACAGCACGACTGATAAGAAATTCACTTCATTTAGCTAAACAGAATATTGGGGACAACATTCATTACCAGTTGGAGAGCTGGATTCTGCTGAGGCTGAAGGAGTATCTACAGACAGAAAAATAAATATTTAGATAATTTACCAAATAGGAAGAGAAAAGGCTGTCATTTGTTTACTGTAGAAGCATGACAGGCAGAGAACATTACCAGAGGAGGTATCTTCTGTGGAGACTGAAGATGCATCTGTGTAGGAAGTCAGAAAACAGGGAGTTGCAATTTTAGTGTCCTGATAAGAAATGGCCCAGTAGGTAAATACTTGCCTTGAAAGCTTGTGACTCTGAGATCAATTCTCAGAACCCATGTAAAACTGCCTGGAGTGATGTGTACTTGTAATCCCAGCACTGGAGAGAAAGAGGCAAGGAGAACCCTGTGCCTGTGGCCAGTTACCCTACCCCAATTAGTGAGCTCTGAGCCAATGAGAGACCCTGTCCCAAAGGAGAGGGAATGTGCTCCAGAAATTGACACCCAACATTGTCCTACAGCCTCCACATACATGTGCATACAGGTGCAAGAACACTATCATGTGTATGCACCATCATACAAGAGCATACACACTCAAAGAATGAGCATTTTTTGCATTTTTAAATTTTGGGCAATGTAATCATTAACTGAGCTTATTTTTAAATACAACATGAAAACTATCTGAATATATAAGTAGCACAAAGAAGGAGTCTATCAGGTGAGAACTTGCTTCTGTTGAGGTTGAAGATATAGCAATAAACCCATAAGAAAAAAGTTATCCTTAGATTAATTTTGTAGTTAAAAGGGGAAGCTCTGGTTGTTTAAATTGATAGATGTGACAGGTTGAAAACATTACCTGAAGAGGACTCCTCGGCTGAGGCTGAAGATGCATCTGTGTGTAAATCCAGAGAACCGGATAATTTTTTAAGTGATTGTCTTCCATTGACCTTTGCCTTATGGTCAATATGATTTAAATATATTAATTTTCTGAATATGAATGGCAAATAGGAAAAGCATCTCTGTTGGTGAAGATACCATACACCTTGCTGGCAGGTCATGCAGAAATAAGGCTGTAACCAAGCAGGAAGCTTTCTCCCCAGTAGCTAGCTTTTACAGTGTAGGAAGATGCTATGCAGTCGCTGGGGATGAAGTGTGGGCAGCAACGTTCCTCATCTGTAAACCTCACGGGCTACCTTACTGACTTTCCAGGCAAGATAAGCCCACTGGTTTAAGAGTGGCCTGGCTGTTCTGGATGTAACCAACTCTTTTCTTATTGTATGTGAAGCTGCTCCATAGGAGTTCTGTATTGAAACCTAGTCAAAAGTCCATGGTACCAGAGGTGATAGGCTTTAGTGCCAAAACTGTGGTTGTTGTTTTGCTAAATGGGTGTGACATTGTTGTCAAGTTGACATCTAAGTAATTGTGTTGTGATGAGTTCTGGTTTTAGCTTTGGTCAAAGAAGCTTCTCTTTGCAATGGCTGGTAGTTACTGTAGGGACTCACAACTGGTCAAAGTGATGATAACAAGTGACTTGAATGCTCAGCCTTAAATCAGGCACTTCTGTTTCCTCTCCAGGATCAGGGAGTTGCATGTAATAGGAGTCAGACTTATCCTGGTTTCATTTAAGGTTATAATTAACTCTAATGACACACATTTCATTATGAAGAGCACATTAAAAATCTTTAAAACAAAGCAAGGGTAAAGGCTGTAGGAAGTGATGGAGTACTGTGGAACATTATGTTCTGGGTATGGAGTGGTACGATTGTGTTCTTGAACTCTCCACCAATGTAATTATTGCACATGACTTGCCCAAGGTTGAGCCTATCATCATTGTTATGGAAGTGGGAGATTCATGAGACTTGCCAATCCTCAAGGGTCTATACAATACCTGCTTGCTATGGGAGTGAGAGACATTTACTTTAGTAGCACAGTCACTGCCAATGCTTTCAGAAATAACCCTCAATTATGCTTCTCCGGTAATCCAAATCAACTTCTTTGCCCATAAAATGAAAAGGTACCAAAGTAGAAGAGGTCCTCACTGGGAAGAGGAACAGGGTGAGGAGGACTGGATGGAGCACTGCACATAAGTATCATTAACTATGCTATGTACAGGTATGAAAATATAATGAAATTCACTACTATATATAATTAAATGTTATTTTTGAAGGGGGGGCTGGAGAGATTGCTCTGTGGTAAAAACTGCTAACTGTTCTTTCAGAGGACTCAAGTTCACACCCCCCAGCACGCACATTGGTGGCTCACAGCCGTCTGTAACTCCAGCTCCAGCTGGATCCTAAGTCTCTGGTCTCCATGAACACCCACACTCTTATGTACATATACATGTACATACCCAATACACTTGATTAAGAATTAAAAGAAGCATTTCATTGTTTAGGCAACACAGAGAACGACTTTACCAGTTGGCTCTCCATTCTTTCCTTCTGCTGAGGGTGAAGAAATATCTATGAGCAAAGAGAAGAATAAATGTAAGTGTAATCACTTTCCAAACAGAGGAAAAACTATGATTGTATTTCACTTAAGAGCTGTCATGGTCTGAAAAGATTCCAAGAGGAGATTTCCTGTGACTGATAAGAAATTTGTTTCATTTAGCTTAATAGAATATTGGGGACATTACCAGTTGGAGAGCTTGATTCTGCTGAGGCTGAAGAAATATCTACAGACAAAGAGAAATAAAATTTAGATAATCTGCCAAACAGAAAGAGAAAAGGTTGTCATTTGTGTAGTGTAAAATCATGATAGGCAGAAAACATTACCGGAGGAGGTATCATCTGCAGAGACTGATGATGCATCTGTGTAGAAAGACAAACAGGATGCTTTGAAATGAATACAATTATACCCGGGCTGGTTTTTATTAGCTTTACTTTGCAGTCAATGTGGTCATTAAATAGATTTACTGTCTAAATATACATAGCAAATAAGGGATTTCTTCACTAGGTAAGCAGCACAATGGAGTACTTTACCATTCAGAGAGCTTGATTCTGCTGAGGTTGACGAAATGCCTACAGACAAAGAAAGAAGAGCCGGGGCTAGGTCCTTTGCCCAATGGGAAGAGTAAAGCTTTCACTGTATTTAATAAATACAGAAAGATTACCAGAGGATGTATCTTCTGGTGATGAAGATGCATCTATATATAAACCCAGAAAATAGGATGCTTTAAAATGAGTATACTGGATTGGGAGCATGGCTCAGTAGGTAAAGCGCTTACCTTACAAACATGTGAACCTGAGATCAACTCAGGGCACCCACATAAATGCTGGGAGTGGTTGTGTGCCCTATCTTCCCAGCACAGGGAGACAGAGAAAGGAGGATGCCCATAGCTCTGTGCTCAGTCTCTCAGTCTCTCTAGCCTAATCAGTGAGCGCCAGGCCAGAGAGAGACCCTGCCTCAAAGGAGGTGAACAGAAGTTCCTGAGGATGACATCCAAGGTTCTCTTCCAGCCTCACATGCACATATAGAATAGTGCTCATAGTCCCCATACAAACATCATCCACAAGCTTGTGAAAGATATGCTTCTTGTCACTGGGCTTTATTTTGTGTCAGTGTGATTATTAAATGGGCTCATGTTCTAATTACAGCACGACTGATAAGAAATTCACTTCATTTAGCTAAACAGAATATTGGGGACAACATTCATTACCAGTTGGAGAGCTGGATTCTGCTGAGGCTGAAGGAGTATCTACAGACAGAAAAATAAATATTTAGATAATTTACCAAATAGGAAGAGAAAAGGCTGTCATTTGTTTACTGTAGAAGCATGACAGGCAGAGAACATTACCAGAGGAGGTATCTTCTGTGGAGACTGAAGATGCATCTGTGTAGGAAGTCAGAAAACAGGGAGTTGCAATTTTAGTGTCCTGATAAGAAATGGCCCAGTAGGTAAATACTTGCCTTGAAAGCTTGTGACTCTGAGATCAATTCTCAGAACCCATGTAAAACTGCCTGGAGTGATGTGTACTTGTAATCCCAGCACTGGAGAGAAAGAGGCAAGGAGAACCCTGTGCCTGTGGCCAGTTACCTTACCCCAATTAGTGAGCTCTGAGCCAATGAGAGACCCTGTCCCAAAGGAGATGGGCTGTACTCCAGAAATCGACACCCAATACTGTCCTCCAGCCTCCACATATGTGTGCACACTGACTGGTGCAATAGCATCTGAGCAACACATGAGTGCATGATGCATGTGGGCGGGTGAGCGTGTGCATGCATGTGCACACACACACACACACACACACACACAAGTATCCTTTGGCCATTGCTTTGTGGTCAATGTGATCACCAGTAGCCTTATTTTCTAAACACAACATGACAACATGACAAAAAAAGAAAAGTCTCTAATTAGTGAACCATCACAATGCTGAGTTTGAAGAAATAGCTGCAGATAGAGAGGAGGAGACGTACCTGGATTCCTTTGCAAAATAGAAAGAGGAAAAGCTCTGACTGTTTAATAAGAAAATTGGCAGTCAAAAACCTTACCAGAGGAGGTGTCTTCTGGTGAGGCTGAAGATGCATCTGTGTATAAATCCAGAAAACAAGACACTTTAAAATGAGTAGCTTTCATTGGTACATCTATCTTGTGGTCATTATGGTCATTAAATATGCCTCTTCTAGATATGACATGACAAATAGGAAAATGATCTCTACTGCTGAAGATATCACACACTTTGCTTACAGGACATACAGAAATAACACTGGCACTTAGCTGCAAGCTTTCTCCCTACTGGCTAGTTTTCACAGTTTTGGAAGTTACTATGGGGATTTCTGGGGAAGTACCGTCACCATCAACATTTCTCAGCTGTGAACCCTGCAGACTATAACACTGACCTTCCAGGCAAGATGTTCCTGCTGCTACAAGAGTGACATATCTGATATGGGGTAACCAACTCCTTTTTGGTTGAACTCAAGTTTGTCTTCATAGGGGGGAATTTATGTCTGGTACTGTAAACCTGACCTGGAGATATGAAAAGTCTTAGTGGGGAAGCTACTTCTGTTGTATTGTTAAGTGAACATGGGGTGCCTATCAATTTTTCTTTGAAACATTTACATCTATGCTCTTGGATTAATATAGTGTCAGCTTTGATCAGAGAATCTTCTTGCATTGGTTACTGGTCACTGTGCAGACTCATAACTGTGTAAGTTCTCCATTGAATGTGGCATCTGTGTCACCCCTTCCAAGTGTCAGGATGTATCATGGGGTGAGGGTGGCTAGAAGAGAGTGAGTCAGGGCAGGGTGGAATGTTGTGACTATGGCTGTTGAGCTCTTGGACACTCCGCAACTGTGATTATATGCACAAGACAAGCACAGTATCAGGCTCATCATCATTCCATCGTAGAGCAGGGAGGAGCTCGTGAGACCTCACTCCTTCCTGATGATTTATAGGCAGCAAACAGTTGCTGGAAGAAGGAGATACATTCAGTGGTGTAGTCCCTGGTAAGTTGCCAATAATGTTGCAAATAACTCCCTATGGGGGATCTTCTAATAACCTAATTAAACTGATAATTCATGGAATAAAGATGAGAGTAGAGGCCAAGCTGGGAAGAGAAACAAAGATTACAGAGTGTGAGGGGACAGGAGAGAATAATTAAGGTTAATACAGCATACAGTATGAAAATGCTTCAATTAATCCTTTTATGTATAACTAATACATGATAACAAAAAAACCTCAAAGACAAAATCCACATTTCATTCGTTAAAATACAACAGCACAATGAAGGGCTTTACCAGTTGACTTTTCACTCTCCACTTCTGCTGAGGTTGAAGACACATCTACGAACAAAAAGAAGAAAAATGTATGTGTGGTTATTTTCCAAACAGAAAGAGGAGAAGCTCCGACTGGGTTTAATAAGAAATTTGAGAGTCAAAAAAAAACATTACCAGAAGAGGCATCTTCTGTGGAAGCTGAAGATGCATCTGTGTGTAAGCCCAGAGAAGAAGATGCTCTAACATGAGTACAACAATACTTGGGGTGTTTTCACTATCTTTACTTAGTGGTCAGCTTGACCATTAAGTAGGTTCAGTGTCTAAGTACAACATGACAAATAAAATAGTTAAGCAGCACCATGTGTTTACCATTTGAAGAACTTGTTTCTGCTGAGGTCGAAGAAGTGTCTGTAGACAAAGAGAAGAAAAGGCACAGCCAGATCATTTACCAATTAGGAGGAAGAAAAGCTCTCATTTTATTAGTTAAGAAAAATGACAGGTAGAAAACATTACCAGAGGAGGTCACTCCTGCTGATGAAGATACATTTGCATATAAACCCAGAAAAAAAGTATCGGAGGCTTTAAAATTAATGTCGTGGGTTGAGTGGATGGCTCACCTAGAACCTGAGCTCAATTCCCAAGAGTTATGTAAAAGCACTAGGAGTGCTGGCGTGTGCTTGTAATCTCAGTGCTGGGGAGGCAGAGACATGGGAACCCATATGGCTTACTGGCCAGTCATTCAGTCTAATTAGTGAGCTCCAGACTAGTGACAGACCCTGTCTTAAAGGAAGTGGATGGCATTACTAAGAATGACACATAAGGTCCTTTTCTAGTCTCGCTACACAAGAGCACCTATGCGTACAGATGCACTTTCAGGTGTGAACACGCATGCATATACTCAGAAGAAATGAATGGCTTTCATTGATCTTTACTTTGTAGTCAGTATGATTGTAAGGAGGCTCATTTTCTAAATACATAACAAGTAAGAATACTATCACATTAGTTAAATAGCATCCTAGGAGAATTTACAAGCTGAAGAAGTCACTTGCTGAACTTGAGGACATATATATGAATGAAAAGTAGATGAAACACATCTTGGGTCAGTTGCCAAATAGAAAGAAAAAAATCCCTGGTTGTATTAAAGAAATGTGACAGTCAAAATCATTACCTGAGGATGTTTCCACTTCTTCTGAGGATGAAGATGCATCTACATAAATCCAGAGACAGGATGCTTTGAAATGAGTGTCTTTTCACTGATCCTTGTGTTGTAGCCAATATGATCATTAAGTGGATTAATTTCTAAATATGACTTGACAAATAAGGAACCCATCTCTAAAGCTGAAGGCACCACACACTTTGCTTGCTGGGTATGCAGAAATCGAGGTGGAACTGAGCTTTAAGCTTTCTTCTTCATGGCTAACTTTCCCAGGGTGGATGGTCTCATTCAGACCACTGGGGAAGCACTGTCATCAATAGTCTTACTCCACTGTGAATTCTGCATGTTACACTATTGATTTGTCAGGAGAAATGCACCCCTTGGTTTAAGAGTGACATGACTGTTGTGGGTGTAACTAACTTTTCTGACTGGATTTGAGGCTACTCCCTAGGAATCCAGCACTGCAAACCTGGTCAAAAGCCCATAGAATAGGACGTGATAGGGCTAGTGGAAAGCTACTGCTGTTGTTTTGCTAAATGGAATTGATATGGCTGTCAAGTTGACACCTAAATTATTATGTTTATGCCCATAAATTGGTGCTGGCTTCTGCTTTTGTCAGAGAAGCTTCTTTTTGCAGTGGGTGGTGGTGACTGCAGAGACTAATGACTGCTCAAAGTGCTAATAACATCTGACTTAAATGCTCAGCCCTAAGTGGGTCTATGTCATCCCTCTCCAAGATCAGGGAACATTGTTGAAGAAGAGTTGGGTGATCTTGAGCTTCATTTAAGTCTGTGGTTAGTTATAACAACTCATATTGCATATGGGAAGGAAATGAGAAACTTCAAAACTCAAACAGAATGTAAGTGCCAAAGAAAGTGTTGTAGTGATTTGGCATGCCCTCTTCTGGGCATGGTGTGCCTATGCCTCTATCACTGCTTCAGCAAGTATGACTTCCTGCCCCAAGACATGCACAAGACTGAGCCCACTATTATTCTGCCATGGAAGTGCATACTTATGTGGCCCTTTCCATCTCTAAGTTACAGGCAATAGCTGATGGCTAGGGGAGGGAGAAACATTTTCTTCAGTGACCTGGCCACTGTTGCAAATAATCCCCTCTCTATGCTTCTGTGAGCAGCCCAATTCATATTCACTAGTTCACACAAAAACCACGTGGAAGTAGAGGGAGAGATCAGCTGGAATGTGGGAGTACAAGAGAGGACAGTGGGGTAAATATGGTGAAAATACAGTATACACATATATATGAGGTCAAGATGAAGCCCATTATTATATATAATTTAAACATGCTAATAAACACATTAAAAAAACACATCTCGCCGGGCTGTGGTGATGCATGCCTTTAATCCCAGCACTTGGGAGGCAGAGTCAGGCGGATCTCTGTGAGTTCGAGGCTGGGCTGGTCAGACAGCCTCCAAAACAATACAGAGAAACCCTATATCCTAAAAACAAGAAAAACCCCAAAAACACATCTCTTTAGTTAAGCAACTTTGTGGGGGACTTTACCAGTTGGAGAGATTACTTCTGCTGACACTGAAGCAGTGTCAATGAACAAACACAAGAAGAAATGTACTTAGAGCCACCCTCCAAACAGAAAGATTAAAAGCAGCGAGTATATTCGACTTCAGAAGCATAAGCTGAAAATGTTACCAGAGAGTGCCTCCTCTTCTGCTGAGACTGGAGATGCATCTGTGTAGAACCCAGAGAACAGGGTGCTTTAAAACGAGCCGGGCAGTGCTGGCTCTGTCTTTTCATTGGTCTTACTTTGTGGCTGATATGATCATTAAGTAGAGTCATCTTCTAAATACAACATGACAAATAAGAAACAACACAATGGGAGACTTTACCATTCGGAGGCCTTGATTCTGTTGAGGTTGAAGATCTGTCTGCACACAAAGAAGAAGAGGCATGCTTGGCTTATTTGCTTAATAGAAAGAAGAGGGAAAAGTTTTACAGGAAAAAAAACTCATGACAATCAGAAAACATCACCAGAGGAGGTCTCCTCTTCTGCCGAGGTTAAAGGCACGTCTGTATATAAACCAACCCAGTGAGTAGGAGATTGTAACCTGAGTGTTTGGACTGAGGAAATGACTCAGTAGGCAAGCATAAAAACTGGAATTTGATTCCTAGAACCCACATAAAATGCCAGGCATGCTGGTATATTCTTAAAGCCCAGTACTAAATGCAAAGATAGAAGGATCTCTGGGGTCCCCTGGCCAGTCAGGGTAGTCTAATTAATGAACTCCGGGCCAAGAAGAGACACTGTTTGTAAGGAAGTGGTTGACATTTCTGAGAAAGACATCTGAGACTGTTCTGTGGCCTATACACCTGTGAACATGCTGTACACATGGCATTTGCATACACATGAATAACATATGCTTGCATGGATAGACATATGAAAGGAATGCCCTTTCATTGACCTTAATGTTATCGTCAACATGTTCATTGAACAGGTTCTCTATCTAAATACTACACAACAAATGAACAACCCATCTCACTAGATTAAACAGCACAGTGGAGACTGGATGCCCCACGGACACTGGATGAATGTCAAGGATACTCAGTGATGTAAATAGTTGCTTATCTAAGCAACTGGAACCAAAAAGAACATTCAAATTACCAGTTGGAGTGGTTATAATTGTAGTAGTTGCCAAAGAGCCTGTAAATAAGAAAAGGTAAATGGTCAAATCCTATTAAGTACCAAAAAATGGAACATTGACACCTGGATTTCATTTATTTAATTAACTTATCTTGATTGCCTTCTCCTCTGTACCAGCACTGGACTAGTGCTGGAGAGGACATCAACAAAATTACATTATGATTTGAGTCCTCAGAAAGAGGCCTATCTCATGGAAAGACAGACAAGACCAAACATTTCATAAGGAGTTGGAAAACTGCAGTGATAGTGCTATGAGGGAGGTGTGTATGCCTGTGTGTATGTGTGTAGTGTGGTGTGCGTGGTGTATGGTGTGTGTGTGGTGTGATATTGTGTGATGTGGTGTGGTGTCGTGTGGTGTGTATGCATGATATGTGTACAGTGCATGTTGTGTGTGTATGGTATGTGTATGTCTATGTGTGTGTTGTATGTGGTGTGTGTATGTGTGTGGTGTGGTGTGTGTGGTGTGATATCGTGTGATATGGTGTGGTGTGTATGTGTGATATGTGTGTGGTGTGTGGTGTGTGTATGGTATGTGTATTCCTATGTGTATGTTGTATGTGGTGTGTATGTTGTATGTGGTGTGTGTGTGTGGTGAGTGTGTGGTTTGGGTGTGGTGTGATAGCATGTGATGTGGTATGGTGGCGTGTGGTGTGTATGTGTGGTATGTGTGCAGCGTGTGTTGTGTGTTATGGTATGTGTATGTGTATGTTGTATTGTTATGTATGTGTTGTGTGTGTGTGTTGTGTGTGTGGTGTGTGGTATGTGATGTGTGTCTGTATATGTGTGTTTGTGTGTTGTCAGAAGCTCTTACAATGCCAAGGATCCCCCATCTCTCTACTAATCCTTCCTTCATCTTATTCCCAGTGCTGGGTCTGGTTTGATGAGGCAGTCTGCTCAAAGACAATGACAACCACTCTCAAGCTGTGTGCTCATTTTAACCCCTTCCATGGCAAACACCCTGCTGTCCTACCTGTGCAGTGTGGTGGGCAGAGGCCATTATCAGGTGAGGGAGTTGCTTCTACTGAAGTGGGAGTGATACCTGATACAAAACACAAGTGGGAATGTCAGTCAATTGGTCAAAAGTTTTCATTCATTTTTTGTTTACACTCTATGCCACCTTTACTGCAGTCTGCCTTTGTTGTTGGGAAAACTGATATGAGGGGTAGTTATTTCATGTCTTTCTGAGTAAGAATTTCAGCATCCAGATTCAAAGAACACACCCTGTGATAGTATAAATTAAATCTTTCCTGAGATGAAACCTGCTACTTGCAAGATCCAGACTCATTAGGAAGAATATCTGTTTGTATTGGGATATGGTACAGAGGTAAATCAAAGGACACTGGGACGAGTGGGCATTTTTGCTCCATAAGAGTATTGTAGCATATGTTAGCATCCATGCCATTGCCAATATGGAGCTAGCCCTCCCAGTCCTTATATCCCCACCTCCAACCTATTTTTTCCTAATGTACAGTCAGTAGGCTGGCCAGAGAGCTCAATGCTAAGGGTATGCAAAAAGCAACAATGTACTGGCAGGCTGTGAGAGGTTCACTCACATGCGTGTATGCAAGCACTTGACTTGGGCATGAACTTGTTCTTGACTTAGCTGCAGAGAGGCCCTCTTGATCTACTTCTGGGATCTTGTCTACTTCGTGAGATATTAATTCATCCAAGTGACTTGGAGAACCAGGAGTAAAGCTGTACTAGCTTGGTAGAATTTCAACATCATATCGTCCCTGATAGAGAGTGAATGGGAAAATGAGTATAAAGCTTACCAGTTGCAAGGACCAAAGCTGAAGCTGGGCTTGAGGTAGGAACTGTTGAAACAAGCAGGGTGAGAAAATTGTAGTTAAGCACCATCCTTGTCAATCAAGTTTATTTGTAAAACTAAATGACCCCATACACAAACGTGTCTTAATATATTTGGTTCTACGTTGTTCCTATTAGATTCCCCTAGTCTCTGTTTCATAAAGTTAAAGGAAATGAACTGTAGTAAGTAGTAGTACATGGAGCTGGAGCCAAGAGACCTGGCTCCTAGTGTCTGTGTAACAGAGTATGTGACTCTGGACAAGTCACAAAATCTCCAACCTTCAACTCCTGCTTGGGAAGGACTATCCTGCAGATCAGCACTGTCTGTGTCCTGCTTTTAGAAATACAGGTCCCTGGAACTGAAGACGTGGTTCAATTGTTAAGAGCACATACTGATCTTAAAGATGACCTAGGTTTGGCTCCAAGCACCTACATGGTAGCTTACAAACATCTGTAACTCCATGTCTTGGAAATCTAAGGCTCTCCTGTGATGTTTGCCAGCACCAGGCACACACATGGTGATGGGGGATGTCCTTCTGTACATATGTTTCTCTTATTGGTTGATGAATAAAACACTAATTGTCCAGTAGCCAGGTAGGAAGTATAGGCAGGGCTACCAGATGAGGAGAATGCTGGGGAGAGGAAGGCAGAGAGAAGCTGCTAGAGAGATGCCATGTAGCTGCTGAAAGAGTAACATTCTGGTGCATTCTCTGGTAAGATAAGACCACATCAAAATACTTACATTAATAAAAATGGGTTAATAATTAAGAGAGCTAGCCAATAAGAATCTTGAGCCATTAGCCAAACAGTTTATAATTAATATAAGTGTCTGTGTGTTTATTTGGGGCTAAAATGCTGTGGGAACAGAAACTCCATATACAACATAGTGCACATACTTTCATGCATACAAAACATTCATGCACATAAAATAAAGAAAAAGAAATGCAGACGTTTGGATGCAAATGTGCATTTTAACAGAATTGCCAGAAAGTTCTGTTCACATTAAACTCTGAGAGACATGGAAATGGAGATGACTACAGACCTGGACACACATGGTAGGGTCAGGAGCAAATGGAAAAGCCTGGGTTCATATGAAGGACAATCCTCATAGCTCAGCCTCAGCCAATTGAAATTCCATTACCATTGGGCATTTTGAGCTTCTTCCCTTTTGATCCAAGCTAAAAATCTTGGTCTGGGGGTGTAGTTTGGGGGGTAAATAACTTATATGAGTCCCAGTGTTTGATCCCTAGCATGGGGGAGAAACCAGCTGGATATGTGGATTCTCATATAAAAGCCTCTGTTTTTTTTAAGTGGGGGCTAATAAAGAATGAAGTAGCATCATTTACAAGAAAATAGATGCAAGTGGAAAATGGATGCCAATCTCAAGAAGAGAGACAATATCATGATTTCCTTCATTTGTGGCATGTGGCTTTTTATATAAATATATAAAGTCATGTGTGTTTTTATGGTATGAAAGTAGAAACAAAGCTGCCTAGGGGATCAAAGGGACTGACAGGAATAAAAAAGAAGACCAAGGAAAGGGAGGGTGGACAGTGTGAGAGGGGATGTGTTTATGTATAATGTAGGTGCGTGTGGAAGTGTCTCTATGTAACACAGTATCATGTACAATGGAGACATACAATGAGAACTATACACAGATTTGGAAAGGAGAAAAATGTGGAGCTAAAGATGATTTCAACACTCATAGGCAAAGCCAGGTGATCTGAATTTCAATTCTTAAGTGGATCAGTGGGCTCATGTGTTTCCCAGTTGAGGGTTCTGGTATCTGTGGTCTCTGAAGTTTCTTTCAGCCCTTGTAAAGTGCTGAGCCGCAATGGCATCATACCTTATTTGTCCTGGCCTGGAACACCTCAGCACATCTCACAGATCCAACACAAAAGAAAGAACTGCTTTCATTGTGTGATTTCAAGGTTAATTTTTACCAAGCCTGGAAGACAGCTTTGCAATTTTGGAAATATGGATGACAGACCATTTCCCTAACTGTTTCCAGTTCAGAAGGAACATGGGCAGAATTTCTCCAACCTATTTAAATGTATACTCATCAACATGAGCTCCAGAGTGAGCTTCAGAGTGTCCTGTAGAAGGACATTTACAACAGGGTATAAGGCGAGAGGGGCTTACATTCGAGAGTCCATAGACTCAGCAGACAGCAGCACACACACCCATGAGAGATCCCGTCACATAGACCACTAAGTCATAGCTCTGAGGTGACTCTTTATCCTCATGTTCTACATATGAAGGGGCAGCAACTCTGAGCAGTAAGGGGTCCTGCAGACCACCATCCAATGGCTACTGCTGGAGCCAGGGCATAACCTGGCTTCTAAGGCACTGCTCCCAGGATGCAGCATGGCTACTCAAGAAGTTTCCTTTTCAGTCAAATAAATATGAATAAAAATAGTTTCAATAAAAAATTTAAAAGTTTGGTTACTATGCGACTTCCGAGAAGACTAAATGTAATAGTGAAAGGGATTCAAAAGAGGGATTTGGCATTTCTCTAACACATCTACCCATGCCATTCCTTCCTTCTCATTTCCATGCCACTAAATTGGTGTCTGGTCCTGTGAGATGCTCTCGAAGCATGTGTCTCTGCATTATTTTATGGAAATGTAGATTAGAGTTCTGTCTGAGATGTCTGAAGTCTAATGAAGATTATTAAAGACTTAAAACTGTTGGAATAACCTATGTATCAACTCTAATGAGTATGTGAGGAAAGCCACACTGTGGGAGCTCTAGCTCAGATACCAGATGCTGTGCCAAAAAGAAAGGGAACGGAGGCTGGGGAGATGACTCAGGTGGTAAAGTGTTTGCCATGTAAGCATGAGGACCTGAGTTTGGATCCCAGCACGAATCTAAGAGCTGGTTCTGGGGAGGCTGAAGCAGGCAGATTTCTGGAGCTCACTGACCAGTGAGAGACCTTGCCTCAAAAAATAAAGAGGAGAGTGATTGGGGAGGACATCTGATGCCACTCTCCATGTGTACAGATACATATTTGGCATAAATATATATATATATATGTATATATATATAAATACATATGTGCATCCACATACACACATGCATGTTCACACACACATGAGAAAAGGAACAAAGTATGCATACCATATTGCAGTTGAGGAAAGCACTCTAGTTCAGTTTACTCCTTCAGTCAATAAATGCAGAAACATCTTACATTTCTTCCATACAGATTTAGGGTACAGTTTCCCTTTTCATATATAATTGTTTAAGAGTCAGAGCCTCATGTAGCTCAGATTGTCCTCAAATTCAGTTGTAGTCATTTTCTGATCCTCCTGCCTCTACCTCCTACGTGCTGGGCTTACAGGTGTGTGATTCCAAGCCCCACATTATGCTGAGATCAAATTCAGGACCTTGTACATGTCAGGAAAGCACCTTGCCAAACGAGTACATCCAAGTCACAGTGGGTCATTTCATATGATATACAAACTGGAACCTTAATTGGGTAAGGCAATCTATACACTTAGAGAAAACAGTAAAGAAGGAAATATTACCAGGTGAAGTTGTCATTTCTGTGGCTGATTCTGAAATGGCAAAGCAAACAGAAACTTAGGAGATCATTTTTATTTAAAAAGCTGATACATGAGCTATATTAAAATCCCATAAACAGCTTCTGGAATGTGGAACTAAATCAAAAGACAGAGTTTGTTGTTTTGATTTGTTTTTATGTTCTTTGTTGTTTGTTTTGTTTTGCTTTTGCTAAGATTGAAATAAAAATAGGTATGTGTGAAGGCAAGAAGTTATAAATGTTCATTGGCTGGGGGACAGTTTGTTCCTCTGGGATAGGGAAGAAAGGCCACTTCTTTGGTGCAATGAAGAGGATGTATATTTCTGAGTGGCAAATTACTAGGTGCCTTCCTCATTTAACCCTTAGATTGATAATGCTGACTTCTCATTTACACCAAACTAGGACTGAAACATACTGCTGAGTTGTCTGAACATTGGAAGGAAAAAACGTCCTTACAACCATAAAGCATATTATCACCCTAGATTCAATCTTCATTCAAATTTGTTCATATTCTAGCATAGTTAACTGCATAAGTGATTGCAGCCCTCCTTCTGGGACACAGGAACGAATGTTCTTTTGTCCAGTAACCACATCCTTGGCACTGAGAGAGCTCTGCCTGGGTCACAGAGAGTGCGAAGGAATGTGTATTAAACAGGCAGTCAACACAGAGACCCTTAACTCACCCAGGTGCTGAGAATAGTGATTATTACATGCTTATCCCTAAATTGGACATCTATCACAACCCCGTCCAGGCTCAGGGGACACTGAGGAAGAGGGGGAGAAAGAATGTAAGAGCTGGAGGATGGAGGGGGTGCCATGTCTTCTGGACATGATATGGCTGTTGCCCTCAGGATTCACTGCAGTTATGATTATCTGCACAAATGAAACCACAACATCAGTCATTAATTGAACTCAGTGGATTACAAAAGAAAGCAAAAAGGAAAGGACATGAAGGGAAGGAAGGGACATGTGGGTGGGATCCAAGTATACAGGGAAACTAGGAATAGGACACTGGGGATGGATATGATCAAGATACATTGATTGAAATTGCCAAAGGATTAATAAAGTCTAAAAAGAAATATATTAAATAAGCAGATGAATGACTTAAATTCCCTTATCCTAGTTTCTGCCCTGTTTAAGAGATGCTTGACCATGAATATTTTCATTTCATCTCATCTTCTTCTCTGTTCTACTTGATGTTGGGGTGGAGCAAAAAATAAAAATAAAAACAAACATAATGCATAAACCTAGCTGAATTAAGCAGAGAAAGAAAACAGCAGGAAACCATCCCAAATGAGAAGCCAAAAGGAAACAGTTTAAACTAAGCAAGAGAAATTGGATTGTGTTCATAGAATTCTCAAAAGCAACACTAAAAGTCAGCCCCAGAGCTCAAAGCAAACAACATAAGGAAAATGCCATTACTGTAGTGGTTTTAGTGGGTGGAGGACCTGGAGAGTCCTAAAAGACAGTACAGTCTGTGAGTCTAAGGGAAGCTGATCAAGAAGGGAATACCAAGGGAGGCCAGGAGTGATGGAGTGGGAGCTCCCACTGCCACAGAAAAACCTTAGAACATTGAGACAGGGCCTTGGGCATGATTAGCAGATCCCAACAAGATCCAAATGTCGCTCTACCACTGAGGCTTCCATCCCGGCAGAGGCAGCAGGAGCCAAGGTACCATAGTTTCCTGCTCCACCCACGGAACTAGGACTAGACTGGCTGTCTGTACTTGGGGTCTACTGCTGCGTCTTCCATCCCAGCGGCAGGAGCCAACACTCCCTAGTCTTCTGCCCCACCCACGGGTCCAGGTAAACCAGGGCCCATTTCCGGACCAACTGCCTGGGCCTGGGTTCTGCCACTGAGGCTTCCATCCCGGCAGAGGAGGCAGGAGCCAAGGTACCTTAGTTTACTGCTCTACCCACAGAACCAGGACTAGACCTCTGCAGGCACTTGGGGACTGCCACGGTGACATCTATCCCAGAGGCAGGAGCAAACTTGCCCCAGCATCCTAGTCTCCTGCTCCACCTACATGACTAAGACTATCAGGGCCTGTCTCCAGGCCACACTCCTGTGCCTGGGGTATACCACTGGGGCTTCCATCCATCCAAAGCACCCCAGCATCCTAGTCCATTTCTCCACCCATGAGACCAGGAAGTGGAGAGCTACCAGAACAGTGGACTTGCCTACACCCACCAGAAGGGAACCCTGGTCCCACACCCATCAGGAGAGGAAGAGGCACCCTCTGGAACCCACTGCAAGAATGGATGGGAAGGAGACAATATAAAAACACAAGGAGCAACAGAAAAACCAATATGACACTGACAGAGTCCAGAGACCCTACTCCAACAAGACTGCAACACCCCAACATGAAGGAACTAGACAAGAATGACATAAAAAACAACTTCATGGAAATGATAGAGGCCCTCAAAGAGGATATGAGAAAATCCATTAAAGAGATGGAAGAAAAAACAATCCAAAAAATGCAAGAAATGGAGCAAAAGACAAAACAAAAATTGCAAGAAACAATTCAAACAGTGCAAGGGCTGAAATCTGAAATAGAAACAATAAAAAACATGGTCTGAAGGAATACTGGAAATACAAAAGCTGGGAAAACAGTCAGGTACTACAGATGCAAGCATAACCAACAGAATACAAGAGATGGAAGAGAGAATCTCAGGTGTTGAAGATACACTAGGAAAATTAGATTCATCGACCAAAGAAAATTTTAAGTCCAACAAATCCCTAACCCAAAATATCCAGGAAATATGGGACACCATGAAAAGACCACTTAAGAGTAATAGGTATAGAAGAAGGTGAAGAAATCCACCTCAAAGGGGCGGAAAATATATTCAACAAAATCATAGAAGAAAACTTTCCCAACCTAAAGAAAGACATACCAATGAAGGTGCAAGAAGCTTACAGAACACCAAATAGAGTGGACCCAAAAAAATCCCCTTGACACATAATAATCAAGACCCCAAACATACAGAATAAAGAAAGAATATTAAGAGCAGCTAGGGAAAAAGGCCAAGTTACATATAAAGGCAAACCTATCATAATTACACCTGACTTCTCTATGGAAACGATGAAAGCCAGAAGGTCCTGGATAGATATTTTACCAACATTAAGAGACCATGGATGCCAGCCAAGACTGCTATACCCAGCAAAGCTTTCAATTAATACAGCTGGAGAAAACAAGATATTTCATGACAAAACCAGATTTAAACGATACATATCCACTAACCCAGTCCTACAGAAAATTCTGGAAGGAAAACTCCAACCCAAGGAAGTTAGCTACAACCAGAAAAACATATGCAATAGATAATCCTACTTTACCAACAGGCAAAAGAAAAAGTGGTGGAAATCCACATACATTTGCACCAGCAACAACCATTCCAAAACAAACAAGAAGGAGCTACCAATGGTCATTAATTTCCCTCAATATTAATGGTCTTAACTCGCCCATGAAAAGACACAGGCTAACAGAATGGATTCAAAGACAGAATCCATGCTTCTGCTGCATACAAGAAACACACTTCAGCTTCAAAGACAGATGTTATTTCAGAGTTAAGGGTAGGGAAATGATTTTCCAATCAAATGGACCCAAGAAACAAGCGGGGATAGCAATCCTAATATCTAACAAATTAGACTTTAAACTAAAATCAATCAAAAGAGATGAAGGAGGTCACTTCATACTCATCACAGGAGAAATCAACCAAGATGAAGTCTCAATTTTGAACATCTATGCCCCAAATACAAAGCCATCCACTTTCGTAAAAGAAACATTACTAAAACTCAAAGCACATATAAAACCTCACACACTTGTAGTGGGAGACTTCAACACCCCATTCTCAACACTATACAGGGCCACAAGACAGAAACTTAACAAGGATACGAAGGACCTAATAGAAGTTATAACCCAATTGGGTTGAACAGACATCTATAGAACACTCCATTCAAACACAAAAGAATATACCTTCTTCTCAGCTCCACATGGAACCTTCTCAAAAATCGACCACATACTTGGCAACATATCAAACCTCAACAGGTACAAAAATTGGAATAACTCCAGTATCTTATCAGACAATCATACCTTAAAGTTAGAATTCAACAATAACACAAATCACAGAAACCCTGCAAACTCATGTAAATTGAATAATACACAATTGCAGCACTCCTAGGTCAAAGAAGAAATAAAAAAAAGAAATTAAAGATTTCCTAGAATTCAATGAGAATGAAGATACAACATATCCAAGCTTATGGGACACTTTGAAAGCAGTGCTAAGAGGAAAGTTCATAGCACTAAGTGCCCACATGAAGAAACTGGAAAATATTCACACTAGAGAATTAACAGCACAACTGAAAGCTCTAGGACAAAAGGAAGCAGATGCCAAGAAATAATTAAACTGAGGGCTGAAATCAATAAAGTAGAAACTAGGAAAACAATACAAAGAATTAATGTAACAAAGAGTTTGTTCTTTGAGAAAATCAACAAGATAGACAAACCTTTATCCAAACTCACCAAATGGCAGAATATGAACATGCAAATCAAAAAAATCAGAAATGAAAAGGGAGACATAACAATGGACAGTGAGGAAATCCAGAGAATCATCAGGTCATAATTTGAAAAGCTGTACTCCACAAAATTTGAAAATTTAAAGGAAATGGACAATTTTCTGCATAAATTTCACTTACCAAAATTAAATCAGGAACAGATAAGCAATTTAAATAGTCCTATAACATCTAAGGAAATATAAGCAGTCATAAAAATTCTCCCACCTAAAAAAAGCCCAGGACCAGATGGCTTCAGTGCAGAATTTTACTAGAAATTCAAAGAACAGGTTATACCAATTCTCCTCAAAGTATTCCATGGAATAGAGGCAGAAGGGTCTTTGCCAAACTCTTTTTACGAGGCTTCAATAACATTGATACCCAAGCCACACAAAGATACGACTAAGAAAGAGAACTTCAGACCAATATCCCTCATAAACATTGATGCAAAAATACTCAATAAAATACTGACAAATCAAATCCAAGAACACATCAGAAAACTCATCCACCATGATCAAGTAGGCTTCATTCCAGGGATGCAGGGATGGTTCAACATACGAAAATCCATCAACGTAATCCACCATATAAACAAACTGAGAAACAAAAATCACATGATCATCTCACTAGATGCTGAAAAAGCCTTTGATAAAAGCCAACACCCCTCCATGATAAAGGTCTTGGAGAGATCCAGGATAACAGGAACATACCTAAATATCATAAAAGCTATATACAGCAAACCAACAGCCAACATCAAACTGAATGGAGAGAAACTCAAGGCAATTCCTCTAAGATCAGGAATAAGGCAAGACGGTCCCCTCACCTCGTATCTCTTCAATATTGTACTGGAAGTTCTAGCTACAGCAATAAGACAACAAAAGGAGATCAAGGGGATACAAATTGGAAAGAAAGACATAAAACTTTCACTATTTGCAGATGATATGATAGTTAAGTGACCCAAAAAAACTCTACCAGGAAACTCTTACGGCTGATAAACACCTTCAGCAATGTGGCAGGATACAAGATCAACTCAAGAAAATCAGTAGCCTCACTATATGCAGATGATAAAAGGGCTGAGAAAGAAATCAGAGAAACATCATCCTTTACAATTGCCACAAACAACATAAAATACCTGGGGGTAACACTAACCAAACAAGTGAAAGACCTGTATCGAAAGAACTTTGAGTCTTTAAGGAAAGAAATTAAAGAAGACATCAGGAAATGGAAAGATCTCCCATGCTCTTGGATAGGTAGGATCAATGTAGTAAAAATGGCAATCCTGCCAAAAGCAATCTACAGACTCAATGCAATCCCCATCAAAATCCCAGCACAATTCTTCACAGACCTTGAAAGAACAATTCTCAACTTTATATGGAAAAACAAAAAACCCAGGATAGCCAAGACAACCCTGCTCAACAAAGCAACGTCTGGAGGCATCACCATCCCTGACTTCAAGCTCTATTATAGAGCTATAGTCCTGGAAACAGTTTGGTATTGGCACAAAAATAGACAGGTAGACCAATGGAATCAAATTGAAAACCCTACAATTAATCCACAAACCTATGAGCACCTGATTTTTGACAAAGAAGCTAAAATTATACAATGGAAAAAAGACAGCATCTTCAACAAAATGCTGGCATAATTGGATATTGGCATGTAGAAGACTTCAGATAGATCCATGTCTATCACCATGCACAAAACTTAAGTCTAAATGGATCAAAGACCTCAACATAAATCCAGCCACACTGAACCTGTTAGAAGAGAAAATGGGAGGTACCCTTGAACAAATTGGTACAGGAGACTGCTTTCTGAACATAACACCAGTAGCACAAACACTGAGATGACAATTAATAAATGAGACCTCCTGAAGCTGAGAAGCTTCTGTAAGGCAAAAGACACAGTCAGCAAGACAAAAAGGCACCCCACAGATTGAGAAAAGATATTCCCCCACCCCACTCTGACAGAGGGCTGATCTCCAAAATTTACAAAGAACTCAAGAAGCAAGTCTCCAAAACACCAAAGGATCCAATTAAAAAGTGCAGGACTGAACTAAATAGAGAATTCTCAATAGAGGAGTCTAAAATGGCTGAGAGACACTTGAGAAAGTGCTCAACATCATTAGCCATTAGGGAAATGCAAATCAAAGCAACTCTGAGATATTATCTTACTCTTGTCAGAATGGCTAAAACCAAAAATATCAATGACAGTTTGTGCTGGAGAGGATGTGGAGAAAGGGGAACACTCCTCCACTGCTGGTGGGAGTGCCAACTTGAACAGCCACTTTAGAAATCAGTATGGAGATTCCTCAGGAAAATAGAGCTCAATCTACCACAAGACCCAGAAATTCCACTCTTAGACATATACCCAAAAGATGCCCATTCACACAACAAGGATGTCGGTTCCACTATGTTCATAGCAGCATTATATGTAATAGCTAGGTCCTGGAAGCAACCTAGATGTCCCACAACTGAAGAGTGGATAGAGAAAATGTGGTATATTTACACAATGGAGTACTACTCAGCAGGAAAAAAACAATGGAATTTTGAAATTTGCAGGTAAATGGAAGGCACTAGAGGAAACCATCCTGAGTGAGGTAACCCAGACACAAAAAGACAAACATGGTATGTACTCATTCATATATGGATTTTAGATATGGGTCAGGGGAGTGTCAGCCTACAATCCCAGTGCCAGTGAGTCTGGGAAACAGGGAGTTTCCCAAGAGAGATGCATGATACTCCAGAGAAGTGGAATGAGGCAAGATCTCCTGAGCAGATTGGGAACATCAGGGGAGGGGAGAGAGAACCAGGAAAAAGAGAGGGGAAGAAAAGGAGGGGAGAAGAAGGCATGGGGGAACAGGAAGGTTGAGTTGAGATAAGAATAGAGAAGATCAGGATAAGAGATACCATAATAGATGGAGTCATTATAGGCTTGAGGAGAGAGCTGACACTAGTGAGATCTCCAGAGATCTACAAGGATAACACCAACTGGCAAACTAAGCAATAGTGGAGAGACTACATTAATAGCCCCTCCTTGATGATAAGGTTGATGACTAACCTATATGCCATCCTAGAACCTTCATCCAGTGACTGATGGAAGCAGAGACAGATACCCATAGCTAAACACTTAACTGAACTCCTGAAACCTAGTGACAGAGATGGAGGAGTGATGAGCAAGACCATGATGGTGAAAACCACAAAGACAGCTGACCGGATAAGGTGGAGCTCTTGAATCCCAGACTGATGGCTGAGAGGCCAACATGGGACTGATCCAGACTCCATGATTGTAGTGCCAGTGAGGAGGCCACAGAAATCACTGGGGCCTAGGTTAGTAGATCAGTGTTTACCATGGTGTATGAATGATCTTTGGGAGCCCATTCCAAATAGAGGGATGCTCTCTCAGCCTGGACACATGGGTAAGGGCCTAGGTACTTCCCTGGATGAAATGACAGACTCTGGAGATCTCCCCAAGGAGGGCCTCACCCTCCCTGGGGAATGATGTGGGGATGGGCTGGGGGGCTGGGGAGGCTGGTGGAGGAACAAGGGAGGAGGGGTGGGAGAGGGAGCTGGGATTGATATGTGAAGCATTCATGTTTCTAATTTAAATAAAAACATATATTGAGGGAAAAAAGATCCAAATGTCCCCATGTTAATTTCCAGGACTCTCACCATGAATTACTGACAAAGCCAGCAGCAGGTACCTGAGCAGATGACACTGGCGTCTTCATGGTGGCCACAGTTGTGGACAGAGAAGCCTTGGTGCTGGCACTGGTCTAGCGAGGTCTCACTGCCCTGGCACTGCACATCGTCCAGGAAGATGCTCCCCACGCCCTCTCCAAAGTGGCTATTCCCAAGGGCGTCGACACCCTCCCCACAGTCCAGCTGCCGGCACACCACATGGGCATCCTCAATTCCCCAGAGGTCATCACAGACAGTGCCCCATGTGCCATTGTGGTGGACTTCCACTCTCCCTTCACACCGGCTCTTTCCATCCACCAGTCTGATCATGCGGTGGCCTGGGGAAGACCAGAGGTTAGTCCTGGATTGTCATGGGCATCACAGTAGGCATTTCCTTAGTTCTGACTACAATCCCTTTAAATTTTAGAACCATAGGAACTCTGGTCTCCTGCTTCTAGGTCCCACAGGATTACACTGAATAAGTGATTCTAAGTACAATGACTTGATTTCCCTGGCTAGTTCTGATTTCTTATCTACGGACTAAAAGCATGTTACAGCTATTACAATGATAATCATATCCTTGGATCCAAATCACCAAATCTATAGGCACCGGTGCTAAATATGTCAAACCCAAGTTTCATTTTTTTCTTTTCTTGTCTCTTGGTGCAATTTCAAAGTTAAATCATCTAAGAAGCAGAGCGAAGACACACAGTAATGTCCACATGAATGAATAGCCTCCTCTCTCCCATTCAGCTTTCTCCTTTGCAATCCCAGGGAAGCTGAGCTCTTGGGAGCCAGTGATAGTACAGGCTATAGCCCTGGGGAAAGGGGTCCCTAGAGAGATCTAATAATCAGGAAGTAGTGAGAGAAGCAATGAGAGTATTACCAGCTGTGGGAACCACTTCTGTCAAAGCTGAGGCAGCGCTAACAGCTGAAAGAGACAACCAGAAGCATTCACATTAGTGGGGGGGGGAGCTTTAGCTGATAAAACACCATGAGCCAAGTGAACAAGAACCCTCGTCATGTCCATGCAATTGGGCACACATGTGATCTGGTCATATGTTAAAGAGCCAGTCCATGCAGACAATGTCCCTGAGTCACCTTCCCCTTACCTGACTTACTAATACTCACTGAAAACGTCTTTTGACCTTACAGGCAGGTGGCACTTAAGGGACTTGTGGCCACAAACTAGGAAACAGTTTTTATCCCTTGGAGCTGTGAAGCTACCTCCTCAGATATAAACAAAACAAGACAACCAGCAAACTGATAGAGAGGAGACAGCCTCTCCTCACCTTGATCTTCATATCACCTCTCCTTCACCTCTGCCTGGCCCTCTAAGGGGTAGAGAATGAGTTGTACTGGGCAGTATTGAGGCCTGACAGTAGGACAATTAATAACAAAACAGAGCTATAGAGTGTTTGGTCAAGTTTTTTTAAATGGTTACCTAAACTTGTCCCTTGTGGCCAGAAAGTCCCAACACTGGCTATCAGCCATGAGGAAAGTCTCTGTACAGTCAAGCTGCCTGAAATCTCATCATGAGGGCTTACAAAGTTGATGTTCATAGAAGAATCATTTCCAGGAGTTAAAACTGCCCTACAGCAGGGCATCACTCTGGCTTCCAGGTATATTATTGCTTAGAGGACATATATATATATGGCCCAGAAAACAGGCTGGGGCAATAGACAATGGACCCTTATTTCCTGACACTAGGGTGACGAATGTTATTGGCTGTTGGAGTGCCAAGGGTGCTTGAGAAGCATGGAACTCTTGGTGCCAGACAAGTTCTTCGCAGCAGGGACCCTGTGTCCTTCTGTGTGGTTCTACCTAGTTTGTTTCTTGGTAGGAAAATGAAGGTCCAGCAGAGACCGAGTACCTGAACAGATGGCTCCTGCATCCTCATGGTGATCACAGTTGTGCACAGACAGACCGAGGTGGCGGCAGTACCCTAGGTTGGTCTCTGTGCCCAAGCACCTCACATCATCTAGGAAGATAGGGCCAGAGCCATCGCCAAACAGGCTGCTCCTGGGGGCTGCCAGGGCCACCCCACAGCCCAGTTGTCGACATACCACTTGGGCAGCCTGTATGCCCCAAAGATCATCACACACAGACCCCCAGGTCCCGTTGAAGAAGACTTCTACGCGGCCCTCACACTGGCTTCTCCCGTTGACCAGTCTCACCAGCTGCAGATCTGCAGGAACCAAGAGAAAAGTCAGCTCAGGGTCCTTCAGTGCTCAGAGAGAACAGTGCATCAAGACAGAGAATCTTGAAGGGCTTTGCTGACGTGGGAGACCTACACATACAGAGAAACACATATGACCACTTTCTGTCCTGGAAATTTAATGTGTTTCTATCTGTGCTGGATTGTCACCCCGTGAGAATGGAGGCCACAGACTAGCATTGAGGAAGATGTATCTAAAAATGCCATGCTTCCACAGAGCAGTTTCCTTAGTCCTCTTTTTACCTTTTCTTTTAAGATGAGAGTCTCACTAGTTTTCCTAGACTGGCTAGACCTCACTCCCAGGCAGACTTGGAACATGCAATCCCCTTGCCTTAGTCTCTCTAGCAGCTGGGGTTTCCAGTTCTTTGCCACCAGGTTCAGGGCTCACTTTTTTAAGGAACATTTTTCATAAAGTTGCTTTTCCCCAAACTGAAAACAACGCATCTGCAGACTGAGAGTTTAGACCGTATTTCTAACCTGGTTCCCTCAGATGTGATGTAATTTACAAAATAAAATTAGTTGTTCATTACTTGAATCTAGAAAACATAAAACGTGTCTATCAGAGATGCAGCATCCTGAGGCAAGGTGGGGGAATCAACCAGGGAAAAGACCCTCTGACCTGAAACTGATGTAGTCGATTCTCAGAGTCTGAACCCTCAGAACTGGGTTGGGCTCTTTTCAAGAACTGACTAGAACACAATGTGGAGCCTGGCCGCTGAACATCAGATTCTGCAACTGAGATGGGTGGGTAAATTGGTTCTATTCTTGAAAAAAACCCACAATAGGAGAAGTTACATGTCACAAGTTTTAATGAGCTTCTTTGCCATGTAGGCCATGGAAATAATGAATAATGTTCTCTCTCTCCCTCTTCCTCTGTCTCCCCATTCTTCCCCCCTCACTCTCTCTGTGCGTGTGCATGTGCATGTGCGTGTACGTGTGCATGTGCGTGTGTGTGTGCATGTGTGTGTGTGCATGTGTGTGCGTGTGTGTGCGTTGCATGTGCGTGTGCGTGTGCATGTGTGTGTGTGTGTGTGTCCATCTGTCTGCATGAGCTTGCATGCACCTGTATTAGATGTCACCCCAGGTTTATTCTTCAGGATGCCTTCTACCTTGTGCCTTTGAGAATATAAAGTCTCTTATGTTTTATCTGGAACTGGCAGATTTGGCTTTGACTGGCTGGCCAGAAATCCCCAGGTAGCTTCTGTCTCCACTTGTCCCAAACTGGGATTACAAGCATGTGCCACCATACCTTGGTTCTGAGGACTGAACCAGATCCCTGGGCTTGCACGGCCAGCACTCTACCTATTGAGTTGTCTTCCCAGCCTTGTGTGTTTCAGTTCTGATAGTCACAAATGCCTCAGAACAGAGTCCCAGACTGTAAGAGTAGCGAAGTACCTATTGGTCGGAAACCATGTGGATGTTCCTCAGGAGCTGAAGTGGCTGTACAGGTAAGAATGGGAGGGAAAGTCATCATAAATACATCCTAGGCAAATAAGAGGCAAATTCATATCCTTAAGTGTCACCTAAATCATATAGGTGGGTTTGCCTTTAAGCAACCCTGCTGGGTAGCTGATCAGATCATTTCCATTTAAAATATGGCAATGGCTCACGCATGTGTGTGCACCAGTCTGTATAAGAATGAGACATTAAGTTCATGATGTGACTGTGAGGCCATGGCCTCATAGCTGGGCCTCACTGCCAAGGCATCCGTTTCATCCCAGTTCCTGAGTGTAGGCTGCAGATCGAGAAGGAGGCCCTGACTCCGGGTTCATCTGCCTCTAGGACCACCTGGCCTCCTTGACCTCCCAAAGCCTCTGCTGTATGAACATCAAAACCTGGTATCATAGTTTCCTGCTGAAATGTGGTATTCGTGTGCAGAAGAGATGGCACTCTAATATGTTAACATCCAAAACGCCTTTCCTCTGGGTGCGTGGCAGGCCCCCAAGGACTAGGGGACAGCAGTCTAGCTCTCGGAGAATCATAAAAAAATGAAAACACAGAAAAGAGACCCACTGTAGCAACCCTTTTGGTAAATTCTAGTCACCAGGCAGGAAATACAGTATCCACCAACTCATAGATACCTGGATGTCCGGCAGTTGCAGAATCTACAGAGAGAAGGGAAACATGAGATGGCCGATATTAGAAACTATGACGGTGAAGTGACCTGAAGAGCATGTCCTTTGTTTAATTGCAGTAGAAGGAAGCTGAGTGTGAGCAATTATTCCTAAGCATCTGAGGCTATCCCCTCTGCTGTGGGCTTTCATTTAACTAAAAACACAGGCACATGTTTCTGGTAGAATTAATCTTAGTAACAAAAATCAAACAGCTAGGAATGTTGTATAATTTATTGTGTCTTAGATGTTCAGCTAAGTATTGTGTGTGGGTTGTCTTGGTAATGCCTGGCAACTCTATGATGTTATTACTATTATTGTCTTTATTTTACGGCCAATTAATCAGACCCTCAGTTTGAAATCAGGTACCCCAAGTATTGCAAGCATAGCTTTTAGTGTTGGCAAAGAAACCCACTGTCCTGCTTGTGGAGGCAGGTTCAAAGTGTGCCAGCATTCGGGTTTGGCTTCGGAAGTTCTACAGCTGGGCTAAGATGGGCCTTCTCTCACCTGCACAGATGACACCAGCGTCTTCCTGGTGCCCACAGTTGTGAGTGAGCCAGTTGCTGTGAGGGCACTGTGCCAGGGAAGACTCCCTTCCTGTGCAGTTGACATCATCAAGGATGATGCTGCCTGACCCAGGGCTAAAACTGGTCCCTGGCAAGGCAGATAACGCTGGACCACAGCCAAGCTGTCTGCAGACCACGTGGGCATCCTCTATGGACCAGTTGTCATCACACACGGTCCCCCAGGTGTTGGCATAGTACACTTCAACTCGGCCTTCACACGTGCTTGTACCATTCACCAGCCGCAGGTCCAGGCCTTGGTGGGTAATCCAAGAACAATCCCCTTGAGGGTTCATTCTCAAAAACTGTCAGAAATAGCTGTTATTTCCTGGGAGTCATGCATTGACAGTCAGGGATGGCAAACCCACTTCCCTTCCATTTCATTTCAAATCAATTAAAGTCTTGTCCTTGGTACCACTTCATGTGTTTTCAAGATTGTGTTTGGTAAAGACATGATTATTTCTTGGCCAGTTGGACCAGGAACTTGCCCTGTGGTCCCTTTACTGAAAGCTGAAAATCTTAGTTTCTGGTATTCATGAAGTTTCCTTTTTTCATGAAGAGCTGTGATAACTGGTGTGTGTGTGTGTGTGTGTGTGTGTGTGTGTGTGTGTGCACACATACACTGATTAAAAGATGGCAGCAGCAGACACCAGGATCAAGTATGTCCCATGTGTCAAGGTGTTCCAGGGAATGAGAAGGGCAGTCATTGCATGCTGATGCCCATATTCAAAGTTTGTTGTTTTAGAAGAGAATAAAAGGTCATAAGACAGCCACGATTAGTTACTAGGTAGGGCTGGGTAGGGATAACAAGGCACCCTGAGCCTTAATGGAAGCCAGCCTCCACACCAACTCCATGCAAATTATTCTTGCTTCTTGCAGTATTTTTTAGTCCCAGATTTTCTAGATGGGGCAGGCATTTCCAGTCCTCCTTTCAGCAGTAGCCATTAATAGGACCAGCCTAGCTGGGGGTTGAAGTGGGAATAGACAGTGTGTTCAGTAGGAATGCTTCTCCTCCAACAATGCTGGGATCTGGGTTCAAACACCACAAAGGAAAAGCAACTGAGCAGAGAAGAAAAGGTTACCTGCTGATGTGGACATCTCTGGATGCTTTACTGATGATGCTGAAGATGGATAGAAAGCAAAGAAAGAAAGAAAGAAAGAAAATTACACAACATCTTTGTTACGCGTCAAGCATCTTCAACTCTTGGTCAATTTCTAGTGGATTTCTACCTTTGGGGCTATCTACAGACATCTAATCCCATCTCTTCCAGTACATTTCTCTGTAAAGAGTAATCCTTCCATCTCTCAAGCAACAGGTACACGGTAAATAAAACTGCTTTTATAAGTTCAAGAAAATCAGAGCCCACAGCTTACAGATATTTTTAAATGGATACAGATTAAAGATAATAAAGCATCCTTTGAGGAGCTCTGACGCCAGAATAACCCAGGCTTATGTTTCCTGTAAAGGCTTGGGGTCTTTCTTTCTCCCAGTTCGTCTCTGCGTGTTGAGTTTTGCTTTTAAAGGCCTGCCTGAATTTGAAATGTGGCAACCTCTGGACCCCAAAGATCCAGCAGAAAATGAAAAAGTTAATGCTTCTGCCTTCTTCATTCTCAGTTCTGCCAGGAAGAAAGTAGTGTGCAGAGGGAAATGCTCACAGTGCTCTGGTCTTAGGAGTCAGAAGATAATGGCTGATACCTACACAGCATGTTCCACCACATGCAAAGCACTGTGCCAACCCCTCCCTCCGCACTAGGAAAGTCACCCAATCCCAACATATCCTGAGGATACAAATGCCACCATCCACCCACCTCGTCTACAGGAGGAAGCGGACTCTTGAAATAGTTCAGAGATTTGCTAGAATTCGTGATGATGAAGACAGGGTGTTTGGCCCCTAAGTCATAACCCTCCTTCCCAGTGTAACTTTGCCAATGCAGGTTACAGCCAATCAATCAAGAACAACTCACATTACCTGAAATCATATCACTCACAGGAAATGGCGGTGCTGGGTGAGACAGAGAGGCTATGAAAGACACAAGCAAAGTGGGGGGGTCATCACCTCACCTCTCTTCATCCTTTTTAAACCTCACAGGTAAGCCTGATTATTCGAATTATTTGCTTCGGGGAGAAATCAAAGTCATATGTATCCCACCTGCACATCTAAGAGTGATCCCAAGCCACCACCTGAGCGTCTGGATTCCCAGGTTCATTCTGTCCTGATAATGGATACTGTCTTATAAACTGTGACCACAGTGATAGTCACCTATATGAAGTATCTGTCTTGCTAGTTGGTTTGGTTTTATAATTCTTATTTTTAATGAATTAATCAGTTGATCAATTAGACACAAGATCCCATGTAGTTCAGGCTAGCCTTGAACTTTGCTGTCAGCTTGCTGTGTAGCTGTCATATGGGTACTAGGAACTGAACCTTAATCCTCTGGGAGAGCAGTCAGTGTTCTTAAGCATTTAGCCATACCCAGGCCCTACCAAATTTAAAAAAAGGATTTCTGATGCTGACAATGGTTTCACTGTCACTGTGTGTGGTGATTTGAGCGAGAATGGCTCTCATGGGCTCATATATATGAGTGCTTCATCCCTAACTGGTGGAACTGTTTGGGAAGGATTAGAAAGTGTAGTTTTTTTTTCTTTTTCTTTTTTTGGTTTTATGAGACAAGGTTTCTCTGTATTGTTTTGGAGGCTGTCAGTCCAGCCTGTCCTCGAACTCACAGAGAAAGTGTAGTTTTTTTATTAATTTATTTTTATTTGCATTCCAATCCCTGTTCCCCTCCCTCCTATCCTCCCACTCCCCCTACTCCCCCCTCTCATCTGTTCCTCAGAGAGGGTAAGGCCTCCCCTAGGAAGTCTACTAAGTCTGTCCCATCATCTATTTGGGGCAGGACCAAGGCACCTCTCCACTCCCCACCCCACATGCCTGTGTCTAGATTAGCAAGGTATCTGTTCATATAGAATGGGCTTCCACTAAGTCAGTTTGTGCCTTAGAGTTAGATCTTGGACTCACTGCCAGTGGCCTCATAAATTGTCCCTGCTGCACCATTGTCACCTATATTAAGGGAGGAAGTGTAGCTTTTTGAAGGAGGTGTGTCCCTGGGGACAGGCTCTGAAGTTTGAAAAGGCTAAGAAATCCGCAGTTAGTTAAATCTGCTTCTGTGTGGATAAAGATGTGAGTTCTCAGCTACTGCACCAGCACCATGCCTGCCTGCATTCTGCCATGTTCCTCACCGTGATGGTCAAGGACTCTATCCCTCTGGAACCAAGAGCCTCAAATGAAATGCCTCCTTTTATAAGTTATCTTGGTCATAGGTGTTTTACCATAGCAATATAAAAGTAACTAAGACACTGTGTTAAAGTGTGGTCTATTCACAGCATGTGGCCATGGCCCTCTGTTTAAGCTAATGAATTTGGAACTCACATAAAGAGTCAGATTAAGGGAAATGATTGTGAAAATCACAGCTTGAATAGCAAGTGGGTATGCTGGGAACAGTGACCTGGGACTGTTCTAGATTCCTTTCCTGCTTTATGTGTGGTGGGACAGGAAGTTTGCAGAACTGGATAGTCTTGTTCAGAATCCAGCCCACCTGAGCAGATGACACCAGCGTCCTCATGGTGGCCACAGTTGTGGGCAAACCAGCCACCGTGCAGACATTGCCACAGTCTGGCCTCCGTTCCCATGCACTCCACATCATCCAGGACAATGGGGCCGAGGCCTCGTTCAAAATGTGCTCGGCCAATGGCTGCCACAGCTCCACCACAGCCCAGCTGCCGGCACACTACCTGGGCGTCTCTCAGGTCCCAGCTGTCATCACACACTGTGCCCCAGCTGCTATTGTAGTAGAGCTCCACACGTCCCTCACATGGGTGGCTGCCATTGGCTAGTCTGAGTGCCACATCTGGAAAATCAGACAAGCTGGGTCACCACCCTGAAGTTCCCCTTTGTTGATGAGTGTCTGAAGGGAAGGAGGACATGTTCTCTGGCTTGGCTAACTTTGAGGGCTTAGCCATTACACTGGGGCGGGTACCTTATGGGTTAAAGCTGGCTGCTGAGCACCTTGGAGTTGATACAAATGTGATATTTGACCCGGAGGATGTTAACACCCCCTCCACACACACCCCAAGTTAATTTTATATTTCACAGAACTCAAAGATGGCTCTCAAACTCCTTCGATAAAGTGACAATAGTGAGTATGTAAATACTGTCGCTCTACCATTTGTGAACTCATTATTAACATAGTTTTGAATAAAATAAGTTCTAACATAGGGCTGGCTGAGTCTCGTTTCTCCTAACAGTTCATAGACCTCTAATCTCAGAAGATGTGCGCATCCAAGTCCAGAGCAATATACTCAGCATTAAGCTTCTCCAATTTACATCCCAGGGGCTGTAAGTGACAAGAAGCTTGGGAAGCGCTCTCAGATCCCTCCCACCCAACTGACTGAATGTCGGTCCATCTGAGTTCAGTGCCGCTACCAAGCAGGACGGGTGACTGAAATGAAGAAAGGACCTACCTGTGTCTTTCTCATCCTGCAACAGAGACTCATAAGATGCATAGAATCCTATGTTGGTGACAATGTCGTCACTGTGGAACACCACGCTCATGTGGCTGGAAGAAGAGGTAAATACTGGGATTGTTTCTGAGCAGAATCTCCCCAGTGAAAATGATTCACTTTGTGGGCCATCAAAAATCTCGATGAAGTCATAAGGGCAGCCGTAGAAGTTTTCTATCCTGTGGATGACATGGCATCATTCAAACTCCTTTCCTTGTCCCTTTTCTCCAGAAGTGACTTCCCAGATGGCTGCAGCAAAGTTCAGGCAAAGCAACTGCAAACCCACACCTCTTCCCACAGATCGAAAGAAAGCCTGGTCCTACTGGTGTGGGCAAATGTACCCTTCTATTTTCTAATATTCTTAAGTTTTATATTGACAAAAAAGTGTTTTCACACAAGATGTTCTGGTCACATTTTCTTCCCTCACAGCTCCTCCCCACTTGCCCAACTCCACGCCACCCCTTCTTTCTCCCTTTAAAAGCAACACACACACACACACACACACACACACACACACACACACACACACACATACACACACACACACACACACACACTGGAACTCAAAATACACAAGCAAAACACCAATAAGACAAAAAATTAATACCCCAAACAAAGCAATTTGAGGCAAAAGTCTACAAAATACCATTAAATTCATTTTCTTTTAACTTGCTAAAGTTTTAATCCAATAGTATCTTTTTGGTGTTTACTATAAGCTCATAGAACATAATTTATGTGATAATGATAGTTTATGGCAAGAAGGAAACTCTTCCATTCCCACTAATCCCCAGACTTTCTCCCTCTTTCAAGAAGCAGGTCTTTTTCCTTCCAATGTTGTCAGATTTGGCAGTTGTCCACTGTTTTCTTGCATCTCATTCTGTACAGTAGTCACTTAGTTTGTGATAGTAACACTTGGCCGTACCAAAAATCTGACTAGCAGACCTCCTGCTAGTGGGCAAGTAGATTAATCACACTCTCTTTGTACTCACAGGATAAATTCCTTTTGGTTAAGATTACTAGGCACTTCAAGGCACAGCTCATTTGGGAGAATTATAGCTTCTTAATATTTTATATAATATCTGTACATGCTTGTACTGTGTGCATCCAGACCTTCCCAATTCCTTCCCTTCCAATTTCTCCACTAGCTCCCTCTCTAACTTCACATGTTCTCCTTTTTAAACTTTATTTTTGCCTATTTGTTTGAGACAGGTTTCACAGTGTAGCCCTGGCTGGCCTGGAACTCGCAGAGATCTGCCCGCCTTGAATGCCGGGATAAAAGGCATATGCCATCACATTCATTTTTATTTTAAACTTCCTGCCCACTGAATCCATTCAGTGCTTTGTGTATGTGCATGGGTGTAGGACCTTCGACAGGAGTTGAGCAGCATCCCTCAGTGCCAGCATCCCTGAGGAAAAGTGGCTTTCAGGGCTGAAGAGATAGCTCAGTGGTTAACACTAGCTGGTCTTCCAGAGGTCCTGAGTTCAACTCCCAGAACCAAGTGGTGGCTCACAACCATCTGAAGTGAGATCTGGCACCCTATTCTGGCCTACAGTGTTGCATGTGGACAGAACACTGCATACATAATAAATAAATAAAATATATAAAAAGAAAAGTGACTCTCAGTCTCCTAGTAGGCATAAATTGCCAATAGCTTCTCAGATAGGGGTGGGACTTTATCAGCCCCTCCCTCATGTATGCTGGGATTTTGGCTGGCTTGATATTATGCAGGTCTTGTGCATGAAGTTCATCTGTCATGAGTTCATGTGTGCACTATTACGTCTGGCAAAAAGGTAGTAAAACTGATGTATACACAGACAAGTAATGACAACTGTATAAGCAGAAAATATTTACTCACTTGACCACTTCAAAGGTAAGTCTGATGTGAGCGCTGGTATCCACTTGTATGTCCCAGGTACACACCACATTGGTGGGGTATTTTTTAGGATACCAAGGACTGGAGAAAGAGCCTGAACTATTTGTGAGCGAACCACCACACTGGACATCTTCATCTGTAAAAAGGTGAGGAAACCCCATGAGGAGACACCAACGTCGGATGCTTTGTGCTTTGTTTGCTTTTAGCAAGGTCAAGAGGAGAACAATGAGAGCAGCAGAGGAAAACAAGCTGAGTGTAGGGGAACACACCTACAATCCCAGCACCAGGAAGGCTGAGCCAGGATCTCAGATGTGAAGCTAGGATTGTGGGCATGTACCATATTGACTTGTTTTATACAGTGCTAGGGACTGAACCCAGGGCTCCCTGTGTGCTAGACAAGCTCTCTTCCAACTGAGCCACATCCCCAGCCGCAGCAACAACCTTTTGACAGATAAAGATTATTCCCTTTGTGATGGAGAAATGACAATACCTATAACTGAACAGGCCTCATGAACCCAGGTGCCCAGGGAGGTTTACATGCGCAAACCCAGTATACTGTGCTGTAGAACAGCTCATATTAGAACAGTGGTTCTCAACCTGTGGGTTGTGACCCCCACAGCAGTCACAATTCAGATATTCTGCATATCAGATATTTATGATTCATAATAGTAGCAAAATTACAGTTTTGAGGTAGCAACTAAATAATTTTATGGTTTGGGGTCACCACAACTTGAATAACTGTATTAAAGGGTAGCAGCATTAGGAAGGTTGAGGATCCTGAATTGACTTTATTAAAAGAAATAATTGGGAAGCTATTATCTTAGTTCCCACACAAGCAAACCAAAGTCAACTCATTGTAGATTATCATAACCAATTAGAAACTGCCAACTCACCTCTAACTAGGAGCTTCTCACTCTAATGATCCAAAGGAAGACATTTGCTTCACCAAGCAAACATTGGCCTTGCCTCCAACTTTGCCCTATGAAAGCCTGTCCTCTGAGTGAATCCCAAATAACTCCAGTTTGCAGCTGCTTAATTAAAAATGGCTATCTGATAAAAAATAAATTCTTTAAAGTTTTAATGTGTCAAACTGATCTTTTAATAATTACATACAAATTGGAGCTAAAATCAAGACCAAGATTAATTATCCAATTAGTGCCAAACTCTTGGATTTGGTGTGTGATTAGCTATAGACTCCTATGTAGCAGCTTTTTACATATTAAAAAGAGAAAGGGCATCAGCTAGATACAGAATGAGTTAAAGTGGAAAGACACACATACACAAAAGGAGCTGCCGTACCTGTCACGAAGCCACCAGTGGAGTCTATGAAAATACACAGAAAAAAGGTCATGATCAAGAATTTGTATCCATATTTAATTTTTTCTTAAAATACTAGACTACTGACCTTCAGAAGCATGTATTCCCCTGTGCCCAGTGAACAGAGATGGCCCTGACTCATAGGAGTCTGCAAATTTGTATCTCAAGAATATGGACAGGGACCATTGCAGGCAACCTGGGATTTCCGGTTCCTTGTTCTATCTAGAATCTCATGACATGACCATCACTGCCGGCAGTTGGTCCAAGAGATTTAATCTCTGGTGAATCTGAACCCTTCCCTTACTTGTTCTTATCTTCTCACCCTCTGCAGCATTCAGTCCCACCATGTTGCCAACAGTAATAGGTGTTAGTTAGTTCCTTTGCGAATTAGAAATAGAGTACTTGGGCCAGCCTCTCCAGTCTCAGAACTTGAATAGTAGCTGGGATTCTCACCCACAAGGGCCCTGACAACTGAATGGATGTATTGACAAACAGTACCTGCTGGTCTTCTACTTGGTGTGTCATCAATACCTATTCAAAGACAAATGTGAGGGTGAGAGACAGATTAAACAAGGTGGTCACATGACTCCCCATAAAAATCAGGCACTTTGCTTAGGATCAGACATGCTCTCTTCTGGACCATTGGAAAACTAGAATTAAAACTCAACCAGGCTAGTGAAGGAATCAGTGAGCCAGAGTGAGGGAGCACACTATGCCCTTGTGGTTCAGGTACATCTTGGTGTTTGTTTGATTTGGCCAGTTACTGGGCCAACAGAGCCTCTGTAACAGAGATAAGCCCGGTCTTTAACCCAGAGCCTTATCCAGGCAATACTTAGAGAACATGGTCATACATGTGGTGTTGGTTATGCCTTTGAGGGTTTGATCAGCTGAGTACAGATTCTAGAGTCTCTACTGGAAGCTGTGGATATGAATTGAAAATTCAGATACACTGGTTGTAGTATAGTTCGGCATTCACAGAACACTTGGTGGATACTGGATTGTTACCCGCACCCAGGCATGCTAGGCCACACATAAGATGTCTGCTAATACTGGCCATTTATATAATTGCTAGTTTCCAGGTGTGACTCTGAGCCCTTTACAGATGCTGGAATCTAAGATAGAAAACTACCTGTTAAGTAAATTGACTTAAAAATTGGCTTAAATCCCAGAGCTCATTGCTGACTGCTTGCCTGGTGGCATTGACATCTCCTTTCCCAATGGCTGGGGGCTGGCAAACCTCTGTCTCTGAGATGTGATGCAGCCATGCCACTCACCTGAGCAGACCACGCTGGCATCCTCATGGTGCCCACAGTTGTGGGAGAACCATCCGTGATGTGTGCATTGCCACACCTTGGCCTCATCCCCCATGCACTGCACATCGTCCAGCATGATATGGCCCACGCCGCCATCAAAGTAGCTCTCAGCTGGGGCTGACATGGCCTTACCACAGCCAAGCTGCTGGCATACCACCTTGGCGTCTGTCAGGTCCCAGCTGTCATCACACACTGTGCCCCAGGTACCATTGTAAAAGATCTCTACTCGGCCCTCACACCTGTGACTGCCATTCACCAGTCTCAAGGCCATACCTGGGAATGGGAAAATATGTGCTTCTGAGATATGACAATGTCCTCATAGTCTAGGATCATCTGAAGACTGGAAAAATGTTCTCCGTGTTGGACCCTTGGAGTGGCCCTGTGACATGATTCCCTAAAACAGTCTTGCTTTATGTCTGCTGAAGAGCAATTGATGCCTATTAATTTTTTAAAATCCCCCCCCCGTGTGTGTGTGTGTGTGTGTGTGTGTGTGTGTGTGTGTGTGTGTGAATGTAGACACATGTGTAGAGGTCAGAGGACACCTTTGCTTGTTGGGGAGCCAGGCTTCTTCATCCCACCAGACTAGCAGACTTGTGAGCTTCTGGGAATTTGGCTGTCTCTGCCTCCCATTTTACAGGGACTAAAGACATGTGCTACTGTACCCAGCTTTGTGGGTTCTGAGGATCTGAACTGAGCCATCTCCTAGCCCGGTATTTTAGAGTCTCAAGTTGGATAACTTACATTAAACACAGAGAGCTCTAGAATGTTCCTGCTCCCTGTTGGGAACCTGAGAGGTACACAAGTGTTCTGGATGGTGTGGTTGAATCCCGTCAGAAGAAAGTAGATTGATAGTTCTACTTGGTGACAGTTCCAGAACAACCTTTCATATTACTTTACTCCTTCCTTTGGGAGGGGAAGGTCTCAGTGGGATTCTCTATCGGCACACATGTATGAGACAGGAGGTCTCAGCCATATGTTTCTAGATGCCTTAGTAGAAGATAGTGACTGTGGGTGGCAGAGCAGGGACAAGGGCTATGACTGGCAGTGTCGATGCCACTCAGTAGCAGAGGTGAGTACATCAGGTGTGGTATAATTTCAGGTGAGAATTTAAAAGCATCTTCTCTCTAAATGGGACAAGACACAGTCAGAGGTAACTTCCTACAAGGTACATGTCAGGGTACCCACCATTCTGCCTTTCATCTTGGTGAACAGTGTTGTACAGAGCATAGAACCCTGTGTTGGTGATCATGGCATCACTTTTAAACACCACTGTCATGGAATTTGAAGAGGAGAGGAATGTGAGTTCTGCCCCAGCACAGACTTTGCCCATGGACAATGAGGCAACTTGCTTTCCATCGAATACTTCAACAAAGTCATAAGGGCACCCATAAATGTCTTCTAGCCTGAGGGGATAAAGTCAGCGTTAATCTCCCCACATCAGACTCCTCCCACCCCCGCTCATCACCTTTAAGAGTCCCCTTGAATATGTTTCTCCCCAACCTTTCCCTCTAGACTGTCCTTGTCTGCCAGATTTCTGTTCCCATCTGGTCTGTTTTGGTGTCCTCCATCCGGAAGCGTTTTTGCCCCTCTTCCCCTTCACCATATGTATCTCCTTTTATATCTCTTACCCCTTAATTTAAGCCCTGTTTTGGGTGGTAGTCAGTATCCACCAGAGACTCACAGAGGAAAATGCCCAGGAAGACCCTGACTGGGGGAGATAATGACATCGTAAAGGGATCTAGTAGGAGGACTCATCTCACCAAGGCCCCAAATGGCCCACATTTTCATTAACCTGGATGACAAGAGAGTTGTGCCAAGCACCCCACATGCTGTCTTCGTCTGCCTTGACCCTAGCATAGTTTTACAGGTATTGATTTATTTGACTTCATTGCACATATCAACTTATCACTACCTGAAAATTTCCACTGAGTTAATGGTTTCTTTCAGAACTGTTTGTCTTTCCAGCTAGATGTAAATTCACATCAATAGAGTCTTATCTATTTTGTTCAACCCAGTCCTAGATAGGAACCCACACAGAATGGGAACAATCAATACACATGGAAAGCACATTGGCACTTATCTAACTTAATAAATATTGCATAGCATGTACCATGATGTGTGTAATTTCTGAACTATAACAAGTAGTCATCTGTGCCTCCATCATAAATTCTCATTGCAAACACACATGGATATATATATATACACACATACCCAATGGACCACATTACACACAAATTTAGTACTAGATTTTTAAATCTGCCATTGTACATCTATCCCAGTGAAGTAAAAACAAACACCTAAAACTAACACATTTTTGTTTTGTTTTATTTTTGAGACAGGGTTTGTCTATATAGCAGTCTGTTCTGGAATTCCCTATGGGCACCAGGTTGCCCTGGACATAGAGATCTTCCTGTCACTGTTTAATAAGTACTGGGATTAAAGGCACCATGCCCAGGGAGAAAAGAACCCTTTTAAAGACAAAAGGAAGTGATACAATTTATGTGCAAAGTACAACAAAGTGGCAGTAACAGATATTGGATTGAAATAGACGCTGTGGCCAAAGCGTTCCCATGCAAAGAGGCCGAGTAAGTCCCCAAGGGGCCTTGGCTTTGATTTGCAACATAACTAGCTGGATTTGAGTTATGTCTTTTAAATGACTGTACTGGGGCTGAGACTCTAGCTCAGTGGTAGAGTGTTTGCGTGGTAATCCTGGAGTTTTGGGTTCAATCCCCAGTGGGAAATAAATGCCTTTTTCTGTATTAAAGAAAGACAATTCCAGCTTAACTAGAAATAGTCAACATAGCTACATAACTAGGCACTTCCCAATGGGGTGGGCCAAATGAGGCAATTCTACAGCTGCAGCCAAGTGAACATTCTCTTGGCTTCACTTCTGTGTGCCTAGGGAGGTTTTCCTCTGCAGTTCTTTAGGGTAGCTCCAGAATGAGTTCTTGTTAGTTACCAGATTCAAGAATCCTTGTTTGCCAAGTCAACTAAAAATGTCACTGTGCCCCAGGTTACCCATTTTCCTCAATCTGAAAAAAATATTACTTCATAAAGCAGGAATGCCTAGTGAGAATGAAATGGTAAAATTTAAATATTGTATAACTCAGAAATACCACCTCTCTTTTGAGAGAGGTCTCTTGTTGACCTGGAGCTCAAGGAGAGATAGGTTTGCCAGCCACTGGGGATCAACCTGTCTCTATCTCCCCAGCAATGATGTTACAGGTACATATTACCACACTTAGCATTTTTACGTGGGTTCTGAGGGTTGGACTCAGATCCTCTTGCTTGCCAGGCAAACACTGCTGACTGACCTATCTCTCCAGCCACCATATAAAGACATAATTTTACCACCTAAATGTGAAGCAAAATTCTGTAGGAATTGCAAAAGAAAAACAAATAAGCCTCAACATAAGTCAGGGCTTCTTGATTTTAGTCTCACAACTGTGCTCATGATGGTACTGGGAAACTCCTCTCTTGGGAGGAGTGGAAGGAGTTGTCTAAATCACAGGACATTTAGCAGGCTGACCTCCATCCACTAGATGGCAGTGCCCCATCCCCAGTTATGATGCTCAAAAATGACCTCAGACCTAGGAAATATCTTGTAGGCAGGTTAATCACCTTTAGTTGAGAAGCCCTTTGTAAAATACTACTACTACTACTACTACTACTACTACTAATAATAATAATAATAATAATGAAGAAGGAGAAGAAGAAGAATTGTATAGCCCAAGAAACAAGATGTAAAAACAATGTATTTAGACTTAAAACCATCAAACTCCAAAATCATCAACTTTCTCCCTGTTCTGGGTAATATATTAAATTGCTCCATAATCAGTGTGCTTTAAAACTATAGGAGGAATTTATGTTTTAATAATTGTGTAGATTACAGGAGACTTGGGGATTACAACTGCTTGGAATAGTGAGCGTGTGGCACGCTCCATGTCACTCCCACACTTTTTACACCTGTAAAGATAATATTCAGATTGTTGACTGCTGTGGCTAATGAATGCAGGTAGAAGGAAATGCCGAGGTTTGGGACATACTGAAAGACAACATCAAAAAGAGAGAATGGCCCTAATGTGGCAGCATAGAAAAATGAAACCATGGTTTCATAGTATCTGGAGAGGTTTTTTTTTCATTAAGAAGTTACCTATATGGGTTTATGCATGTATATGCAGTTGGCCTTCTGTATCTAAAAATTAAACTAAGAGTGACTCAAAAATATTGACATAAAACTAGTGCTGAACATATGCAGACTCTAACTTGTCACTGTATGAAAACAATACAGTATAACAATGATTTGTTGCACATTTACATTGCATTTCTTGGGTGTTCTATGTAACCTGAGATGATTTAAAACACACAGGAAAATGTACAAGGGTTAGATTCAAATTCTATAATAGTTCATATAGAAGATTTAGACTTCTGTGTAGCTGATAGGGAACATGGAGCCAATTCATGAACATCAAGGGACACACACACACATATATATACATATATATAATGCATGTAAATATGGATATGTAAATATACATTAAAACATGATTTTTTCAAATGGATGATGGTTGGAGAAAGAAGCAAGGAGCTCAAGGTACTTGATGGGAGAAATAAATAAAATCCTTCAATTTGTTGAAGTTTCCTAATAGGCACCTGGTATAAACTCTTAAAGGGAAAAGCAACTAGACTTACTTCACATAGTATCTGAGAAAGGTGACCAAACAATGAAACGAGGAAGACTAGATACCCATCTCACAAAAGGAAGAAACTTATATGTGATAGAGCAGGGGCAAGATCTTCAGGTTTGGGCCACCCAGCTAGAGTTCTATGTCTCCATGTCTGTGTGCTCATTGAAATTACCTCAAGGAATAGGATACTGGGATAATTGACAAAAAGACACCTACAACAAAGACTATGGTTTTATGGTCACCTAAAAGGTGTAAGAATTTCCCCCTCATGGTAAGGCATTCCATTTGGGAAATCACAGATTCAAATATAGTCCAGCCATTAAGTATAGAAAGGCAATGCTGCTCACTTCAGGCTTGGGATCGTCAGCTCTATGTTGAACTTCTCAGCTACATGTATCTCCCAGATGCATTCCAGGTCAGTGGGGTAGTTCGTAGGATACCAGGGACTGGAGAAGGAGCCTGAGTGACTTGAAATTACTCCTCCACAAGAGCTACTTCCTTCTGTGAAAGCAGATGAGAGACTTGTGATTGGCATCTTCAGGAATGCACTTGGCATTTTCCAGATGCAGAATCCAGAATTACATTAATCTATACATGGGAATAATAAAAAGAGTTTGCTAGTGAATGCACCTTAGTTTTCCTGCATGCTCACACATCTTAACCCACGTCCCTTTGCCTATCCTTTCTCTCCTCCACATAAAATTCTCTCTTCACCCACGGTGACTTCCTTCTCCTTCATCCTCCTACCCTTCCATGCTCTGCCAGCAGAGAGGATGGTTGGGAATCTGGTTCCATTTGGAAAATGTCACAGCCAGCTCTTGTCTGAGCTACTGTTTTATTTTATTACTGTTGGGGGAGGGGAACAGTGCAGGGCATGGGTTGTGTCTTGGGATCTCCACGCACACAGCACCGTTGTCCTCTGCTTTCGTCCGTTTCCCTCCTACACTGTGCTTCATCATCCCCCGCCCCCACTTCCCCCACTTCTTCCTGGTGCTTTCTTTCTTCAGTTGGCTCTCACTTCTGCTCTCCTATTACATAAATTCCACAACTCTCTCTATTTCCTATCTCTTTTTAAAACTCACCCTCCTCTCTTATAACCCCCCATTTACTCTCACAGCCTACAAATGCACACATATAAACACACATGTGTATGCACTTCTTTTCCAACTTCACATCCCACTAAGGGTTAATGTGCAGGGACTATAAAGAATTACCTTTTCATTTATGCTGCACGTTAGAATCACATGGGAGCTTGACTATTACTGGTGACTATGAGTGGCTCTCAAGGTTCTGATTTGACCAGTCAGTCTTGGAAACAGCTGATGTACTGGAAATCTCAGTATTTCCCTGGGTAACTCTAGTGTGCAGCCAGAATTGGAAATCACTACTCTGGTCCCTGTCTTGGTCAGTACACATATTTCTCAACCTTTAAAAGATGAAATTTGCAGTGTTGGACTTACCTTGGGGTGAAGGAGTCACCTCTGCATCTGCATGAACAGGAAATAAATGGGTTTAGGGAATTTAAATTTAATTCCATGGGGACAAAGAAATCTTAATTTTTCTAATGTGGGCATGTCTCAAGCCAACAGGCTTCACACTAACATGCAAGCATATAGATATAGTATTTCCTGGGAAAGCAGTTTCACATCTGGTGAAGGTACAGATGCAGACAATAGGAAAAGCCAACTAGGTGTCCCTGGGTGGCTGTTTTCAGAACAGTCAGACTCAGCACTCCCTGTCTACCTTGCTGAAGGGGTGTTCCTCCTGTAAATTTACCAGTTCTAGACTCCCCTAGGAGACAAACCTCTAGGCTTGTTTAAGAAGTTTCTAGATTAGGTTTATTGAGGTGGAAAGACCCACTCTAAGTGTGGGCAGCACCATTGTATGGGCTGAAGTCCCAGACTGCATGGAAAGAAGCAAGTTCAGTGCCAGCATCCATCTGTCTCTGCTTCCTGCTTCAATACAATATGACTAGCGTCTCAAGCTCCATTCTCCATGACTTCTCTGCCAGTGTAGACTGCACTTGAACTATGAGTCAAAACCAACCCTTCCTTCTGTAAGTTGCTACTGTCAGGTATTTCGTTTGCACTTTGAGAAAAGTAACCAATATGGTCATTTTCAATAGAGTCACATCCCCGCTCTGTCCATGGCTTTTATCCATCACTAAGCTACCTCACTGAAAGAACTCATTATGGGAGGCACAGTACCTGAGCAGATAACTCCAGCATCCTCGTGGTGGCCACAGTTGTGGTCTAACCAGGCAGAGCTGGGACACTGGCCGAAGTGGCTCTCCTTTCCTGAACACTGAATGTTGTCCAGGAGGATGTTTCCAGAGCCCGGGCCAAAGTAGGCACTTCCAGGAGCAGCAACGGCATGGCCACACCCCAGTTGTCTGCACACGACCTCAGCTTCATTCATGTCCCACAAGTCGTCACACACAGTGCCCCAGGCCCCCTGATGGAGGACCTCAACACGTCCTGAGCACTGCCCAGAGCTGCCTGCCAGCCGCAGCACTAGTCTGTCTTCTACACAAAGGAAGATTTGTTTTTGAGCATGGGAAGGTTTATGTAAGAAGTGACTCCCAGAGGCTGTGCCATGGCCAAGGCTAACACTACATAAACCCTTGTGGTTGTCTTGATTCCATATGAAACCCAAGGGTTATAGAGCAGGACAGAAACTGGGGTAGAATCTCATTCTACTGCTGTCCCTTACTTGGCAATTACTTCATCTCTCTGAGTTGGTTCCTCGTTTGTAAAGTGAGGAATATAACAAGAGGTTATCCCAGAGGCCCTTGGGATGAGTCGGTGACAGCACACATATAAGACACACAGAACATACCCAGAAAGGAATTTCTTTCCTCAGAGACAAGCAAGCCAAAGCTTCAGAAGGAGCTTACTAATTATCTGGCTTCCCTGGCAACCACAAAGAATTATTGAACTTTCCTGCAAGGGGAACCTGAACATCAAAAAATCCCACAACTGACAGGCAGTGTCCCTCTGCAACGACTGGCTACAAGACCAGGCCTAAAAGGAGTCTCCAAGCCTCTAGTTGGGGTGACTCTATGATTTAGGGCATGCTGGGTTTGAGCTGGATCAACAGGTAGAGGGAGTGCAATCTCCTGGAGAGCAGAGCTTCTACACTTCAGAACCCTGGACAGTTCCCTAAATGCTTATTGCCTAGGATGCAGCTGCCTGGTCTTTTACAACTGTCCTTTGCAGTTTGTTTGTTTGTGTTTTTCAGAATCTACTTTACCTTCTTACTGCCACTTGATACCTAGCCCTCATTGTGAGAAAACATAGTCCCTCGTGTAAATAGGAGAGTGAGGTTAGAAATTGTTCTCTATTACATCCCCAAAGACAACCAAGCTTCCTACCTGACTCCCTTCCATCTTGTGAAACTGCATTGAAAAAAGCATAAAAACCAGTATTTGTTGTCATATAATCACTTCGGAACACCACAGTCAAGATGTCTGAGGAGGAGAAAAATACCACAGCTGATGGGGCACAGAACTTCCCCATGGAGAGTGATGCAATTCTGGGGCCATCAAAGATCTCAATTGAGTCATAGGGACATCCAAGGATATCTTCCAGGCTGGGGGAATAAAAGCTGGGAATTAGTGGCACAGTACCAAGATCCTCAGTATCAATGCCCCAAACTGTGACTATCTCAGAACATGAAGTATTCATTAGCTTTCCCAAATGCTGTATCAGGACTCTATTTTCTTTGCCTGGGGAGTATGTGAAGCTTATTATTACAGCTTTGCCATGAGTTTTAAAACCATAGTGGTTCTGACCAGCCTCAGAGGTAATATAGCTTAGGATTTGTGATTGCTGTTTGTTTGGGTTTAAAGCAAGTTCGAATTGACAGCCTTGACACAGTTGTGGCTGAACTATGACTCAGTGCATGGCTGAGGCTGGCTTATCATGGAATCTAATGGTCTTGCTCTATTGCAGCATGGTGTGTACTATGTGCAAGAAGAAAGACCTTGTGAAGATTTTGCTGGGAGAAAACCTTTGGTGAGGAATGGGGGCTTCAGCATCAGACAGACCAGCACTCCTGTCAATGTGCTAGTTAGTTACTCTCCACAATATCATTTTCCTCCTCTCTAATGAGGATGAGACATCTGTAGGCTATAATGATGCCAGAACATGACAGAGCCGCCTAGAAGCATCTAGCCTAGGGGCTGTGGAGATAGCTCAGTTGGTAAAGTGTTTGTCATGAAACATGGAAACCTGACTTTAATCCCCAGAACCAAAAGGAAATTCTGGTTGTGGTGACTTTCCTTACTTCAAGAATTCAAGGCCCGTGAGAGATCTTCTCTTGAAGAACAAGGTAGACAGTGTCTGAGAAATGACACCTGAAATGACCTTTGATCTCTACAATGCTGACAGGTACACATACACATAGAAGAAGCATGTATTTCATGGTCTGGACGCAGTCAGCATTCTAAAACGTTAGCTGTTACTTTATGTCATGGTGAGGAAAAGTTGGCAGTAACTATGAAACACTGTTCTTTGTGCCACAGGAGAGGCAACAGCTCTTCCATCTCCTTTCCCTTTGGGGGACACTTAGAAAATGCACAACTCAAGCCTGGAATAGTTGGCTAACATGTGTCTTAGGAAAATCTCTTAACATTTGTATAAACTATAAATGAGCAAAAAGGCTAGCCTGAAAGGACATATATTGGTGCCTAGTGTATAAGGTCAAAGGTTTTGAGCATTTAGGGAATATTTTTAGAAAAAATTTATCAAAAGACAAACCATCAAAGGAGAGCTGTGTCAAATATGTTGACAAATGATTTGCTGCATTTTTCTAGCTAGCAGAGACCTACCAGACACCACTACAAAAATAATTCAGACTTGAACTTGGAGACAGTGTAGTGGTTTTTGCTCCTATGTTTTCTTCTCACCAAAGGAAACATCTTTACCAGAGCCGAACAAACTGATATTCTCACTCCATTAAACTCTCTCTTTAAAACTGGTTTCTTACTTCAAATTCGGAATCATGAGTTCTATGCGTAAGTTTTTCTCTACATGGATCTCCCAAACACATTGGATGTCTGTTGGATAGTTTTCTGGGTACCGTGGACTGGAAAATGAACCAGAGAGACTGGAAATGACCCCTCCACAAGAGTTACTTCCTCCTGAAACAAGAAAAAGGATGTCAAGTGGGAGCCACATGGTGTCATTAGGTGATCTTAGAAATGACCAGCACACAGACAATGTGGTCAAGAAAGAAAAGTCAAGTGTAGTCAGGTGGCATTTGGCCTGGGTGAGCTGACACTTAGTTTAGCATCTCTTGGGAAGCTATTGGATCTACTTCTGATGACTAAAAAGCATCACTGTGTGAGTTCCCATCTTTCCCTCTGCTCCCATTATCTGCAAGGAGATGTCACACATTCTCTCTGCTTACTGCATCTCTCCTTTCCGAAATGGAAAGAATCTTTGTTTTCTGAAAGAAAGATGAGGATCTATATTATGAGAGACTAGGAAGGGGTGCAGAGAGATAGGCTGTCTGTCTTGTGTAAGAGGGAACACTGAGGAGGTCTGTGGAGTAGAGCAAGAGGCTGTAAAATGACTGAGGTCTGATGAAGCAGGGAGGGGAGGGACATTGGTCAGAGTTGGGATCTTATGACTGGGGTGTTCTCTCAGTACCCTGTCATCACCTGCTGGATCGTGTTTGTTTGCTGTAACTCAGTGTATTCAGACTGAATATTTGGGGATTTATAAAAGTTAAACAAGAAGACAAAGATCTAATTCTTCCATCGTCATCCTCATCCTCATTTCAGCATGAGTAGGTACAACTCTGCATAGGTATACAAGGCAGAGTGCTGTCTAAATGAGTAGCTAACTGGAAATTATCAAATTATCTTGGAGGATCTTGAAAACACAACACATTTCATTGATTTTATACCTAAATATTACTGAGTTGCTCAACTTCCCTTCTTTTTGCCACTAGGACCATTTTGTAATCTTTGTAGGTCCCACGGGTTCCTAATCTTGCTTAAGACAGTTGCTGGGTGCTGCTTCCAGACATCTTACATTTCTGTCACTAATCACACTCTGGGGTGGGAGGAGGGATCCAATCCAGGGTGTTGTGCAAATGCTCTCTACCACAGAGTCAATTCCCCAGTCCCTTTTGTGGAGACAAAGTTTCATTGTGTAGCCAAGGATGGCTCTGAACTCAAAAACCCTCCTGTCTATACCTCTCAAGTGAGGAGATAACAGATGTATGCCACCATACTCCACTGGTAATTCCATGCTCCACTGATTGCATCTATAGGTTACAATACCAGGGTCAAGACACACATGCATGGCAAAGGAGAAAAAACCAGGTGTCTATGAGAATCCACTACAGGGATGTCCTAAACAAGACAGGCTAAGTGTGGGTCAGATGAACTATAGAACTACATTCCGTCATTTTGTTGACCTCTTACCTACTTTGTCCTGGGAAGACCCATAGTCTTCCTTTCTCACATGCTACTCCTAATAAACAGTCAACACTTACAGAGTGGCAGCAGGAGAGTAAGCCCTCACCCACATATGCCAGTGGCCCTTTAGTGCTACGTCCACGATATTGCCTAAAATCTGCTGATGTGGAATTACCATTTCAAGAAAAAAAAGTGACTACCTGATATTGGATCCTGTGAAGCTGGAGGAGGACCTGGAAGGGATAAAAGAAGATAGCAATGACATTCGGGGGAACTCTTTAGTCCCATCTACAATTTAGTGCATGGTAAGGGGTTTCTTTGGAAACATCAGTGTATTTTAGTGCAAACTTAGAAGAGTCTGGAGCTGCTAATCGAACATTTTCTATGGTTCTATGGCCGGTCAAAACCACCCAGTACTTGGACATGCCTCTTATCACCGGATGAGGACTACACCCCCTCCCTTGATCCTGAGTGGGCTCTGCAACCGCTTTCAACAGTAGGATATGGCAGAAGCTATGCTGTGTCTTAAGGAACTATTGAGATCTACTTCCTGTTGCCAGGATGATGCTTACTCCTACAATATCACAGTATTTTACCTACTGAAGAAACTTCCTGAAAGAGAAGAGGACCCATCTTCCCAGCTGCACCCACGAAGGCACCAATCATGTAAGCGAAGTTATCCTGAGCTCTTCAAACCAGCACTCAGGCAAATGACATGGAGACCCTACCTTGATGTTCTGAGGAGCAGAAGAATCCCAAGCTGAGCCCTGCTCCAAACCTAGAGAACCATGGCATATATCTAAATGTAGCTGTTTTAAAGCTAAATTTTGGGACAACAATGGAAAACCAGCATGGCTCCTTCTTCTTTTCTTTGTCATGCATACAATTTACATGAAATGAACAAACTACAGGCAAGCCTGCATTTGAATAGCTACTGCTGGAGTTGGGGGTTTAGCTCAAAGGTGGAGTGCTTGCCTAGCAAGCACAAGACCTTGGATTCAGTCCTCCAGCCTGAGAAATTAAAAAGAAACCAATATTCTTGACCTTAACCATTGTCCTTTAGCTTTAAACAGTATTTTTCTTACCCATAACCCCAACACATAAGCTAGCCTTGCGTTGGGACACCAAGCACTTATCAAAATCTTCTCCAGCTAAATGCCATGAGAGATACTTCTTTCAATGACCTGTGACTTATGTACTCTCTTCAGTGGAAGGGGATAATCCAGGTACATTCAAAGAGAAAGTTCCAGTTTTCGTCAAGCTAAATATTACAAGATGTCTGACCACCCTGCCGGAGAGACAATGTGAAGAGGTCCTAGGACAGGAAAAGGAAGGGGGCCCATTACTAAAGCTCCCCCTAATAAATGACTGTGGGTAGGGTAACTGTGTATAGAGATGTGTGGCTGTGCAGGAGAGAGCTATAGTTATGTACAGAGAGATGTGTAACTATGTAATAAAGAGATGTAACTATGTAGAGAGATTGTCAAAAAAATGAGAGTATACAAGTTGAAGTAAAAGAGAATGTTACCATCAGGACAGTGTTTCCTTATTTATCCCTCAAATAGAAAAAGCTGGCCTTGCCACAATCACAAATTTTTTTTTTGCATACTCTGAAGGTGGTCTTGGAGCAAGCTCTCCAAAAGACCCTGGTATAGAAAAGAAATATTTTCTAAGTTCCTCGCTGTTCTGAAAAGGCTTTCTTTTTGTTGCCCTGGGAGCTGGCCTCCTGCGCTGTAACAGGTACTGTTATTATGGTTGTTTTTCCTGGATAGAAAATTCCTTCAACCAGGAGGGCAGTTGACATACCTACCTGGAGGCATGGGTGGAGGGAGGCCATCTGAATCTGCACACACAAAGAAAAGCAACAGTCTCTTTGATAAGTTCAAAGGGTGAGGTGACAAGAGGTAGATGGTGACTAAAAGGGGCAGGTTCATGACCTTTCTTCAGAAACCAGCTACTAAAACTGTCATTTGGACACTCTCATCTAGGGAAGTCCTTGGTTTAGAAAACTTAGCATAGCCACCAAGTCAGTTATGTCTCATGGTGGGTAGAGCTAGGTACTCTAATATAAAATTCCTGGGACTCTCGTTAGAGTGCAGACTCCTGAGCTCCTTTCCAAGCCTACTCAGGTATAGTTTCTTAGGAGAGGTACAGAATCTTTACTGTAATGCCCCAGAGTGATGTCTGTGGATAACCTGGACTTCCCATATGCCACCAGGAGCTACTCTTGACAGGATAGGTGCCTGACCCAGGACCTAGTCCTGAGAGGTTGCTTTGAATGGAAAATGTAACCCAGCAAGAACAGTTTCAAACTGTCTTTATATGCATAGGAATAAGATGGATACCTGAGCAAATAACACCAGCGTCCTCATGGTGGCCACAGTTGTGTTCCGACCATCCCGAATGTGGACACTGGCCTAGGTAATGCTCCATCCCAGAACACTGAAGGTTGTCCAGGAAGATGTCTCCAGATCCCGGGCCAAAGTAAGCCTCACCAAGACTAGAAATAGCCTGACCACACTCTAGCTGGCGGCATACAACCTCAGCTTCATTTGAACCCCACAGGTCATCACACACAGTGCCCCAGACTCCCTGGTGAAGGATCTCCACACGCCCTGAGCACCGACTGGAGCCACCCACCAGGCGAATCTCTGGCCGTTCTCCTGTAGACAGAGATGCGGTGTGAGTTCCCACCCCCATGCCCTCACCTAGAATGTAGCAGTACCAGGCTCGGTGCACGGTTAGGGTGGGATCTCGGACATTGACCCTCATGTTTACCATGGGTTTCTGAGTTGCAGTTTGTGGGGGTTGCAGCGAATTTTGTTTCAACAGAATATTTTGTTTCCCATGCAATCCACTGATGGTACAGACATAGACCCTTAGGGAGCTTGAGTTTATTCACTAGTGAAATATATACATCAGTACAACGCTTTATTCCACACTATAATAATACAACAAAGGGGAGGGAAAAGATAATGACGATGATAATGTTAGAGGATAATGACAGACAGGAAGAGCCTGCGTAAAACCTCCTTAAAATGTGAGAAGGAGCTAACTGGTCAGTGGAAGAGCCAATGAAGATCCTTTGGACCAGAGAGAAGAGCACGGCAAGGAGCCCTAAGGGGCCATGCCACTTCTGTGTGTACCTTTCTCTTGGTGCTATGATACTGAGGCAAATGGTCAAACACGCAACCCATTTGTCAGGGACTATGTTTTACAAAGGGCATGCAAAAACATAAAATGATGGATACATACGTGAACACACATACATATGCATACAACACAGCACATGTTAAAAAAAATACAAAATTCTAGCCATTTTCCTAGTGGCATTCTGTAACGAATGGGGTGAGGGGTTGGGGGCTAGTGGGGGGCGGGAGAGGAGGGAGGGTGAAAGAGCTGAGATTGATATGTCAAGCAAGCTTGTTTCTAATTTAAATAAAATTAAAAAATTGAAAAAAATAAAGCATGAAGTTAAATAACAAAAAGAAGAAGAAAAATAAGTGAACTTAGAGGTGAAAGGTCAAATCGCTCAAGGATGAAGTCAAGAGTAGCTGATATTTAACTGTCCCCTATTAAAGACACCACTGACCTGGAACTTCCAACAGAGGTTTTTCAGCATCTGTAAGAAAAACAAATAGGTCAACATTTGTAAGAACTCCAGGTTTTAATAACAGAAGATGAAGTTTCAGTATACTCTCACACTAATTTATTAATCTATTATCTACCCCTTTAAATAACATGGTATCAGGAAAGCAAAATTTATCAGTAGGTCTAAACTAAGCTTCTTTCTGGGGTTTTAGCTTGCTATAGCAGTGAGAGAGAAAGGACAGATGTAAAAGGTTGAGGTTTGAATGATGTCTGCTCTCTGGAGCCTGAGTCTATTTACTGGTGAAACATGCATTAGTAAGATACATTATTCCACACAGGCAGCTCTGGACAGCACACCCGTTCTGAAAACAATGACTGATTCTTTCAAGTCACATCTGGGATTGCAGCTGTTTGCTTAAAAGTATCACATTGTCAGACAGGGATATCGGCAGACATTCCAGAGGGAACTTATTTACTTACAATTACGTGTTGGTACACGGTTCATGTATAAATAAGGGTAATTAAAAATGTCACAGGCAATTGAAATTACACACACACACACACACACACACACACACACACACACACACACACACAAACTCGTTTCTCCATGCCATAACTAAGGAGAATGATGAGATGTGAACTTCTTTGTCAGGTACTAAGCCAGAGCTTTGTCAAAAATATCTTTGCTGCAAGAGAGCAGTCAGTCTCCTAGCACCCTAAGTGAATAGGCAGAGGCACTAAAAACTTAGATGCTGTGCAGGTGCCGTCTGGAAGCTCACCACGGCTCTGAGAGCCAGCCCATGCTTCCCTGGCCTCTGGGCAGCAGGCTGCCTCTTGTAACAAACATTATCATTTCAGCTCCCAAACGCTTCCTGTATTCAGACACATACCCTGCATGTTTCAGCAAAGCACGCACTGCTAATGATTACTGACAAAGGAGAAAATTAGAAAGTGTACCTGAACAGATGACACCAGCGTCCTCATGGTGGCCACAGTTGTGATCTGACCAGCCGGAATGGGCACACTGACCCAGGAAGTGCTCCACCCCAGCACACTGGAAGTTGTCTAGAAAGATATCTCCTGAACCAGGGCCAAAGTAGGCCTTGCCAAGGGCAGACACACCCTGACCGCACCCCAGCTGTCTGCATACGACCTCAGCTTCATTCAGGTCCCACAGGTCATCACACACAGTGCCCCAGACTCCCTGGTGAAGGATCTCCACACGCCCTGAGCACCGATTGGAGCCACCCACCAGCCGTAGCTCTGGCCAGTCCCCTGCAGACAGAGACCTGAGTAACTATTGTCATCTGGGAACATGATACCTTTCCATGAGATGGCTGAGCTGCCCTCTCCTACATTCTATTAGATAAAGAAAACCTGCTAGAGTTAGTCAACTGGTCAACCCCAGCTGGCGTGTGATAAACCACAAAGACTGTCAACAGCATCTAGCTCATACAAAATCCACTGATTGCTATCTGTTATGTCAGAAGCACGCACAAATACATTTGAGCTAAATGCAGAAAAATATGAGATTTGTACACAGAACTGATTTTTGTGAGGAGCTCTCAAGTGTCACTTCTATGGTAGCTCAAGGTTATGCGGCAGGGTCTTAGCATGCCTGTGAAGGGACTGAAAGTTTATCTGTGATGGAACTGAAAGTAGAAAAATCAGAAGGACTCCCTGAACTCGACTCATGGAAGCCAACAGGTCTGTCTGTACAAGACCCTCCCCACCCTCTGCTTCTGAAGTGCCTTTTTTTCCTCTTGTTCTAGTTCATTGCCTGTGGGATGGCTCTAAGCCTCTGCCTATTTTGGAAAAATCAATCAGTATTTTATGTGGGAGGCAAAGTGAACTGTACCTGGGTCAGGCTTGGGAAGAAGTGAGATTCTCCCACTGGAAATATTTGTAGGCTGTGCAGCATTTGAGAGCTCTGAAGGACACAAAAGCAAAACTAAACAATAACAACAACGAAACAGGCGGTGAGAGCAAGAAGATTCTAGGAGTTTATAATGGTCCTAAATGCTAGGGTAGAGTCAATTGGTCCATTTGCAAACACATGGACTGTGTGTAGGTCTAGTACCCACGTATAAAGCAGGTACAGAGATGGGCGCTGAAAGAAAAGGACACTTGGTACTCAGATGAATACATTCTGGGACTTACTTGGTTTTTCTGTTACCATCTTGGAAGCTGCTGTAGGGATGGCTGTGGAGACAAGATGATACCTTGAAGGGAGGATTTGGGAAGCCAAGAGGAGCATCCTCACTCAGATCAGTCTTCACTAACACCCAGGTTCCCACTGATTCTTTCGCTTTGTCACTTATGTAATAAGGAACGTCCTAAGTCAGATCCTCTCTTCCCATGGATCTTATGTTGCTCACAGGTATGAAATGACACACCCTTCTGCCTCCTCACCAAAAATATAACTACATAATTTGTGCTAGAATGCAAACATTCATAGACCATATCTTTCTTGGAGGACCCCCCCCACTTTATTTTCTTCTTGTAATGGTTAGTTTAACTTCAACTCAATTTTCCTTGTAAAGATCTTTCCATCTCCCAAATTAGCTTTATTTTTAGATATTATATTTTTAGAAGCTATTATAAATGGGATTGTTTTCACGATCTCTTCTCAATATGTTTGTTATTGGTATGTAGAAAGTGTGTGTGTGTGATTTTCATTAGTTGAATTTTATGTGTCATTTCACTAAAAATCTTGATCATTTCTAGGAGTTTTCTTTTGACACTATTGTGATCTTATGTATGATGTCAAAACACCTACAAATAGAGACAATTTAATCTCTTCTTTTCCTATTTATATCCCTGTAATTCCCTTTTCTCATCTTATTGTTCTAGTTAGTGCTTCAAAAAATGGGGAATAACAGACATCCCTGTCTCATTCCTGATTTATTGGAATTGATTTAAGATTTTCTCCATTTAGAATGATGCTGGTTATGGATTTGTCATATATAGCCTTTATTATTTTGCCGTGTGCTGCCTTTACTGTCTCTGGGACTTTAATCATGAGAATGCTAAATTTCATCAAATGTCTTTCCTAAATCTGTTGAGATGATCATGTGATTTTCGCCTATAATTCCATTGATATGATTTACCTTTAATTACATGTGCTGAGCCATCTCTACATCTCTAGAACAAAGCCAACTTTATCATGGTGGATGATCTTTCAGACATGTGCCCTATTCAGCTTGCTAGTATTTTATTGAGAATTTTTACATCTATGCTCACTGGGGGTACTGGCCTCTAGTTTTCTTTTTTGTTATGTTTTCCCCTGGTTTTATACTAGAGTAAAGCTGGCTTCATAGAAGGAATTCTGGAGTGATTCTTCTGTTTCTAGTTTTCTGAATAATATAGGTCTCCTTAGAAAGTTTGGTAGAATTCTCCTGAGAATTTATCTGGCATTTTTTGAGTCCTTTAAAAAATTAATGTTTAAATTTCCTTATTTCTTGTGGGTCTTTGCAGGTTAGTGTTCCCTCCTTGGTTTAACTTTGATGATTTGGAAGAATATAGGAAGTTGTTCATTCCTTTGACAATTTTATCTTAATGGAGTTTTTATCTAAGTTTTTATCTTGGCATACATCATCATGGTTCCATGTCCACTTCTGACTCTGTTAGCTTGCATGACCTCCTTTCTTTTGCCCACTTGAGTCCGGGTCTGTTGTTAGTTGAGTCTGGTTCTTAAAGAATCAGATCTTAGCTTTGTTGATACTTTTGATTGCTTTCTTTGTTTCTAATTTTATCAGTTTATGCTCCTGATTTTTATTATTTCCAGGAGACTAAGTTCTGGGAGTATCTGTCAGGTCATTCCCATAGAGGTTTAACTGAACTGAGAAGATACATCCTAGATGTAGGAGTGGCCTTTTCATAGGTCATGGTCCCAGACTGAATAAAAAGGGAAACATATCCTGTATCCACATCTCTCTTCTTCCTGATTGTGGATGCAATGTGAGCTCCAGATGACACAGCTAGAGACACTCTCTCTGTCATGCCTTCCCAGCCATGATGGACTGACTGTACGTACCTCAAACTGTGAGACAAAATGGACCTTCCTTCCTTAAGTTGCTCTTGTCAGATATTTTTAACATATCAATAAGAAAAGTAACTAACATGCTTCTATTGTGTTAACTTTTAGATGTGGAATATCTAATTAAGTATGTCTTGTTCCCTTTGTTAAAACAAGGAATTAGAAAATCAAATAGACAATTGTGAACACAAAGTGACCTGATGGTTGATTAAATGTAACTTAGTTCCAATGTGACCAGGCATTACATTTATGCAGAAACCTTGTAGACAGAATCTCTCTGTTGTTGTAGACTTGTACTAGGAATTAGGAAATAGGAGGGTAAGAGCAAAAGTTGACAGTAAAAGTGCCAGGAAGGCTGGGCATGGTGTTGTACTCAAGAGGCAACGGCAGGTGGATCTCTTCGAGTTTGAGACTAGCCTGGTGTACATAGTAATTTCAAGGAAACCAAGGGATACATAGTAAAACACTGTCTTTAAGAAAGAAAACAAGCTGGCGATAGTGACGCACACCTTTAATCCCAGCACTAGGGAGGCAGAGGCAGGCGGATCTCTGTGAGTTCGAGGCTGGGCTGGACCGACAGCCTCCAAAACAATACAGAGAAACCCTGTCTCATAAAACCAAAAAAAAAAAAAAAGAAAGAAAGAAAGAAAGAAAACAAAACAAAACAAAAAACACCAGGAGTAGGAACAGAAAAAGAAACATGAACTAAAAATGGTGATGAAGTAATGACATGAGAGTTGACTCACTGATCAGATATGGGGTCTTCGATGTCACCTCTGCAAAAGCAAGGAAGATACAGTCAATAGATATTTGATACCAATTGTGGAGACTTATTTGACCCATTCTTTGGTGCCATCTCCTCTGTCTTACAGCGTGTGTTGCTAGCATGCTTAGTTAGCCCAACACTTACTGAAGGCCTGGGGACTGTTCTTAACAAAAACAGGTATGATGCCTGACTGCTATTTTTATGTAGAGAGTAGCGCAGAACCCCAGTTAATTACCTAACCTCTGAGGCCTCAGTTTCCCACTCTGTAAAAAGGGATGATCCATGGGTTTGTGTAAGCATAATACATGTGAGGAGCTTAAATCTCTACCAATGAATAATCAGTTAATGTCAGCTGTTACCGTATTTGGCTCACAATTGTTTTAATTGACTTTGCTAACTTGTGTACACCGTGCTTTAACAGACACCCTCAGCTTAGCTTCTGCCTTCCCAGCATGCACTGTATCTCACTTCCAGCTCTGATCTCACTCTTGAAGTCCTCTTGCTTTTTCTCTATGAACCACCTACCCAGTGTCACAGGCAAATCCAAAATTGATCTCTCCTGATGTTTGCAGCCTATAGTGCTCCTGTCTTTTCTAATGCCATTTTTGATATGCACATATGGGTCTGTGTAACACATTATATTAAACTTCCTATTTTATTGGCTTGCCTTAATTTAGTATATTCCATTTACCTTCTGATTGTGTCTGGTATATTAATCTTTAATTCCTTACAGGTTGTATACAAATATGACAGAGGACCTAGAGGGAACATATTCACTTCCTCTGTACAATCTAGAACACCTATCTGGGCTTAGAGTCAGAGTATTATCAGAAAGGACTCCTTCATAATCCATCTTGGATTGTGTGAAGCCAACAGGTTCCCCATCAGTCAAGTGGCTTGTTCAAATGATGGCACATCAGCAGAAAATTCAGAGCTTCATGCTGTCTTCTTACCTTTGGCTTCAAAATAATAATAAGCCATGAAATTCTTCCCGATGTTGTTCATGCCTCGGAAGTACACAAGGGTCATGGAGCTGGAGTGGGAGGCAAAGGTGATGTGCAACCCACTACAGGGTTTCCCCAGGGACTCCGTGGAAGATGGAGGGCCATCCAGGATTTCAAAATACTCATTGGTGCAGTCAAGGCTGGGGAAGCAAATATCATGAATGCCTCTTGATCTTCTCTTTGGAAAGTTGGGAAATGCTTTGTGAGTCCTGCTTTATTTTATAGGGGTAAAAATGCTGGGGACAAGCTCAAAACCTGTCTGTGATGTTGGCACAGTATGATCCTTCTATTCTGTATTTTTCCTTTGAGAAATACTGTATGAAAGCAATGGGATTGTTGGCTGATGGAAGATAAAGAAGACCGGCTTTAGTGGACCCCATGTTGAGAAATGGAAGCTGCTGTGATCACAGGGGACTTTACAGTCTTAGTCCAACAGCTAATCAAGGTCATTTCACTACATGGTGTTTGAGAGGAAAAGTCTAAAATGAGGGATTTGGGGGTTTGGTTGTTAATGGGACTGGTAACAGAATATAGCCCCAGGTTCAAATCCACCCCAACCCTAAAAGACAAGCTTTGATAACTAGAGGGAAGTAGGCTACAGATCTGCTCCACTGGCTTTGTGGAAGCCATCTGGCTTTGTGAGCTGCTGCATTTCTCTGTGAGCTTTGGTGTGGCTGTCACCGGTGCCAGAAGCAGACTATTCCCACATCACCAGTCCAACAGCCGTGTATTCCAACCAATCTTTAAATTAGACACAATTCTATGCATAAATAATTTGGAGTTTTCTTGGGGTTAATTTAAGTATATTTTTAATCTGTGAATGACTTCAGAGTCTGTATCTTTCACTGGATAGTCAGAACACCTGAAGCGTCTGTGTATACGTGACCCTCTCTCTCTGTTTCTCCCATCCAAAGTCTGTACAGTGAATTTCTTTTTAATTAAAAATGCATGGAAGTATGAATGATCAAAGTATTCTGTTACATGTATGAAATTCTCAAAAAGTATATGAAACATTAAGTTAAAAAGCAAAGCTACATGTCTTTGAAAATTTCACAAGCATACAAGAAGGCAATCCTATTTCTTTATATGTATAATGAAAGTGTGAAAAACAATATAATTCACAATCATTCCAACAGCTGCATAAAGAAAGTGCTATCTACATATACAAGCTTGAATACAAAAATATAGTATAAAATCCCCCATACTATCTAGGGCAAAGCAAAGCTGGGTCACATGTGTTGCTGGTGGGAAGATGAAATGACAGTCATTCTGGGTCTCCCTGTAGAAACATACTGTGTACTTACCATACAATGTAGTGGTCACATTCTTAAGCATTCATCCCTAATTAGTGAACTTACATTGATAGAAAAATCTTTCCTGAATGTCCCAAGAAGCTTTACTTGCAATCATTGAAGACTAGTAACAAAGCCAGATGTTTCTCAGAGGTGAAAGTATTAACCAACCCTGGCTCAACCTCATTAACAAACTCTTTTCCATAGTGAGGAGCAATAGTCCCTAGGCACTGTGGCAACCTGAACGGATCTTAGCGCACTGGGTTGACTGAAAGAGTCAAATCCCTACCAAACTGTATGCTATATGATTCCATTCACAGGACATTCTTGAAATGACAACACATAGAAGTGGAGAATAAACCCCAGTTAAGGGACAAAATGGGGAAATCCGGGACTACAAAAGGTGAATGGGGAGCTCCTTTGTGTAATGTGCCTGGAACAGAGCAGTAGTTTTGTGCAGCCATTCACGGGACTGAACTGTGTGGAATAGTCCACCCCCATCCTCACACAAATAATTGCATGTTAAAGTTTTTGAGAATTGAGTATGGGGTTTGGTCCAGTTAATAGCAACATCAATATCAATTTTTTTGGCTTTGATGATGTTCTACTACTGGGAGACGCGTGGTTCTACCTCTGGGAGATGTGTGAGAGGGCTACACAGGGCTGTGTACTACATTTGAAATTTCCTCTGTGTTCACAGTTACCTCAAAATAAAAAGCTTAAAATGTATGAAGGACTCTTTTGAATGTGAGAATTAATGTAGGGATGAACGTTTACAAGTGCACAATATACTTACATAGTATGTGTCACTTACTCAAGAGATGGGAATGCCAGCCTTACACGGTCAGAGGGACTTGCCCTGATTTCCCACACACAGGTAATGTTGTCATGCATTTCATTCATTGGGGGGTTCTTAATTTTTCCAGGTGCCCTGGTAATAACACCACCGCAACGAGATCTTTCTAAAAGAAGAAAGAGGTGTGACAACAACTGCACAAGACCACACCAGTCAACATGCCAACATGGGAGGAAGACATGTTAACAAGGCCCCACCCCTTGCTGAAGAGTGGCAGGCAGTCAACGGCTCCTTAGGGAGGATCAGTCTTATTTACCAATGAGGCCTCTGATAGGTTGTTCTTCTCAAGTGGTCAGCCCTAACCCCTTGTACAAATGGGGAACACTACCTAGACCCAGATAGGTAGATATATAAATAGGTGGGTGGGTAGTTAGATGAGAGGGGGCGGGGTGCACGTCGCATACATTTGGGAGGTGGATTTGGATATCAACTGAGGAGTTAGAAGGGTGAGGACAGAGTGGATATGATGCAGCTATGCCACACCCATTGTATGAAATTCTGGGAAGAGGGTGCTTTGAACCTTTAGCATTCATTGTTAACTTTACTAATTTTATAATTTATACTTTTCCCAAAAAGAGGTTTTACTGTTCAGCACTTTGTGGGTATGTCTTAGGATTATTAAAATCATAAATTGGTCTAAAATATCTTCCATACTTAAACTATTGGCATACATCTGTCTGAATATTGAAACATTTCTCATCTCTTTTGAGATTTCTAGTCCCCTGCTGGGAAGACACTCATTAATCAGACCTTTCTCTGTCATTCTTCCTTAGTTGTGGGTTCCATTTCTTTTGTCAGCTGTGTGCCCATTCATTTCTCATAATGTCACAGGAAGAATGAGAAAAGTACTGCCCCAGTTTTTCCAGTTAACACTGAATCTGTGTGGGATGCTTACATATTTGAAGATGACAGTGGCTGGCCCACCACCAACCATCATTTCTTAAAATGATGCTATTAAACATATACTATTAGGTAGATAAAAATGGCCTAAGTCACCTAGCTCTCTATTAATGATAGCATTTTAAAGCCACTGTCCACCCATCTATGCTTTTCACCTGGTTGTCTGTGTGTCTGTTCCAACACTTAGTTCAATGGCAGTATAAACAACTGGGTATCCAGTCAGATTATGTGGCCAAGTGGGAACTGGCTCTGACCAGCCAAGCTCTTCAGACATCATCATCATTTTAGCTTTTTTTATCATCAAATGGTGCTAAGTCTGTGCTCTGCCTCCTGTAGGTTGGAGAACCCAGGAACATAGTCAAAACTAGAAAAAGAAAGTGTGGAGAAGGAGGGTGTGAGGATAGGACAAAGGCAGAGAAGGCAAGGACTCTTCATAGTGGGCCCCTTCTGAAATGATGGCTGTGGGTAAAGACTGGCCACATCATTACATGAATGGCCGCATGTCTGACCTTCACTCATGGTGCTGTGGCTGGGAGAACACAAAAACTGCCACCTTTCTTTGTTTGGAACTCCTTTGACTGACTGGGAATAACACCACACCTATACGTATTCTACTCTTTCTTTGTAGGCTTTTCATGTAGAACAATTTCAGTGAGTGACCTAGACTAGGCAGTAGCATTCTGGCACGGTTTCCTTGAAGAATCCCTTCAAGGCTTGAGCAATAAGACAGAGGACATCCAAGGACATTAAGTTCTCACCTGGAGTCACTGTTCCTTTCATGACAGGGAATGGAAGATCTGCTAAACACAAAAAGAACATGTGGACCCACAGCTTACATGGGTCTGCACAACTTTCTGGATTTAAGAATCATGAGGAGCTCATGGTAAACAGTGCCTCAGCCCTCCAGGACTCCTCTAGAGGAGGGACCTGAGCACTGAAGGGCCATGTGGTACAATACTCAAGCGTTGCTGAAGAGCTGACAAGATCCTTCTTAGACTTCAATGTGTTACTCTCTTTTCACACATAAAAATACAATAATTTTGAAGTTTAGGGTTTAATGTAAAAACCAAAGACATGAAAATCTAGCTCCTAAGCCTCAGTAACCCAAGAGGTTGAGGATTGTATGCTTAGGATGTAGAAATGGGAAGACACAGCACTTCAGGGGCCAGAGTGATTGCTCACGTGGTAAAGAACTTGCACACCCAGGACCCTGAGTTCAATCTCCAGAGCCCATGTACAAAATCTGGGCTTAGTGACACACACTTGCAATCCTAGTGCCAAGGAAGCAGACACAGGTGGGTCCCTGGAGCTCACTGGCCAGCCAGCCTCATCTAACCAATGAGCTCCTGGCCAAAGAGAGCCTTTGTCTCAAAAACTGAGACAGACAGTTCCTTGACATCCTCTGACACACACTCACACACACACAAACACATATGTTCACGTGCACCCACATACACCAGAACACACACACACACACACACACACACACACACACACACACACACACACGCGCGCATTCAGCTTTCCTTTGACTTCATGTTGCCATGAAATACTCAGTGAGGGCTTAAAGATGCAGGGGCTCCTCCAGGCTCCCAACACGGCCCCACCCTAGCAACTTTCAGCTCAGTATCATCCATTGCAGATTATCCTTCTGGATCAATTCATTCCCCCCTGGCATGGTTGACAGATAGTGGAGGAAGTAAATGAAACTTTTCCAGACCTTAGGACACTCAGCTTTATTCCTAATTCATTCTCTGAGACTTATCTGAGCTCATGACACCAAGAGATCTCATGTCTGATGAGTAGTAAGGACACTGAGCATGAGACACTCCAGGGAGGATGAAGGAACACCAATGGTGATGGAAGTTTTCTGGGGCCAGGACTACACCATGAACAAGGTAGAGACATGGAATGGACATGGGAATCACCTCACTGGGATACTATTTGTCTGTAGCCATTCCCCACTTGGAAGGAAATTTCTAGTCCATACCTCACATTCAACCATGTCCTACCTATTCATAGGCAGTCTGTATGCACACCTCAAAACAGACTGAACAAAGTGTTCTATAGAAGTCTGAGGAATCAGTTATCATGCATGTAGGATGCACAGTAGAAGGGGTGAAGGGTAGTGCGGCCAGGGCAGATGACCTTGAAGGCACTGTGCAGAACCTTTTCCCCAAGCCTCCAGTGAACTACACACATAAATGTCCTCTTCCCTACCTGGTAGTGTCATCGTAACAAATTCAGCATCTACAAAAGTGAAACAAGAAAAATCTGCTGTGAGTAGTTGCATACTGGCACATGTTCAGTGGTTATTTATACCACAATCTCACAATTAGTTCATGTACATGTGGGCAAAACTAACTGGACTCAGATAGGTAGATATATAAATGGATGGATGGACGGATGGGCAGACGGACGGACAGGCAGACAGATGGACAGATGCCATAAATTTGGGAGGGGGATTTTGGAATCAAAGGAGGAGTTAGAAAGGTGAGTGTGGGGTCGATGTGATATAACTATGCTATACTCATTGTATGAAATTCTAAGAAAATGGTTCTTTAAGCGTTTAGAATCAATAGCTCAGTTTACTAATTTTATAATGAAACTTTTTTCATTTTTACTTTTCCTAAAAATAGGTTTTACTGCTTGACACTTTGTTGGTGTGTCTTAGGATTACTAAAGTTATAAGCTTCAATCTATTGGCATACATGTGTCTACAGTTTGAAACACTTCTCATCTTTATGGAGACTTCCAGTCCCTGGCTGGGATGACAGATATTGATCAGACCTTTCTCTTTCATTATGGAATGGAAATGGGAATTGCCTCACTGGGATAGTATTTGTCTCTAGTCATTCCCTATTTGAAAGGAAGTGTCTTGACCACATCTCACATTTCAACCATGCCCTAACTATCTATAGTCTGTTGTCTCTATGCGCACCTCAAAATGGACTAAACAATGTGTTCTACTGAAGTCTGAAGAATCAATTATCATGCACATAGGATGGACAACAGAAGAGGTGAAGGGCAGTGGGGCTGGGACAGATGACCTTGAAGTCACTGTCTACTCTCTTCTTGGACAACAGGTGATTGCACAGCTTGTCTCTCTGCTACTCCACTGTCTTGGAGAGTAAGACAAGTCCAGCTTCCAACAGAACTTCTTCCCCAAGCCTCCAGTGAACCCCACAGATAAATGTCATCTTCCCTACCTGGTTGTGTCTTCAATACATATTCAGCATCTGCAAAAGAGACATGAAAAAAATCTGCTGTGAGTGAGTGGCATACTAGCATGTGTTCCATGGTTATTTTTACACATCATGGGATAACAAGCCCATTTTCATTGTCAAGTTAACTAGATTTGGAACCACTTTGGAACTACCCCTGAACATGTCTACAAGGGTGTTTCCAGAAAGGCTTAGCTGAGGAGGGAAAACTATAATCTGATGGGTGAGGGGTCCCAGGCTGAATAAAAGGGATAAAAGTTTAAAACACCCCCAGTCTGTTTTGTGACCTCAAGTGCAATGGGACAAGCTCATCACACTTACACCACAATGGTAGGCTTTATCCCCAAATTGTGAGTCAAAACACGCCCTGTCTTCCGTCTGCTTTTGTTAGTATTTGCTAAAGTAGAGAAAACTGACTAAGATAGGCACGGAGGGTGTTCTCTTTGAAGGACCTAGTCTAGGCTCTAAAGGGCATTGGACTTTACCTGAACAGATGACACCAGCATCTTCACTGTGATCACAGTTGTGGGAGAACCAGCCAATGTGGGAGCACTCCTCCAGATGCTCCTCATGTCCCTTGCAATGCACATTGTCAAGGAGAATCTTCCCAGAACCTTCCCCAAAGTAAGCTTCACTCAGGGCTGAAACAGCCCAGCCACACCCCAGCTGTCTGCAGATGATGTTTGCTTCTGGGAGATCCCAGAGATCATCACACACAGTCCCCCAGACTCCCTGGTAGAAGAGTTCTACACGGCCTGCACATCTCCCATGGTTGCCTGCCAGTCGCAAAGGGATCCAGCCTCCTGGGAAGAAAAAGGAGTCAGGGAGGTGATAGTTGCCTTCTCAGCCTACTGATGGCTATTGTCTACAACCCAGTCTCTGTTCTTATCTTCCTTGACTACCCAAAGCACTCCATGTCACTGCCCCACTGTGCCTGTTCCGTAGAACCTATGGTATTTTCCTTATCTACATCCTGTTTCAAGACAGCTTCACTGTGGTGAATCATTTGCAGAAATAGCCATTGTTCTTTTTCCATCTTCTCTTTGCGCTGTGACACAATGTGCAATGAGATGCACCCAGTGAGAGGCTAGGCTTCTTTCCTCCCCTGTTGGCATTGTGCTTGGGTCTTTTGGTTCCTCTTAACTGTGGGAGCATGCAGACATAGCTTACTGCCTGGGCTCCCTGGAGCATCATGTGAATAAACACAGGCGAGCATGCTGAGTGACGAAGGACATGTAGCTAGTCATTTCTCTCACTTCAGGAGACAGCTATATTGCTTTCAGGCATATAAGGAAGCTGATCCTAGGATAGGTGTCTTCAGCTGGCTTCCCAGTGAGCCACTTGCATGAGTAAACCAAAGCCACAGTCAGCAAGCCTGACCTAGGACAGCAGAACTGCCCAGCTAACCTGTAAACTCACAAGCAATAATTTTTAAAAGGGAGGGGTTATTTCATATCTCTGTGTTTTGGGGGTGGTTTTACATGGGAATAGGTAATCTAAACATTTCTTCATCCATATTCCATTTTAGATTACTTGCTCTACACATAGCTAAAGGAGACCTGGATCAAGGTCACATATCCTGGAATGGAGACTGCCTGGTTAGGGTGGCAAGGGGTTCACATTGACTTGAGAGTAACCAGTGCACAGCTGCACTGGGTCAGATTCTATTTGGATATTTGGAATCAGAAAGAGAGTTGTATGATATAGGGGCAGAAACTTCCCCTGTGGGCAGCCATAAGTCATACAGAAAGGCAGTCAATAGAGAAGCTTCTTAGGGTAGGGACTGATAGCCTGGCATGAGGGTTCACACCTGTGATCTCAGTGCTTGGGAGGCTAAGGCAGGTTAGATCTTACCATGAGTTTCAGGCCAGCCTGGGCTACAAGAGTTAGACCTTGTCGTGGATGGGGAATGGGATGGGGGATTGGGGGAGGGGCTTGGGAGGGTGGGAGGGAGAGGGAACTGGGATTGATATGTAAAATAAAATCGTTTCTGATTTAAATAAAATTTATTTATAAAAACTAAAAGTAGAAGTGGTAATTCTTTTTTCTTTTCTTTCTTTTTTCCTCTTTTGGAAATTTCCAGAGTGATTCCCAAAGTATTTGTATTAGTTTACACTCCAACCAACAGTGTACAAGGGTTCCCTCTTTGCCACATCCATGACAGCATTTGTTGTCATTTGTGTCCCTGATGATGGCCATTTTGACTGGGGTGAGGGGGAATCTTGAAGTACCTTTAACTGGCATTTCCCTGGCAGCTAAGGATGTTGCATATTTTTTGAAGCATTTACTGGCCTCATGTATTCCTTCTTTGGAGAGCTTTATATATCTTGCTACAGAGACATTTGCACATCCATGTCCATTGCCACCTCATTCACAATAGCTAGGAAATGGAATCAACCTGGACAAGCATTGATTGATGGATATGTATTACATTTACACAATTGGATATGATTCTGCTACAAGGACATCATTAGCATTGCAAGTAAATAGATGGAATGGGGAAAATTACACTTAATGAGTTCAGCCAGGTCCCCAAAAGACAAACGTGTGTTCTTACTCATATGCAAGTGCTAGCTTCAAATCATGTGTTTTATGAGTTTATCCTGGAATTTACATGGAAATCAGGAAGTTAGGAGGCTAGTGGATTGATTGATGCATTTAGGGAGGGGGTGAGAAATTGATTATAGGTGAAATGAAAGGAGAGAGAGAATGCTGAAGGCATAAAGGTAGGAGGAACCATTCCCTGAGGGGGTGGCCCTGGGTTATGTAAGAAAGCAACCTAAGCATAAACCTGATGAGACAGAAAGCAGCCTTGATTTCTGCATCAGGATCCATCTTGGCCCTGCCCTGACTTTCCCCAGTGATACACCATAACCTGTAAATGTAAATAATCCCCGTTTTCCCCTAAGCTGCTTTTGGTCATAATGTGTTATCATAGGAACAGAGAAGAAAGTAGAACACAACACAGCACAAAGGTCTTTCTTCTCTCACTTATGAAAGGGACATTCTCTGGAGGAAGGCAAAACAACCAACCTGACAGTCTGTGTGACTCGGGATCTTCTACTGGAGTGGAGTCTGGTGAACTGTCAGCACCTTGTGAGTAAAGGAAATCAGCCTTATGGTCTAGAGCAATGTTTACATTGTCATCATAATAAGTTATGAAATAGACACTAAATGTTTCTGAAAAGATGAAACAGCATTGACATCTGGGGAAAATCACAGCCTCACACCACTGCAGACAACACCTGCCTTTCATGACTAGATTATAGCTCATAAATTATTTGAAGACAATTGATATTTCCTAAACAGTTCTCATGGAACAGAACAATAGGGAGATGTTGATAGAACTCATTGATGCAATAAACATCCCATTGCCTGAATATCCCATTCTCTGTTTAGATAACCTCCACGCCTGCCATGGATATATCTCTCTGACTGTAATTAGCATGCACTTTACTCTCCTAACCCAGGAGATCCCACAAAATGCATTTTAGAAGGGGAAGTTTGCCTAACGTAAACAACGTAATAATTGGACCTCGCCAGGAGTGTGTGATGATGATGATGCAACCGCAGACTCTGGAGTAGGAGCAGAAACAAGAGCCACCATATCTGAGCCTGCTTAGAGTACACTGTGGAAATGCCATAAAGGCCAAACTTAAAATACAGACTGTACCACATGTTGACAAGGATTCAGAACAACTGTAACTCTCATGCATTTCTGGTAGCAACTCAAAAAGGTGCAGCCATACTGGAGAATGGTTTGCGAATTCTTGAATGTCTATGGTGGCTTCATTCATACCAATGAAAATCAATACCAAACTCAACATCCATAAAGCATGTGTGGATAAATTTTGGCATGTCCATACAATGGAATAGGACTTAGAAATAAGAAAGCATGAATTAGAATAATAAAGAATTAATAGTACCAATAAAAAATAGACATCAAATGAATGACTCATCAAATATTATACAAGAATCCCAGTCTAGCTGGGTATGATGATGCATGCTTTTAATCTTAGTACTCAGGAGAGAGAGACAGGCAGATCTCTATTTAGGTATTATCTATCTACAGCAACATTTATCAGCCTGTTGAGACTAGTCTGTTGTGCTTAGAGCTCTAGGCTAGTCTAGAATTCTAGGCTATGTAGTGAGAGCCTGCCTCAAAAAGAAAAAAATAGAATCCTAGTACAAAATGCTATGTTTTATCTTGTGTTTTCCATAGGAGCAGCAATCACTCTTAACCCCTGAGCCATCTCTCCTGCCACAAATGTCATATATCTTGAAGGTAGTGATAATTTATATATCTGTAACTATTATAACCCATTGAAGCATATGATAATTTTGCTGTAGGTAGATTATACCTCAATAAAGCTGACTCATAATAAAAGGTAACCATAGGAGAAAGATTACCATACACGGGATAGGGATGTCGTGTGTTATTTTATTAGGGAGAAATCACTTACATGAGAACTGGATAACCCAGGGTCAGTGCTCTGACAGTCTCTGCTGCTCTCCAAGACCCCGCCCAGAACCCAAAGAGTGACCTGCCTCTCCCCAGGTCTTTATCCCACACCCTATATATGCACCTGTGGCCACACCCAAACAGGCATGGTCAGCCCCATAGGTGCCTAGAAAGATCTCTCCCTACAGGTAACTGACTTCATGTAAATATAGAGCTAAGATGTAGGGGTCATGGACACAGAAGGCAGGTAGAAGTCTGCTGTCATCCAGAATAGAAGAGGCAGTGAAGGCTTGGATCTGAACAGTGGCTGTGATACAAAAAGGAGGCCATTAATGGAACCCTGGGTTCCATTTGAATCTGCAATGCATTGGTTTGAATGCGGAAGAAATGTCTGCTCAAAGGATCACTTGTTAAAGCCTGGTTGCTTGGCTAATGCGCTTTTGAGAAGTGGTTCTTCCATGACTTCTTGGTGGATAAATCTATTGATGAATTCAGAGCTAAGTGGACTACTAGGAGGTAGAACCTGGTTGAAGGAGTTAAGTCATTGGGAGTGTTTCACTGAAGGGTATGCATGTTCCTGGATCTGTACTGTCTGGCTTTCTGCTTCCTGGGCACCATTAGGTGAGCAGCCCTGCTCTGCTATATCCTTGCAGCACGATGTCCTGCCCCTTACTTGCAGGCCCCAAAGCAAGAGAGCCTATCCACTTTTAAAACTTTGAGGGAAACAAAGCCTTCCTCCCTTAGCTTATTCTCCCAATCACTTCATCACTGCAACAAGAAAGTGTTCAACCACTAGCTGTCAGCTAAGCACGCAAATGCATAGCTATAAACATATACAACGAGACAGGGAAGTCAATCACATAATTTGACTTACTAGGAAGACTCATTGATGATGATGATGATGGCAATGATGAAGGTGATGATAGTGATGATAACTTTGATGATAGTAGTGATGAAGATGACAATGAAGAGGGTGATATTTCTGTCTCTATTTGTAAGGATAAAAAATATTCCTTTGTAATTACATTTTAAGACAGCGATTTTCAAAGTATAGCCCCCGGAACAGCATCATAAACTCCTTGTCAGACAGGCAAATGTGGTTCTCTGAATGAGAAGCCCCAATATACTCATATATTTGAATGCTTAGTCACCAGGGAATTATAAACCATTTGAGAATTAGGAAATGTGACCTTATTGGAGCAGGTTTGGCCTTGTTGGAGTAACTGTGTCACTGAGAGTGGGCTTTGAGGTTTCAAAAATCTGTGCCAGGTCCTCTCTCTCTCTCTCTCTCTCTCTCTCTCTCTCTCTCTCTCTCTCTCTCTCTCTCTCTCTCCTCCCTCCCTTCCTCTCCCTGTTTCCTTCCTCTGGATCAGGATGTAAAGCTCTCAGCTATTGCTCCAGCATCACGTCTGTCTGCTTCCCACTATGAAGATCTTGTACTAACTCTCTGAAACTGTAAGCAGGTCCCCAACTAAATGTTTTCTTTTATTATAAGAGTTGCCCCCCACCCCGTGGTCATGCTGTCTCTTCACAGCAATAGAACAGTAACCAAGGACATAAATCATTACACTGTATTCTAGACCTACTGAGAAATGCTGAGAGTAAGACCCAGTAACCCATGTTTTAATAGACCCTCCATGTGATTCTGATGTGACTCAAGTTTGAAAGGCACTACTCTATGATAAAAGGGTAGGAGGGGGTTAAAAGGGGCCTCATAAGGGCTAGAGAAATGGCTTAGTGGTTAACAAGCAGAGCACTGACTGCTCTTCCAGAGGACTCAGGTTCAATTCCAAGCACCCACATGGCAAATCACAACTGTCTGTAATTCCAGTTCCAGGGCACTGAAAATCCACGGCAAAACACCAACACACTTAAAATAAATGTTAAAAATGGCCTCATGATATTTGATTGGTTACTCTAAAATCATATACACACACAATTTATCAATTGCTGCTATCCTTTGACAGACTTTAAAAGTATTATTTCTGTTCTAAGATCTCTGGAAAACAAAAATAGTCATTTACTGTCAAATAAGCAAGTGTGGAGTGATGAGATGACTCAGTGGGTAAGGGTGCCTGCTGCCAAGGCTGATGACCTATGCTCACTCCATGGGCCTCTGGATTGAGGTGAAGGGGAGACTGAGATGGGTAGTAGGAGCTTCATATTATTTTTCGGTCTTTTCTTTTTATTCATTCTTTTTAATTTATTTTACACACTGACCACAGTTTCCTCTCCCTCCTCTCCTCCCGTCCCCTCCCCTCCCCTCCCCTCCCATCTAACCCCCATCCACTCTTCCTCCATCCCAGGCTCCATTCAGAAAGGGACAGGCCTCCCATGGGAGCAGACAAAACATGGCACATCAAGTTGAGGCAGGACCAAGCTCCTCCCCCTGCCTCAAGGCTGAGAGAGGCATCCCAGCATGAGAAATAGGTTCCTAAAAGCCATCTGAAGTGCTAGGGGACAGGTCCTGATCCCACTGCTAGGAGTCCCACAAACAGACCAAGCTACACAACTGTCACCCACATGCGGAGGGCCTAGGCCAGTCCCAAGCAGGCTCCCTAGCTGCCCACCCAGAGTGGGCTCAGGTCAGCTCTAGTCTATCTTTACTTTACAACACTGTTACTTTTGTGGTGTGTTGGGCGTGGAATCCAGGGCCTCACACTTGGTAGCTCCAGTGCTAGCCCTGGAGGCCTCATCTTCCTGTGTTTGAAAGTTTCATACATGCATATAAGGTGTTTTGATCAAACCACCCCCTCCTTCTCCCCTCCAGTTCTTTCCACATATCTCCACTACTTTTCCCTCTCAACTTTACATGCTCTCTTCATGTATTAATTTGTTTATATTTTTTTTAGCTCACTGAGTTCACTTAGTGTTAGACATATAGTCGTAGGTTCATCCCTTGGAGCATGGGTAACTTCATAGTTACCACATTGCTGAAGAAAACTGATTTTGCCCCCTACTCCCAACAGCCGCCAACCAGCAGCTGCTCAGACAGAGGTGGAACTCCACAAGCCCCTCCCACATCCACACTGGGATTGTATCTGACTTGATGCAAGGCAGGTCTTGGGTTAAGCATTCAAAGCCACTGAGCCCATGCTTGCAACACCACTGTCATGTCAAGCAAATACTGTTCTGCTGTTACCTACTACCTCTGGATCTTACAATCATTCCACCCCCTCTTCTACAATTACCAGTGAACCTTGTAGGCAGGGGGTGATGTAGCTGTTGCATTTGGAGCTGGCCACTCCACAGTCTCTTATTCTATACACATTGACTAGTTGTGGGTCTCTGTATTGTTGTCTTCCATAAAAGGAAGGTTCTCTTGTGAGGATTGAAAGATATAATAATGCATAAGTATAAAGATAATAACTTGGGGGCAGTTTATTAGTATATAATAATAATGATATTAATACTACAGTAGTAGTATTTTCCCCTAGAGCCTATGACCTATGCCTTTTGTTTTTTATTTTATTTTTGTCTATTAATGGTGCTAGGCATGAGTTGGGGCTTGTGGGACGGGCTTTAAGTCTAATCAGAAAGTGGTGGGTTAATCCCATAACCTTCGAGCTACTACAACACCACTAGGGCAGGCACATCTTGCCAAGCATGTTCTTATTGTAGATCACAGAATTCACGGCTTTGTATGACTTTTGATTACTTTTCTCTCCCATTAGAATGCAGAGCACCTTTCAGAACTATGAAGCTAGTCATTGGGGATGGGGGATGGAAGCTTTGCCTTTAACCGATTCATTTCTGGTAAGAACGGAAACCAGCAACATAAAACATAGGCATTGATCATGTCTAGATAATGGCATAGGTGTGTGTGTGTGTGAGCACGTACATGTGTTCTGAACTTCACAACATTTCCCTAGATGAACAAGACTATAAAGATGACAGCTGCCAAAGTCCTCTGCGGGAATGAACTAATCAGCCAGGAGTGGAGGACGTGAGTCCTCTCTCACTGTGGTGCTCCCTCCTGTGCTTCCGCAACCCACAGCCACCCTGTACTCCTGCTCAGGCTCCTTCTGGAGATCCCTGGCTCTGGATCCTCTCTTACCTTGGAGGCTGAGCCTGGGCACATACGCTCTTCGACTAGCAGGTGCCGAGTCAACCACGGGTAGAACTGGAATGATACGGAAATGAGAAGTGAGAACTGAAGGTGTTTTCCTAAGTCAAGCACAGACTCATCATAAAAGGGCTCAGCTAGCATCTGGCAAGGAGCTGCAGTTTGGTCTCACCTTAACCCAAGGCCTGGACTCACAAACTGCTTGGTTTTCAGTGAAACCTGAGCCAGGTTCAGAAGGCTGACAGAAAGCTACCCAGCAAGACCCTCAGTCCTAAATGCTTCCCTTCTCTCGATTCTGTATAGACTCCGTGAGGATCCTTGGTGTTTATAAGGGCAGTGTTATAAATCTGAGGTATTCCTGGGGACACTGGTTGTCTTCATTGACTCCAGAGGCTATGATATAATCTAGTGACTTATCTGCTCCACAACCCATCTAGATGCCGAGGCTGCACCTGGCAGCACTGACGACGAAGGCTCTGCTCTTACCTGATAGGACACTTGGTAACTTCTCACCCTCCAGTGATCCTAAAACACACACAAAACATTGTCAGAAGCCATGCTCTTCACTCATTTGCTCTCATGTAAAACATTAGCAGCACTCTCTGAAGAAGGCAGTGTGTGAATGAGGTTACTAGCATTTTACAAAGTCATTTGCTTCTGTGTCCCACTATCCAGCAGGGTTTGGGGTCAAAATCCAGGGTGCTACAAGAGAGGTCAAAGCCTGTCTACTACTTGGACATTTTATTTAGTGCCTAACACATGGCAAGCACTGTGTAGGGACAAAAAGACAATGAACAGAACAGATGGAGACCTCTCCTGGTGAGTTAAAGTGTGGCACACATTCTCCTGTATCCCTTACCAGTATGTCTGCCCCATCCCCGAAGATCAACCCATCTATTCTACAGGCCTAGAATGCTGGGCATGGAATGTGCTGTGTACCATACCCAAGCTTTATTGTTTTGATTCTTGGCTGCTTGACCTACCTGGTGGTGCAGGTGGGTGGGTTATGTCTTCTGGAACGTGGGAAGTTGGAAGACCTACAGGAGAAACAGTTCAAGGAAACTGACTTGGGGTGTTTGATATGGAACAGGATGAGGAGGACTTTTTGTTGCCTCAAGTTTGCTGAAAAACAATTTATCACCTTATCATTCAAAAATTTTAAAAGGAACCACACGGCCTTGGTTGATATTATTCTGGGCATGAAGATTTTCTGAGGTTCGATTTACATGAAATATCTGGAATAGGCAAATAAATCCACAGAGAAAGAAAGCAAGTGGGTGAATGGCAGTGGTTTAGGGAGAAGGACAGGTGGCCGTGGCCAGTAGCAGGGAATGGTACTTTAACTGCTCATCTGCCTCAGAAGAGTGGCACGCCATTAGACCAGGTCACACCCTAGGGTACCAGCTGTGCTCCAGGCTCTCTGCTAAATCTCTAGAGACTCCCTGACTTAGTTCTTCTAGCAGCTCCTTGAAAGAAGTGGTTGTCCCACTTTCAGAGGAAATAAGTGATTTTTAAAGAGATGACAAGACATGATGAGGCTCACAGGGGTCAAAGACAAAGGAGTGTTAGATCCAAACCCAGCGTCCAGGCGTCAGCTCTGAGCAGAGTGATGCTGGCTGAACAGGCACAGCTTTTCCCTTCCTGGTCTACTCCTAGTCACTCACTCAGATAAGAGTCAAGAATTTTAATGCAGCTTCCCTCTCTCTGGTGTTTGGAAGTCAACACACACATGTGAACTGTGAACAGCCAAGGGGTCTGAATTCATTGCAGAATTCACTTATGTATGTGTTTGATACTTTTGCCCAGAAGGACAAATATGACCAGTGTCTTGCTCAGTCATCATCAGAGAAGTTTCCTCCTGCAGCAGATATGAACAGATGAAGAGACCACAGCCAGATGCTATGCAGAGAGCGAGAGACCTTGGAACACTCAGTCCTAAATGAGATGTGTCTATCCACCCCTCTCCTTAGGGCTCAGGGAACTCCAGAAGAGGGGGTGGAAAGAGTGTAAGAGCCAGAGGGGATGGAGGACACCAGGAAACAAGGCCCTCTAGATCAACATGACCAAAGCTCATATGAGCTCACAGAGGCTGGGGCAGCATGCACAGGTCCACACGGGTCTGCACCCGGTCCTCTGTGTATATATTATGGCTTCCAGTTTTGTGTTTTTATGGGGCTCCTGAGTGTGTGAACGAGTGGGTCTGGGATTCTTGATCCTTCTTTCGGCCTCTTTTCCATCTCTTTGTTTTGTTCAACTCTTATGTAATAGCTTTTGCTTTGTCTTATTATATTTTATTTTGTTATATTATTTAAAAAATAATTTTAATACAGTTTCCCTCTTTTGTTTGGAAGTGGACATATAAATGTAAACTGTGAACAGCCAAGGGATCCATTATAGAATTTGCTTATCTGTATATTTGATGTTTTTGCTGTGGAATGCTGGTGTGTGGTTGTCATGCATGCTAGACATAACCCCTTCACATGATTCACCTAAGCCCATCAGAAAACACAAATGTTTACATTAGGATTCATAACAGTAGCAAAATTACAGTTATGAAGTAGCAATAAAAATAATTTTATGGTTGGGGGTCACCACATCATGAGGGACTGTATAAAGAGTCACAGCTTTAGGAAGGTTGAGAGCCACTGTTCTAGAAGGAAGCTGCTTTCTTTCCTTATAACTCTGAAGTCCTGCTTGCTATCTTGTATAGCAAACTTCATGTATATTTGGCAGTCTAGGCCACTCTGGTCCTTTGGTTTTTAATCTCTCTCTCTCTCTCTCTCTCTCTCTCTCTCTCTCTCTCTCTCTCTCTCTCTCTACCATAATGTTTTTCAGTTTTTGCTACACATGTGCGTGCGTGTGTGTAGCAAAAACTGAAAAATATTATGGTTCTGCATCCAAGAAATGTCATCAGGAAAACAAGTGAGTCCCTACTGGTTGTTAGAGGAATCAGAGCTAATAGTGAGGACAGAGGGGTCTGCGGCCATCATAGGTGATGAGCTTGTGACCTTAGAAGAAGGGCCAGAGTGAGAAAATTCAGACCCAACTGAGTGATGATGAACCCCCTGACTCTTAACACCCCTCATTCCAAAAGGATCCTCTTGATCTCTGAACAGGCCTGTGTGCCTAGTCCATCTCAAATGGTTAACAGAATGCTCATTGGGGTTGTGTTTATGGTGCTTTGGAGACCAAGGCCTTTGGACTCCTCAGTCAGGTTGTTGCTGTTATCATGTCATGGGACTGGGGATAATATGAAACCTACTTGGGTATATGCCCAGCAGTGGTATTGCAGGGTCTTGAGGTAGGTGATCCCTAATTTTCTGAGAAATCGCCATACTTATTTTCATAGTGGCTTACAAGTTTGTACTCCCATCAGCAATGGAGGAGTGTTCCCCTTTCTCCACATCCTCTCCAGCATAAACCATCACTAGTAGGTTTAAAAATTTTAACAGCCACAGTTGACAAAGAAAAGACACAGGTAGAATTAATTTTTTGTAGTGTTAAATAATTCTGCATATCTAAAGTATTATAAATTAAATATGTAATTAATGTATTCTTTTTGTCGTGCTCTTTTTAAAAATGTGTGTATGTGAGTCTACATGTGTTTGCATAATAGTGGTATGTGATGTATGCACATGTGTATGTGTGATATATGGAAGGACATCTGGTGCCCTCCTATGTTACCCTCTGCCTTATTTCTTTGAGATCAGATCCCCCACTGCTAGAGTATCAGCCAGCAAATGCCAGTGCTCCTCCTGCCACTCTCCCATCCCTCCACCCCACAGTACTGGGGCCATACAGGCATGTGTGACCATGCCTGGCTATTTATGTGGGTGCTGGGGATCTGAATTCAGGTCCTGATGCTTACACTGAGCCATCCCCCCCAGACCCTAAGTAAGTTTTCAGGAAATAACTTCATTGCAGTATAGTTGGTGTTCTGTGTTTTCAGTGCATACAGACGGATGAATTCGGAGCCAGAGCACATCTGTGTAAGCACTGCTATAGTTAAGGGAATGACTCTATCTCCCACCTCCAGGTTTCCCCATGTCCCATGTATGTGTGCAGCAAGGATGCTTAACAGGAGCTGCCCCCTTCACAAAAGCTCAAGCACACAGTGCTGTGTTAACATCCCCTAGCTCTCTAGAACTCTTTCATGTTGCTGTGTACTAGACAACAGTGTCCCACTTCCCTAAGTCTTCAAAAGGTCCAGTGTGTACTTGATGTACACAAACTATCTCAGTCCCACTAACTATGTTTTCCAGTACTCAGTAGCCATGTGAACCCCGCAGAAGGAAGGGCCTGCTTTTCATCAGCCCTGTCACACTATGAATTACACAACTCACATTTGAGTCATTGAAGTGGCGGTTGTTGCGGATATGAGACAGCATCAGCTGTCACAGTGATAAGTGAGGCTGGACTGTAATGATGACTCCTGCTCCCAACAACTAGAAAGCCTGTGACTCACTGGCATGGGGAAAATTAAGCTTTCCTATTGCAGACTCTTCCTCGACATTAGCCAGGTGCCCTGTTTTATTTTTTAAGTTCCAAGGGTGTAAAGGAACCCTTTGGTAATTTCTTTTTCTCTAGCACATGTGTGTCCTTACATCTTAGACTTTTCATTTGTAACATGTGAAGCCTTGCGTTCCAATGTTCTTTGACAGTAATTACAGTCAAACACAGAGCAAAACTGGCCAGTGTTGAGTCCAGACTACCTCAGTCCTGTCCCCTCAAATCACATGATCTCAGAGGAAGCATTGTTAACTTGTCGTCTCATAACCTCTGCTCACCAATGCAGACAAGTTAATGAAACTACAGTAAATTCGGTGATGGTGATGATGGTGTCCTACCCGATGCAGTAGAACTTGAGGCAACTTTAGAATATGGCTGAGCTGAGATGGCAGCAGGAAGAACTGAAATAAAAAAATTTAACAGCATTGTTTATGGTGACACAAGAACAGTACAGCATTCAGGGCTCCCTGTGACTTCACATGCTATAGTTTTGTCTGAACTCTGAAGGGCCCACCACATAAGTGATAGAGATGGTAGCCTACCACTTAGCCACTAATCCTCCAACCCCTAGACTCAGTCAGTGTTCCCTACCCTGCCCCTGCCAAGCTTTAAGTCCAAATCCAGGTATTAGATGTTCTTTAGTGATAGTTATATTCTAAGAATTGGTTTGGTGATACAGACCTTCAAGATCCCTTATTTGATTCTTAAGATAAGTTTACTAGTGTTTCATTCCTGGAGTGTTTGTTAGTAGGTGTTATACTATCTGTAGGCATCACACTGCCTGTAAGTGCTATACTAGTATCTATAGTTGTCACTCTATCTGGAGGTGTCATGTCGTCTCTAGGTTTGTATTAGTGTGTAGGTATAGTAGTATTGGGGGCATCAAACTACCTGTTGTTGTTACTGTTAATTGTCAACTTAACAGAACCTAAAATCACCTGGAAGACAGACCTATGAGCATGCCTATGAGATGTTATCATAATTGCATTAATTGAGATGGGAAGACCTGCCCACTCTGGGTGGCACCCATTCCCTAGGCTTGGCTTCTGAACTGTGTAAGTGATGAAAGGGAGCTGAGCAGCAGCGTGCAGTCATCACTCCACTTCCCGAGTGTTGATGTGGTATAACCAGACACTTCAAGTTCCTGCTGCTTTGATTTCTACACCATAATGAACTACATTGCGAACTGTGAGCTAAATAATCCTTTCTCCCTTAAATTGCTTTTGTCAGAGTATTTTATCACAGCAACAGAAAAGAAACTAAGAATTGTTTCCACCATGATGAGCTATACGTCTAAACCATGACCCAAAAGAAACCCTCCATCCTTTAAGTTGTTTCTATCAGGTATTCTGTCATAACAATAGTAACACTGACCCAGAAACACATCTTCCTTTTCAAGACCTTCCAGAATAAACACAGCCTGGATGACAATTTGCCTTTAGGAATTCTAGAGCTACAGGACAAAAAACTACATCCTTTAAACCATCAAATTATGATGGTTTGTTATAGATGCCATGGCAAACTCATACAATAGGCTAGCATTGTATGTGAACAAATGAGTCTTCCTCCAAAGAAAATTTAAAACACATCATTTACAAAAATTGAGTGAGTATGTGAACTCCTAGAGCATCTGGTCAAACTGGACTGAACAACGGATTATGAAATCTATATAATCAAAACATTTTCTAAATAAAAGTAACATAAGCTCTTTTTTAGACTCTGGAGATCATTTGCACACAAATTCAATATCCAGGGCAGGTTAAGACACATCTCTCGGGCACAATACCTTCTTGTTCATCTTCTCTCCTAGGTTTAGATGGGTAAATATGGATGCCCAGGGCAAACAACAACGATGATGATGAAGGTAAATCACTCACCTGATAATATGGTTGCAGAATTTCTGTCACCTAGTGATACAAATAAATCAAGATATTTCTTATTCAACTGAGTAACTTTTACTTTGCATATTTATTAGTCTAATGTGATAAGTCTGGAATGCAAAATAGGAAATCAATTCCTGATGAAATACAGGCTCTTGGGATTAACAGGGTCCAAGAAATATTTGCTGAGTAGATTGCTTTGAAGTTTTTCTAGGTAAAGCCTTTACACATGGCTCTTTGGAATAACTGAGAGTAAGCTAGTCACTACAAGAACTCAGGGCCACTTGTCTGTCCTGGGCAGTTGTTCACAGCTAGGCAAGAAGATTGTGACATGTCCAAAACTAAGATATAGTCTCAGCTCATGCTTTCCTCAGTGTTGAGTGGACCCTAAGTGGCCAACTCCACTAATCTTTTCTATACATGATTAATTATTCCATAGAATGTCATTAAATTATATCATATATTATAACATAATGTAGTATGATAATTTAAGTGTAGAAAATGATATATAATGTATCATAATTGTTGTCTATGTCAGATTACTATATACTAATGTTGACTTATAATGTGGTTATATCCTGAAAAAGACCATAAGTCAAAATAGCTTGGGTTAAAATATCCTAAGTGAAAAGCCTTGTGGGGTGGTATGTGCTTGTCATCCAGCTCTGGGAAGCAGAGACCGTCAGGCCTCTGAGGTTTGCTGGCCAGCTAGCCTAGCCTACTAGAGAAACTCCAAACCAATAAGAGACCCTGACAAAGAACACCTAGAGTTGTCCCAACCAGCTGGCACAGTTCTCCTGGCTATCTGGTGACATGACATGGTTCAGGATAATTTGATTAATTTTCTGACTCTGTTTTACTATCAATAAAATGGAAATTTACAAAGTACCTAACTAATAGGTTTCTTATGAAAATTAAATAAGTCATGCCTAGAAAGTGTTTAGAAGTCAGGCGTTAGTGACGCACGCCTTTAATCCCAGCACTCGGGAGGCAGAGTCAGGCAGATCTCTGTGAGTTCCAGGATAGCCTCCAAAACAATACAGAGAAACCCTGTCTCGAAAAACCAAAGAAAAAGTGTTTAGAATTAAACTATTTAGTACTGAAGTCAGGAACCTATGGCTCCATCCTACCTCACAGCAAGTGTCCACACCCAGACCCCACCCCGTGTGTATGTCTGTGTGTCTGTGTGTGGGTGTTTGTGTTTGATATTAATGACAGTGACTTCATCCGTCATCCACCACTCTCCACCTTTTTGTTTCTGAGACAGGGTCTCCCCCTGAACCTGGAGCTCATCAGTTCAGCTAGGCTGACTCTAACCAATGAGCTCCAGAGATCTCCCTATCTCTGCCCTCTCAGCACTGAGGTTCCAGGTGCCCACCACCAAGCCCAGCATTCGTGTGGGTGCTAGGTCTTCATGCTTTTGCAGGAGGTTTTTTTTTTTACCAACTCAACTGTCACCCAGCTCCAGAACCTGATTTTGCAAAAGACATTTTATGTGGAAACAGACAGGCCCATGATTTCGTGACTTCCTGAGGCTGGTTTCATGTTGTTCCCAGCTGTTTAGTCAAAACCATGACATCATTTGGCCTGTGAAACTTAAATGTTCTCTAAAGGGTTCTGAGCTGAAGACTCTAAGTAGCGACTCTGTGGGTAAGGCTCCCACCCAGAGCTGCCACACACTTCAGTGTCATTGGTACGTGTCACCACTCCAAGTCTGTGACCTTCAACGGAAACATGGTACTGTGAGGTGGGTGTTTTGTCTCCTCTTTCTGAAGGACATCGTGGCCTGTTATGATCACTGACACTGATGAAGTGGCAGAAATGGGGCCTACCCCTTCTGCTGCCAGACTCCAGAGAGAGGGGTGACTAAGTACGGAATGGCTCAGTAAGTGTTAAGAAGTCAGCATCAAATGAGGACGATGAGAAGAGCTTTAGTGTGAAAACACTCCTACCTTGTGACATTGCCACCAGCTCCTGGTCATTCCCTGGAGGGAGAAGGGTTGAGAATTAAGTGGTTGTTGGAGCTTTAGGTCAGATTCCTTCACACAGTTCAGAAGAACAGTCACTAAACGATTCTATGAACTATCCAAAGAATTTACCCCACCTTCTTAATAGCAGGAGGGGAACAAATTTTGCTTTAACAGCAATTCCCTTGGGGAAAATGAAAATGGTAATATTACAGAATAACTCAAACTTGAATAATTAAAACAAAATTGAAGCCAATTATTTAGAAGGAGTAAAGTGAGCCAAAAGCATTTTCTACTTAACATCAAAAATATCTTAAAGTTTATTTTTAAATTTTGTTTATTTTAAAAATATTTATTTATTTTTATTTTATGAATGCCTGGTGCCAACAAGAGGTCAGAAGAGAGTGCAGGATCCTCTGGAATTAGATGGCTGTAAGCTGTCATGTGGGTGCTGGGAACAGAATCCAAGTAAGTCCTCTGCAAAGGCAGCAAGTGTTTTAACAACTGAGTTATCTTTCCAGTTCTTATATTTTGTTTTTAATTGTGTGTATGTGTGTTATTAGTATATGCATGTGGATGCAGTGCCCATGGAGGCCAGAAGATGGTGCTAGATCCCCTGGACCTGGAGTTTTACACCTCTGTGAGCCTCACAACATGGGTGCTGGGAACTAAACTTGGATCTCTGTTGTTGTTTTTGTTTGTTTGTTTGGTTTTTGTTTTTGCTTTTTGAGACAAGATCTCCCCTGTGTGAACCAAGCTAGCCTGGAACTCACTATGTAACGTGGGTTGACCTTGAGCTTCCCGCCATCCTTCTACCTTAGCTGCCACAGTGATATGCTTGGTTTGGACTGTATTTCTTAAGTAATTTATTAAAATTTATTTTATGTGCATTGGCATGAAGGTGTCAGATCCCCTAGAACTGGAATTACAGACAGTTGTGAGCTGCTATGTAGGTGCCTGGGAATTGAACCCAGGTCCTCTGGAAGAGCAGCCAGTGCTCTTAACCACTGAGACATCTCTTCAGCACCTGGACTGTGAGAATTAATGGGAAATTTTTATCTTCATTCATCACAATGCTCTTGAATGAGTCACCTCACTGGTGGGTCAGGTTTTCTCTTTATGAGATGTCTTGGAATCCTTACAATGGAACTGCTGATGTCTGTCACTATGTTTTCTGTGTAAAAGTCCGTTTCAACATCTAGTGTCTAAAAATCCTGAGCTCAAGTCCTGAGCACTTAAATTACCCATGTCTCTATGCATGGCCTACCCAGGCAGCAGGGACAATTTGTGATTGCAGATGTGGATGCAAAGGTTCCAAAGGGATCGGTGTAGATGCAGTCTTGATAAGAAGGTATGCTCTGTTGGTAAGAGAGGAGGCCCTTACCTTCACAGATGACACTGGCATCTTCTCCAGCACCACAGTTATGTAGGTGCCAGCCAGCATGAGGACACAGTCCCAAAAAACTCTCTGTCCCAGCACAGTCCATCTCATCCAGTAGAAATTCTCCTGAACCATCACCAAATCGCGCCTTGCCTGGGGCTTCAAGGGCACGCCCACAGTTCAGCTGTCGGCAGACCACAGCGGCTTCACGCAAGTCCCATTGGTCATCGCAAACTCTGCCCCACTGGCCATGATAGAAAACTTCTACTCTCCCGGAGCATCGTCCTGACCCATTCGTGAGCTGCAGCTGTGGCCAGTCTTAAAGGTATAAAAGTGCTGCTGGAAGGAAGCTACGCCAGTTGGATCAGCTTGCCTAAGCACACGCCAAGCACTCGTCACACAACAACACATCTGAGCAGATAGCACGGGGGCTCCTATCGTTAACCGGATGGACCTGATCCATCTTGTCACAAAGGTCAGAACCTAGCAAAGATGAACTCTGCCCCATCCTGGCTGAGCTGGGATTCCCAGGAAGAGCTGTGAGAAGCATCTGGCACATTTAACCCTTAAGGTGGGTCCCACTGGCAATAGCTACCACTTTTCTAAAGCGCGTCATTTTTAGTAAAGAATTAAATGGAGATCCGCAAGCATCTGGAGTGCCAAGAAGCAAAGGTGGTGATGGTGGGTAATGGACAGTAGGGGTGGGGGGTCTTTTCTAAGTGTCAATGGTCTCAGGCTTGGAGAGGAGTGGGAAGGAGTTACTTGGACCAAGAACACCTAGGAAGAACGTAGAGCTTTCTTCAACACAGTAAGAAAAACAAAACAATCTAAACCAAGTCCACAAAGTGTTGTGAGTGGAGTGAGTGCACAGGGATTCTCTGGTGACATCATTCTATTCAGTAAGATATATGTGTATGGCTAAAGGTCTACCCACTAGTTAGAATCACCTGGTCGGGCATTGGTGGCGCACGCCTTTAATCCCAGCACTCGGGAGGCAGAGGCAGGCGGATCTCTGTGAGTTCGAGGCCAGCCTGGTCTACAGAGCGAGTTCCAGGGCAGCCTCCAAAACAATACAGAGAAACCCTGTCTCAAAACAACAACAACAACAAAAAAGAAACACCTGCCAAATCACATCACACAGGGAGCTAGGAAAGCACAACTCACCACCAGGAAACGGTGTTAAGATTCCAGCATCTAAGAGCAAAGATAAATAAACAGGAGTCATTACTGTGATTAAAAAAAAGAATCCACACAAGTGTACTGTGTGTGTTGAAGCTCATAGACATTGTGTGCGGGAAGGGGAGTGTATTCATAAGGATCTGGTCAGTGAAAATTGATGATGATGAGTTCAGGCATCTCAGAGTCACTTACAAACCGGATTGTATGAACAAATACATCAACTTCCAGAAGGCAGCAAGGTCCAAGGATCATGAAAGAGCACTCCCGTGGTAATCACAAGGGAGGCCATCAAGAGACTTAGATTAGCCAAGGCTTTCCTCTTTCCTGAAGGCACATGTTGTCCTGGGTCTCCCCTCTCTGTCCATATGTCTGAAGTTGGACTCTCCTTAGTCAAACTATTGCACCTTTTGAATTATAGCTTGCCAACCTAGATCCATTATCTCCTCCTGAATTCTCTGGAATATGTTTGGACAACAGATCCAGAGTAGTTTGGAGATGAAATACTACCTGTGTGGTTAATGCCGAGGAAGTCACCTTCTCATTTTTTCTTTCTCTTGATGGGTCCTTGTAAATAATTAAAGCCATGTTTGTCTTCTGCCCTCCCCTGCCTCCCACATGGGTTACAGTAGCAAATGCCACCAGATGACCAGGGGAGCTTGGGGATACTCTATTAAAAATGTGCTAAGCTCAGTCTTTGCTCTTACCAAAATCTCTCGAAGTTTCATTTTCTGTGAGAATGTGTTCAGATTCTATGAGGAAGAAAAGAAGATAGAGTGCAAGGTGAGTCTATGGGAGAGGATAAAATCTTCGATGTTCTGCCTTGCTGAATGGCTCCCTGTTGCCCTGGTACCCTGTCCCCAGTGGAAAGCTCAGACTAGAATTGGTTACACGGGGCTAGTTCAGAAAGGCCAGTGCTATCTAGGAAGGAGAGTTCATTTGCCTTTGTTCAGTATTTGTGGGGATGTCAGTGTGAATTGTACAGAGTTTACCCAGGTCTTTCAAGGAGGAGTGGTTTGCCAAGCTTCTCAGCTTGGAATCAAAGCTGGATGGCCACAGGTTAAATAGGCACGTTTTCTTAAGGGATTTATGCTACCAGGTATTGAGTGTTTCAAATGTTGTTCATATTAAAATAGATGCAACTTTGGTATCATTTAGACTTTGAAACTAAATGAGATTTCAGAGTGTCTGCTGAGGGCCAGGCAACCCGGGTTGTGCCATTTCAAGAAGCGACTGATTCGCTCATAGGTGTTTGTTCTCTGGATGACAAGTCATTAGCATTCTTTGTCTTTCTGCCTGTGTCAGGAAAAGTGAGCACTTGAGGAGTTGGAAGGGGGTGGGCTGGGGAGTGGGGACTCCCTGTACCTGGGGGGTCTTGTCAAGAATATGTGAATGTTCTGGAGTCTAAGCAGCAGCTATGGATGAGACTACTAGCAGAGCAACAGTGTCAACTGTGAATGCTTACACATTTTGCTAAGGTTCAGGGCATCTCTTCCAAAGAGTAGCATATTTGGTGGGGAAACGGGGCATTAGGTATGGCTGCCTTGGGTCCAAATGCACCCTGGGTGACCTTGGTCAAGAAAGCATTCATCTTGACCTTGACTTAATTTTGTCCTTTAGTTGGGTCTTTATTTTCAAAACAAGAACAGTAAAGCAAACCCACCTGAGTGATAAGGATGGGGCGGGAAATGGATGCAAAGAGCTCACAGAATGCAAAGTGCCCCATGAGCAGATAGGATTTATGCTTTGAGGCAGTCTCTTAGGCAAAACCAGAGATTTATTACTTAGAACAATACACATGCTGATTCAAACTCTAATTCAATAAATCCACCAGAATAACATATTTACAAAAAATTACAGGACATATTTAATCAACTTTAATCAGCAGAAAAGAAAAGCAGATGGTGCTGGAGAGATGGCTCAGAGGTTAAGAGCACTGGCTGCTCTTCCGGAGGTCCTGAGTTCAATACCCAGCAACCACATGGTGTCTCACAGCCATCTGTAATAATGAGATCTGGTGCCCTCTTTTGGCACACAGGCAAACATGCAGGCAGAACACTATACATAATAAATAAATCTTAAAAGAAAGAAAGAGAAGAAAATCAGATGAAATTATTGGGAGGTGCTCAGCCCAGGCTGCCACTTGGGTAAGGAGTTGTAGATGATTTCTTGCCCATATGAAAGTAACTATTAATCAAGTGTCAGTGCACTATTAATTTATAACTAGTTACTGATGTAAATGTCTCTACCAGCACACGCTTGATTCTAAAGCTTCTGCACTATCGTCATCTGGTACTGGAACATTTTTTGCAGCAGAGGGCCATCCTATGCACTGTATGAGGTTTAACAGCATCCCTGGATGCTGCCACACACACCAGGGGCATCCCAAGTATGACAATCAAAGCGTCCAAATGCTAGGACACAAAATCAACTCCAGCTGGGAACAGCCACAGAAAGATACACTTGAGAAGGGTTTTTAAACCCCCCAAAGCAAGGTTCATACTTACGTTAATTTGCTAACTAGACTGCCCTCAGCCCCTCCCTCTCAGGGTCCCTGGTCCAAGAATGTGCAGCCTCAGAGAGCAGCAAAGTCTTTCTGCCCACCCAGGCTGCTCAGAACAGCTGGATGAGGCCAGTGCGAATTCTGACCATAGTGGTAGGGTTGAGGGCTCATAGGCAGTGCTTTCAGAAGGGGGTGACCCAGTTCAACCTAAAAGCAGGTCTCAGAGTAATGATAATCAGAGGAGCTTTCTCCTGCAGGCTGGAGAGTCACCTTAGGACGGCAGTTCCAAGGGCCAGGACTTCTCTATACTCCCTGCAGTGTGGAAGACCCCAGCCAGGGAAGGGCTCATGATCGTCTGCAGTCACCAAGAATGAAACATGCTGCTTTCTGATGGCAGTGGGCACATGCAAGGAAGCCATTAGTCCATCCCGTGGAGCCAGAGTCATTTTGGTCACTGCTAGACCGCCCAAGCCTTCCACAGAAAATGCTTGTTAGGAGAGTTCTTAGCTCTTAGCCAGTGAATGAAAACTTAGCTCCTGCTTCCTAGAAGGTTGAACCGTGAAATAGGAGCAGAGGAGACTGGGGAAAGGGACTCTGGTCTGCCAAGTAGCAGGTGGAGAGCAAGGAGGGGCCTTTCTTCTCTCTTCTACCCAACTCTATACCTTGCTCTATCATCCACAGCTAACTCACCAGGCCCAGAACTACTCTGTCTCTAGGAACTTGATTCCCCCCAAAGCAGAATTTCAGAGACCATGTTATTGGCAGCCCAGCTGGCAGGGTACAGGGCAGGGCACTGGGTCGCAATGATTACCATCACAATGATCGCTCCCATTTAATTAGAAAAAAGCTAAAAGATATGCAATGCCACAGCAAGCACAGAGAGATGAGTGTAGGGAGAGGGTTACCCAAGGGTACCTCCCCACAATCCCACGGGGCCCACAATCAGAAGGGGCCCACCCTAGGGAGCTCTGCTGTCTCTGTCTAGAAATTTCTCATAGCTCTCACCCTAGGACCCACAAATCACATATCCTTGCAGCTGGCCTGAGTGGTTTCATTTCCAATCTGTTACTCTAGTGCTACTGTTGGTCACCTAAACAGATGCAGGAGGACTGGGGTGGAGTAAGAGATCTACATTCAGCAGCTCCCCAAACCCCATGAAGGAGAGGCTCCACACAAGTGCATTCTGGAAGGTGCCTGGGACCATGTGCAGGCACCCACAGGACAGTATGCTACAACAGTTTCCTTTGGGTCAGGGAGAAAGGAGAATGATTGGATAAAGTGAGAAATCAACTCTTGGAAAAGACGGAAAGTGATTTACCGGAGCAGACGACACCAATGTCTTCCTCGTGCCCACAGTTGTGGATGAACCAGCCAGCGTGAGAACACTGCCCCAGGGAGACCTCGGTCCCAGAGCACTGCACATCATCCAGAAGAATGGGGCCAGAGCCCTGGCTAAAGTAGGCCTCTCCCAGACTGGACACGGCAGCCCCGCAGCCCAGCTGCTGACACACGACCTGCGCTTCCTTCTCGTCCCACAGATCGTCGCACACTGTGCCCCACACGCCTTCAAAATACACCTCCACTCGGCCAGAACACCTGTTAGGACCTTCCACGAGCTGCGCAGGAAGCCAGTCTTTGGGAGAAAGGTAGTCCCCACCCCCACTGAGTGTTGATGAATGGACTCAACCTCCCCTCCAACTTCCCGGGAGGGGAAGTTTGTTCCCAGCACATGGTTAACCCCCTTACACAGACATCTTTGTAAGGCTCTATTGTCCCGGGGGAGGAAAAGATGACAGTAGCAATGGTCTTCTGGTATCAGAACACTAACTAATGAGGCCCAGAGTGTGACTTCACCGATCTCCCTGGATCCTCATCTGGGATAGACTTATCCCTGCTGTGATGGGAAGCCACAAGGCTTTGCTTTGTTCTTTTCAGTTCCCTTTTCATTCTGTGCCCCAGCCACCACCTATTCCAGCAAGAAAGTCTTCATCTGAGAAGACAGAAACTGTCCAACTCTGGCCGCTTGATAGCTCAGTCTAAGATTTGGATTCTTGAGTCATTTCCACTGTGCCCTGTGGTGTTGGGTCAGGGTGTCCGGCAAAGGCAAATGCTCGGGGAGTGCATTCTGTTGCACAGGGGCAGGACAGGGCTGCCCTCCACGGTCACCTGGCACTCCCATTTCTACCTGCCAGCACTTTGCTGAGCAGCAGCCTACTGGCTGTCCCAGTGTTCTCGGGGCAGCAAGCTTTGCTAAGACAGTGGATAAAAGACAGGGCTTGACTTGGCCAGTCACTAGCTATGCAGTCGGTATATGTGGACCACTTAAATCCTCTTTTCTTCGTCTGCAAAAGAAAGCTGTGCATACCTTAAAGTGGGATCATGAGACAAATTCAGGTATTGTGCCTGGCACACGGGGAGTACTGAGGAGCCATTTTTATTATCTCCCTTCTATAAACCAGCAATTAGATAAGTGGGGACCAGTGAAGAAAAGCTGTGACAGGGAAGGGGGAAGAATGGTCTCCTATCTTTCCTCTTTCCAGTCACCACAGAGCAGGACTTCAAAGTGTGGCCCACAGACAGGGCCTGTTCCCATCTCTGAGAAAGCTTGTTAAATATGAAGGTTGGGGTACAGCCTGTCTGGGGGTAAGGTCCAAGACTTTGCGTGTTCGGCATATTCTTAACAAGTCTTTGAGTGATTCCCATGCACTCCGACATTTAAGGACACTCTTTGTCACTAATGGGTGAGAACCATGAAGGCAGAGAAGGCTCTGGCAGTCTCTGTCTTGTTAGGCACAGAGAATCCTGGGGTGCTTTTGTGTCTGGGGATGAGTGACTCATCCCACTGAGCTTGGACTGTCCATCCCCAGGGCTTTGGTGTCCTTCCACCTCAAGGTACCCTTATTCCCTTGGCCCTCCTTCTGCAGGCCATGGGCATTGTCCGGCGAGGACTCACCTTCCTGCTGTTCCTCAGACATGCCTTGAAAGGGGCTTCTCTGAGGTCTCCCCTTTCCCAGATTTGCTCCGGGTCCTCCGATGTCCCTCCTGTAGCAAGCTGAGATGTATCCACCATGTTAGAGGCCTGCAGGGACCCTGAACACAGCCAACCCAGGCCCCACAAAACCTCCTGGGTCTTGTCCAAACCCACCACTCCTCAGGCACAGCAGAGCCCGGGAATCTGAATTTGCAGCCATCCAGAGCAGGGATGCCACCAGGAAAGGACCAGGTGCTCTGGAATTTATTTTCGTTAAGCTCCTGCCTTGGGGCATACTTGATCTTAAAATTCCTCTTTTCTGTCAGTTCTGTGTTAATTTCAGTTGACAGTTTGTCAGCCAGTATACTTCATTATGATTCTCTAGCCATCTGTAGTTAATGTTGAATTTTCATGACAGCTTACATATAAATTCTACTACACTCTTAGTTAACTTGCTGTTTCTAACACTTCTTGGATTGACTTTTTACAACAACTTTTGCTTTTTAAAATTTTTTCTATTCTTATTTTCATTACCTTTCCTCATTTTATTTTCATTACCATTTCCTCATTGGAAAAGATCCTTAGGATTGTTCTTCTTAATTTTACATTGTTTTTAAATTTTCTTTCTTTCTTTTTTTGTAGGACGATGTCACTCTACGTAGCCATGACTGGCCTTATGCAGACAGGACTGACCTTGAATTCACAAAACCTGCTGGCCTCTGCCACCCAAGCACTGGGATTAAAGGCCTGGACCTGGTTTTTGTCTTTTAAAGGTATTGGTTAATAAAAAGGTATTTGGTTTCTACTCAGAATAAATATAGCAGGGTTGTTGTTGTGCTTTAAACTGATACCCGACTCTTCCTAGGCAGGAGCAATAACTTTTCTCTAACTTCCCACAGCAGGACTGTCCCACAGCAGTTCCCTGGTGAGTCTACCTGTCATTCAGACCATATCTCTACTTTAGCCATTGGGAGGTGACTCTGTTCAGTGAACCACAAAGAATCCAGGCCTATGGTATTGTTGGGTCAGGGTAGCTTTACAATAGCCTAATTGCCATGTGCTGTCGAGAGAGCCTGCTGTGCTTTGACATTGGGTAACACCCTGGAACATGTCAAAGGTGACCGGGTCCTTTTGCCCTCTTCACAGATAAGCAAGCACATGAGGCAGAGGTATGAGCTAGGCTGCCAGAGACTACAGAGCCTTCCAAGGTTCCTGGAAGTTCAGAGCTGGTCTTTCACGAATGCTCCTGATGGGCCCCTTTGAGCCTAAGCACTGCCTGTTGTCTGTTCTGAGCGGACTTGAAGAACGGCTGCCATCATTTGCATTCCTGTTTAACAGACGAGAAAGCTAGGACACAGAGAAGCCTGTGCAGGGCGTACCCATGGTGGGCTCTGGAGGCCATTCAGCCTCTGAAGCGCCTGGCCTCCCGAGCATCTTCATCTTGTCCACATCCATGGCTTGGCTTCAGCTCTGACTCTCCTCCCAGACCTCACGTAACACTGTATCAGGTCAGGTCTAACACTTTCCATTTACCCAGTCGCTCCCACCCCTTTGAGACAGTCTGGAACAGCCTCTAACTCCCCACCCTCCCGCCTCAGCCTCCTGAGTACTGAGATGGGTACCACGCCTGGCACCAACTACTTTTCATTAATAATACTAAATCTTCAGGTATATTTTAGGCCTTAACTCTCTTTTGAGACAAGGTCTCACAATGGAGCCATGGATGCCCTGGAATACTCTAGGTAGACAAGACAGGCCTCAAACTCACAGGGGATCCACCTGCCTCTGCCTCCTAACTTCTGGGGTTAAAAGAATGAGCCACCAAACCCAGATTCAACATTTTGAAAGTATTACATATTCACCATCTCATTAGAAACTGTTTAGTGTGTGCTGGTTAGGCAGGCCTGGAATGTAGGTGGTCATGAGAAAGAAGAAAGGGAGGAAGGGAGGGAGGGAGGGAGGGAGGGAGGAAAGAGAGATAAGAAGGGAGGAAGGGAGAGAGGAGGGAGGGAAAGAGGGAGGAAGGAAGGATCTTCACTGCTACTGTATAAACATGAGGCCATCCAGAAGGAGGAGGGGTGTGTATATGTGTGTGTGTGTGTGTGTGTCTGTCTGTCTGTCTGTCTGTCTATGTCTCTGTCTGTCTGTCTGTGTATGTGTGTGTCTCTATCGGTCTGTGTGTCTCTGTCTGTCTACGCTGTCATTCTTTCAATCACTTCTGATTTATTTCTCTTCTACTCTACTCCATGTCACCTGCCACACTAGTATCATTTTGATGACTGTGGGAGGTCCTAATTATCTACTAAAGGTCAAAGTTCTTAGCTGGAGTTTAAAAACCCTCTGTAATTAGACCACAGCTTCCTTTCCAGCTCCTGTCTTAGGTCGTTGCTCTTCTCAAAAGGAAAACTCATCCTGTCCACATCTAGCATTTCTCTTGAATTATTAGAATTCCCACACATGAACACAGCTTCCCAGCCATTCAGAGAAGATCAACACTAAGTCATCAGCTGTGGTTCCAGATTCAAGTGGGCAAATTGCTTGAGCTAACACAAATTAATCCAGTGGTGCTGTTTGCTGCACACACTGCAGACAAGAAAGCCAAGCACCAAGGTCCCAGGGATGCCAGGCACACAGGCATCATTTGTTCCCTGAGATAATCAGTGAACCAGTGGCCCAGGGGACATGGAGGAGACACCCAGCAAGCTTCAAAAACAAATTTAGTCCCAAACAAGGCAATTCCAAATGCAATGATTCATGCCTGTCAAATGGGTCTTATTTTCCCTTTACTTATTGCCAAACCTGGGATGTTTGTCTGAGTGAGAATAGGCACGAGGACTACTTTGTCCCTAGTAATAGTCAGCCATATTCTTCAAACACATTTCCTAAGGCTGTAAACTGGGTGAATGGCTGCCGTGCTGGAAATCTGAAGTGCGACCAGTGGAATATTGAGTGGAGCTGGAGGGTAAGTGGAGACAGGTTGGGAAGGGTTTTTAGGGTAAAGACAAAGGTGTTGACACAAGGGGTTGAAATTCAAGGTGGGAGAGGATAGAGGTGGGGAGGAGGGGACATCTTCCTAAATCGTGGTGGCAGCGGGAGAAAGGAAGGAAGAGTGCAAAGGAGCCGACCCAGGTGGGCCTGGCTGACTAAGGAGGGAGAAGAGGATTCAGAACACAGCCTCAAGGCTGGATTCTGTGCCTGGGATGGGGTGTAAATCACCGGAAAAGCTGGAGACCTGGATGGGTTACTGGATTAGAAATGATTGCCAGTGGTCAGGAAGCAGAGTGAACCACTGGGGGAAAGTGACTAGGGGACCGTTCTGAGATGAGGCAGACCACAGGGCCAAGGGAGAGCAAGTGTCTGAGCTCACAGATGCTAACCAGACAGATGCTGTCCTCTCAGTAGAAAAAGCAACCATCTTCCCCTAAAAAGACCGGTGCCCTTATTAATGGGACCTACTGAAACTGAGAAGCTTCTGTAAGGCAAAGGACACAGTCAGCAAGACAAAAAGGCAGCCCACAGAATGGGAAAAATATTCACTAATCCCACATCTGACAGAGGGTTGATCTCCAAAATTTACAAAGAACTCAAGAAGCAAGTCTCCAAAACATCAAAGGACCCAATTAAAAAGTGGGCTGCAGAACTAAATAGAGAGTTTTCAATAGAGGAGTCTAAAATGGCTGAGAGGCACTTGAGAAAGTGCTCAACATCCTTAGCCATCCAGGAAATGCAAATCAGAACAACTCTGAGATACCATCTCACTCCTGTCAGAATGGCTAAAATCAAACACCAATGACAATTTATGCTGGAAAGGATGTGGTGAAAGGGGGACACTCCTCCATTGCTGGTGGGAGTGCCAACTGGTTCAGCCACTTTGGAAATCAGTATGGAGATTCCTCAGAAAAATGGGAATAAACCTACCACAAGACCCAGCAACTCCACTCTTAGGCATATATCCAAAAGATGCCCATTCATACAACAAAGATGTCTGTTCCACTATGTTCATAGCAGCTTTATTTGTAATAGCCAGAACTTGGAAGCAACCTAGATGTCCCTCAACCGAAGAGTGGATAGAGAAAATGTGGTACATTTACACAATGGAGTACTATTCAGCAGAAAAAAAAATAATGGAATCATGAGATTCGCAGGCAAATGGATGACACTAGAAGAAACCATCCTGAGTGAGGTAACCCAGTCACAAAAAGAGAAACATGACATGTACTCTCTCATATATGGATTTTAGACATAGATCTGGGGAGTGCCAGCCTACAATCCCATGGCCAGAGAGTCTGGGAAACAGAAACTTCATTTAGTGGCTGATCGAAGAAGAGGCAGACTCCCTCGGTTAAGTACTGAGCTGAACTCAAGAAAGCCAGTAACAGAGAGGGAGGTCTGATGACCAAAGGGATTAAGACTGGGCTGGTTTAACCCCCAGAAACAGCTGACCTAACAAAGGTTAACTCTTGAATCCCAGGCATCAGCCTGGGAATCCAGCATGGGACTGATCAAGACCCCCTGAATCTGGGTGTCAGTGAGGAGGCCTAGGTAATCTATTGAGCCTTGGGCAGCAGATCAGTATCCATCCCGAGTATACACATGGACTTTGGACTCCCATCCAACAATGTGCGGTGCACTCTCACCCTGAACTCTTGGGGAAGGGTCTAGGCCCTGCCCTATATGAAATGACAGACTATGGACACCCCCATGGAGGGCCTCACCCTCCCTGGGGGAATGAGGGGATAACAGGGGGGGGTGGGGAGAGGGCAGGGGAGGAGGGGAGGGAAAGGGAGAGGGACCTGGAACTGACTTGTGAAGCAACCTTGTTTCTTATCTAAATTTAAACTGAAAAATAAATAAATAAATAAATAAATAAATAAATAAATAAACAAACAAACAGAATGTGGACTAATATAATGTAGGCTCTGAAACTAAAATTTGTGAGTCTATGAGTATGTCTTTTGTTCACTAATGACTATGTTGTTGTTCAGTGCTCATTTAGAAAATGTTGGTTCATTGAGTTATATAGCTATTGTAATACTGTGATGCTTCTTTATACAATAAACAAACTATATCTGTAAAAAAAAAAAGACCAGTGCCATGAAGGAGTTGGGTAGATTAGGGATAGGAGGTGAGGGAAGTAAGGATCTGTGACCCTGTGGCCAGAATCTGGCTGTGGGGGAAGAGTGACCTCCAAGGGGGTCCACAGCAGGGAGGATTAAACCGACTGCCTTCTGTTTGCTTATTCCTTGAGTCAGGGTCTTACTGAACAGCCCAGGCTGGCCTTGGACTTACAGTTCTGCCTCAGTGCTATAATAGGTCATCACCACCAGGCTTAGCTTCAGTCTCTGTATGGGGAAAGGGGCCCCATTGCGGGGGTCTGAACCTAGGGTCATTCACAGGCCAAGCATGTATTCTACCACTGAGCTATGCCAGCTCTTGACCTTTCATATGGAGAACTGACAGTCTCCCAGTCTTGGGTAAGACACACTTCGACTCTACACATCCCAGCTTGAGGCTGTCCCCACCCCTCTTCTACAGACCTCCAGGGCAGCCAACAGTGGGGGCAAATGGTGTCTTGCCTGTTTGATTTGGAGTGTTTGGGAAGTATTAGTTGGAAGCATGAGTTACAGAGCCAGGGATAAGGGAAGATTTGAGGAGGACTAAGCAAAGAGATAACAGATACCCCAGGAAGGAGGATAAGATTGAGAACAGTGATTAGGACAACAAGGCAAGGTTCCTTTGGGCTGGGAACATGGAGGAAAGTGTTCGAAGCAGGTTGGTCATGTGTGGTGAGTGTGTGTGAATGAATATGTATGATGAAAGTGTATGTATGAGTGTGTAAGAATGTGAATGAATGTGTCTGTGTGTGTGTGCGCGAGAGCATGCATGTGCGCTTGATAGCTGTGTCAACTTGACCTTAACTGAGAACTTAAATCTACAAGATTGGGTTGTATGCAAACCTGTAGGGCACTTTCTTTATTAGTGATTGATGCGAGAGGGCCCAGCCCATTGTAGGTGGTGCCTATCATGGACTGACTGATGGGCCTGGGTCCTATAGGAAAGCAGGCTGAGAAAGCCAGTGAGCAGTACTCCTTCATGGCCTCTGCATCAGTTTCCACCTCTAGGTTCCTTCCCTGTTTAAGTTCTTGCCCTAACGTCCTTCGATGATGAACTGTGATTTGGAATTATAAGGTGAAACAAACCCTCTCCTCCCCAAGCTGCTTTTGGTCATGGTGTTTCATCACAGCAGTAGAACCCTAACTAAGACAGGGTGTGTGAATGTATGTGTGAGTGGTGGTAGGTGTGAGTATTATCCCAGGTCTTCATTGCATTCAGCAGGGAGTGTAACATTTGCTTAACATTTGGCTAGAGGTGCGTGGGACAGCAGGTAGGCACCCTATGCTGGAAGGAGAGTCAGTTGGCCACAGTGGCTTTGTAGATACTGTTTTCCTATTTGAGATGGAGAATGTTGCAAGCAGAAGCTTCCAGAAAAATAAGGACACTCATGTCGAAGAGTCTACAAGGCTAGCTAGAACTTCATGCCTGTGAATCGGAAAGTTACAGGTCAAGAATCAAAACCATCCTGAGCCATTTTAATCCCCTCAACAGCTGTTTATCACCCACCCTCTGCATTTTCCCCAACATCCTTTTTAATGTCAGATAACCCCTGGAATATATTCTGAGCAGACCATTAGCTTCCACTAACTCAAAAGCTAGGAATGTCTTCAGACAGCACCTGAGTCCTACTAAAGCAGAGATTGACACCGTGTTAGAACTGACCTACACTAGTTCTCCACCAGCAGCCTTCTAAAGTGGCCACCAAGTTGTCTTTTGCACTTTCCATGTGAATTTGTCCCAGTAACACCCAAGGCTCCAGTGATCTTCAAGTTCCACAAATCCCTTCTATCAGTACATGACCTTTGGGGAGCTGGACTAGGTCCCTGGGTGGTTGTTCTTGGAAGGTCTCACTGGCTCCATTGTCTGTGAGGTTCTTGTGCAATCATTAAGAGCCTGGCAAAGCCTGTTGCACCATATCATGTCACTAATCCTTGGGTCCTGGAAGCTCAAGACACCCCTGAGTGCTGTGACAGGCTTACTGAAGTGCTCCTTCAGAAGTAATCAAGGCCCTCACTGGGACACTTTTCTTATTGAGACTTGAGTTTCAGTGTGATGAAAAGTGGGCCTCAGGTAAAGTTAGGACCAGGACCCAGGTTGATTCTTATATGGGGGCCACCCTGTTGTTCCTAGTGTTTTATAAGGGGACTCCCCGAACACATTCTTAAGAGAACCACTTAATTTAGGGGCCAACCCCCTCCCAGCTCACAGAACTTGTTACTCTTGTCCAAGACTGAGAATTATCTTTCCATTTCCCATGTCCATAGCCATGCTAAATCCTTTCTACACTTGGTTCCAAACAGGCCAGGTCAAAATCCCAGGAGTGTTTCCCAAAAGCAGTCCCCACTGTGGCTAGGGGCAGATCCACTGGGGCACCTTCTGGATTGGACCAGGAGTCATTTTCATCCATGCTTAAGTTGATATCCCCAGAGCCAACACTGTCACTTTGAATACAATCAACCTCAGCATCATCTTTGCCATGGTGGAGCTAAAATGATTAGATAGAATTTTAATTCTCCCAGAACATTCCAAAAGTTCTTGCCTGCTAGGAAAGCCCATCAGTCCCCACACACTATTGGCATAGTTCACACATTGCCCAGTGTTTGCCTTGAACAACAAGCTTGTTATTCACAGAGGAAAAAAAAGTTCCTTTTTTTGTTATATCTTGAAAGTTGAATCTATTACTTGAAAATTCCTACTGAGGGGCTGGAGAGGTAACTCGGAAGTTAAGAGAATTTACTAATCTTGCCAAAGACCTGAGTTCAGTTCCCAGCACACGGCCCTGGGCTGTTCACAATGCCTTGTAACTCCAACTCCAGGGCTCTAGCTTCCGAAGGCACCGTACTCAGCTGCACACACCCACACAGACAAATGCACACAACAGAAAGAAAGAGAGAAAGAAAGAAAGAAAGAAAGAAAGAAAGAAAGAAAGAAAGAAAGAAAGAAAGAAAGAAAGGAAGGAAGGAAGGAAGGAGAAGGAAGGAAGGAAGGAAGGAAGGAAGGAAGGAAGGAGAAGGAAGAAAGGAAGGAAGGAAGGAGAAGGAAGAAAGGAAGGAAGGAAGGCAGGCAGGAAGGAAGGAAGAAAGGAAGGAAGGAAGGAGAAGGAAGGAAGGAAGGAAGGAAGCTGGCTACTGAAACAGTGAAAGGGAAGAACATTGGGTTTCCTGGGGGAGCTTGGAGAATGGAGTTGTTATGGCTCAGGGTTACAGCTTGCATCTGAGATCCAATAACTTTGTTTCTTCATTTGAGATGTGCAATTTGTAATTCACAGCATCTATAACATCAGTTAGATTGATTGAGCATATCCAGTGCCTGAGGGACCCTTCCAAGACTTTTCCTAACATCATTCCACTAAATCTACCTGACAGTCTGAGACTTTTGTAGAAGAGGCCACAGCAGCATGGGGATTCAAAACTTGTTCCAAGTTCCTAGGGCTAGATAGTGTTCATTAAGGCTTGAATGCTCTAGAGCAATGACTCTCAACCTTCTGAATGCTGAGACCCCTAATACAGGTCCTTGTGTTGCGGTGACCCCCAACCATAAAATTATTTCATTACTCTTTCATAACCGTAATTTTGTTACTTGTATGAATCATAATATAAATATTTGTGTTTTCCAGTGGCCTTAGGTGACCTCTGTGATAGGGCCCACTCAACCCCCTGTGGGGTCATGACCCACAGGTTGAATCTGCTGCTCTAGATCTTTGCATCTGTAGTCTTAATTCCCAGGCACAAATATTATAGAACATGTAGACTAAAAATGAGGTTCAAAGCACCCAAGAAATCATTAAATTTTCCTTATGCTTTAGTGCAACTTAGCTGTTTTTTAATAGTAGGGATATTACATAAACATATACATACAATTATCTATAATCAAGTTGTTTGCTTGGGGGAATATTCCAAATATTCATTTGTTTACTTTCTCATTTATACTCAAGTGAAAGAACTAAACAATAAAAGACTTGAATATTTTCCCCTAAAGCCACTGAACAATGACAAAAATGATCAAGATTATGTAACTGTTTAAAGTTAGTTTAGTCTCAGATGAAATTAGAAGCTCCTTAAGCAAACCAGTAGAGAATATACAATAAAACCTAGAATATCAAAGGGAACAATCTGATTTTCATAAAGTATGCATTTTTCAGAAAATAAATCTTTGTAAGTCAAGTCCAGATAATTTTATGTCATATCAAATAGTTCAAGCCAGGATGATTTATTGCCATTTTTCGGATCCATTCAACACTAGAAAAGAAATGCCAACTATAATTCAATATTCTTAGTGAGTGCTAAACACCAAATTAAGGACGCATGAACCAAAGAACACTTCAAAGTCCCTCACTGACTCATCTTAACCAGTAGCCCTTCTTTATTTCCCTCCAGAATCCTACAAACAGAGGCACAGTCTATGAACACAGTAAACCGACTTGATGCTTTGTTCACCGAAAACAAACCTCCCATAAAGTATTTGACTCCACTTCCATAAAACGGATCAAGTGATGAGCGGCTGACCACAGCAGCATCTCTTCAGTCGGATTATGTTAAACAAAGTAATCGCTCCCTTGCTTCATTTTAAGCTGATACATCAGAGGACAAGGGACAGATAACCACACTTTCTCTTTCCAGTTTGTCACAAGGTATTAGCTGTGTAAAGAGCCCTGGGGCATTGGCTGTGTACCTGCTTCAGGGAGAATCACACCATGGAAGAGCAGCAGCCAAAGTAGGCGGGTGTGGCAGCCCATGTTGGGAGGGCGTCCAGCTACTGGCTAGCCTCAAGTTCCAGCTTTATATTCTCCCCAGGCTGCCTGCTGGGAGTGGCCTGGCAACTTGATGCTCTTCTCCAGCCTGAGCTGGCAGGTGTCCAGAGCAGGGCATGGCAATACATTTGCTTTGGCGTCTTGCGTGTTAGCTCTGGGGAGCAAGAGTGATTTGATCTATTGGATACATTTCATTAGAGCAGCTAGAAGTCAGTGCTATATAGTGTGCTGAGGCCTGGTCTGACAGATAGAAGCCTCCAGGCCCTCAGGGATGAGAAACTAGGAGGAGCCTAGAGCCCCCCTAGGGTATCATTTCCTGTGTCATTGGCTGATCCCAATGCAAAAGGCTTATAGAATCCTATTTATTACTCTGTGTCCACATCCTACCTCTCTCCTTTTCTTGAAATGCCCCATTGGTCTACAGCTACCTACACTTGCTCCATCTTCTAGCTCCCACAGCACTAAGTGTGTGCACTTAACAACACTCAATACATCCTGCCTTGGTTATCATTGCTTTCATTCCAGTCTGAGTTCCTCCACTGAACTATTCTAGTTTGCTTTCTATTATTGTGATACACACCATGACCCAAAGCAACTGGGGGTGGACAGGGCTGGTTTCATTTTACAGTTTATAGTCTGTCATTGGGGGAAGTCAGGACAGGAACACAAGCATGGCAGGAACTTGAAGGCAGGAACTGAAACAGAGGCCATAAAGAAATTACATTTACCGGATTGCTCTCTTTTTTGTCTTTAAATTTTTATTTTATTTGTGTGTGTGTGTGTGTGTGTGTGTGTAATGTTTGCCTGCTTGTATGTATATCCACCATGTATGTATGTATGTCCGCCACCATGTCTGGTGCCAGCAGACACCAGAGAAAGGTGTTGGATTCCCTGGAACTGGAGTTACAGATGGTTGTAAGCTGAGAATCGAAATTTGTCCATGCCCCAGTCTGTGTCATATATATGTCAAAAATGACTTTGTTTTCTTATACAACTCAGGAACACCTGCCCATGGATAGCACCACCCAGGGTGAGCTGGGCCCTCCCACATCAATAATGAATTAAGAAAATGCCCCACATGTTGGCCTACAGGCCAATCCAATGGATATATTTACAGCAAAGGTATCCTCTTCCCAGATGACTGTAGCTTGTGTCAAGTTGAGGAAAACTAACCATCATAGGCCAGTAAGATTTCCAAGGCAAGGATTTTCTTCAGATTGTTGTGGTCTTATTTATAACATGGTTGGCACAATGCCCTCTACTTAAATATCTGTTGGATTTTAATTACTGCTTCCTTCATGGGTAACTTCTCTCTACCGGAATCAGTAACCCAAGCCCTCTCTCCCAGCCTTCTGTCTCACACCACACCCTCTAGAGCCTGTCTAACTTACACCCCTCCATGTGAAACAGGGGTAAAGGACTAGAATGTTCTGCGCATCATGAAAAGGAATTGCAAGAAACCATTTTTCTAATCTGAAAACTCCTCTCTTACTTTTGAGGCTCCCAGCCAGTTGGGTGACTCAAATGTGTTGGTCATCATGTCCAGTTAGAATAGCTTCTGAGCCTCCATGGTGTGTGCTCTGCAATAAATAAATAAATAAACAAAGAAAGAAATAAATGGCCAACTCCACACCTGGTGAGGATGGCAAAACAGGACCCTGTGCAAGAAGGAGAACGTCTGGGATTTGGATTTTAAAGGTTAGATCTCAGGATCAGGATTTAACTCAGTGGCAGAGTACTGGCCTAGCTAGCGTGTGGAAGACCCTGGAAACCATCTCTTCACTGTAAAATAGATAAATAAATGCTTTTTTAAAAGCCTTCAGCCTTGTTCCTGACACTGTGATTTAGTCCAAATCAGCTTAGATTCCTATAGCCTTGGTCTCCTCATCTTAAATAGTGGCTCACAGCATCTGCTGGAAGGACAACACTAATGGAATATAAAAGATAGCACATGATGCGAACAAGACGTCCTCTGTCGCTTCTTGTGTTGTTTTTGATAAGCTGTTACTGTGTAACCCAAGCTAGCCTCGAAATCATGGCAATCCTCCTGCCTCTGACTCCTGAGTGCTGGGTTAACAGACACAAACCACTTCTCCCAGCCCTGCTTATTCATAGAAATCCTTTTTAAAGATTTTGAAAGTTTTCTCATGTTCTCAATGCTATTAAGTCATTGAAGGAATTCTAATTTGACTGAGCAGAAAATGATGTGAAATGGAGATGTGTGTTTAGTCAGACATAACTGTGGTTAATTCAGTCACAGGCCCACAAAGGATTCTGGGCTTTTTCTGGGTCAGCCTGTCTCCGTGCTAGAGGCAATCTACAGAATCACACAGCAACTTGACTAAGAAGGTGCACCCTTGCCAAGCATGGTCTTGGTGAGTCCAAGAATACTTCTTCCTTCCTTCTAAGTGTCAGGAAGAATCAGCCCTGCATTTTGGCTTCTGTTCACACTGCCATCCACGCGATACAATTTAGTCATGTACTGTCTTCAGACATGACCATTCACACGATACAATTTAGCCATGTACTGTCTTCAGACATGACCATCCATCTAGGCCTGTGCTGGGTGAGATGTCCACATCCCTTTGCAGCCCTGGGTGGGAGGATGCTTGCTGCTGTCTTCAGCATCCTATTCTTGACTTTCACACCATGTCAGACTTGGCCTTACAACACACTGCCAAGCACAATCCCTCACCCTTCTCTGACTCAGGCTTTCAGAGGAACTGAACCACATCAGGGGCAACCCTGACCCTCTGTCTCTTTTCTGTCACTTTCACCCTGCAGAGCACTCTGGCAAGGGTGGCATCTCTCAGTTCAGATCCCCAACTTATCTGTGTGTTGTGATGTTCTGTGGGCATTCAAAGACCTGCCAGATCAATCATTCATTCCATCTCCACTCACTGGATACTAGGAAAAATACATGGCGTTTCTTCTATGTGTTTCCTACCTTACATTCTCAAGCACTAAGTAAATACGGCACTTTCACTTTCTAGTGCCGCTGATCTTGGAAGTGACAGAGGGCAAAATAAGGGAGTCTGGGCATCACATCAGCGGGCCTGAGATGCAGACTCTGCCATCTGTACCATTTCAGTGCTCAGCATTTCTGGCTCCATACAGGGCAGTGACAGAGGCCTCACTGAGTCAGTGTAAATCATAGAAAACAGGGAAGGTGGGGAGATAGCTCAGTTGGTGAAGTGCTTAAGGATGTGAAGGCCTGAGTTTAATCTCCAGAGCCTACTTATTTTTAATCAAGGAAAAAAAATCAGGCATGGTAATGTGGGCTTGTAATCCCAGCATTGGGAAGGTAAAGATGGGCAGATCTCTGGGGCTTGTTGGTCAACCAGCCTAACCCAGTCACAAAGTTGGCCAACCAGTCAGAAAGTTGTGGGTCTTGTCTCAAAAAGACCAAAGCTTAGCAAAATAAAGGAATAATGGCAGAGGCTGTCTTCTGGTCTCCAGTATTTGCACATGCAAGCACACTCACATACACATGTACACACACACACACACACACACACACACACACACACACAGTAAGAACATCCAAAGAGAGCTTAAAGATAAATGATAACAGCTTATTTATCTCTACATGTTTTGATTAAGAACAATGAAAGATGAATGCAACTCTCAGGCCTCATTCGAGAAGCTTCTTCTTATAGGAGACAACAGTTGACACAAAGACTCTCATGGTGGTCAATGTGAAGAGAATAAGGGCCTGTGGAGTGGTCAGTCTTAAATGGCATGTATTCATCACATCCCTCCCATCAAAGCTCAGGTACCAAGGCTGGGCAGAGATGAAACATTGTAAGAGCCACAGGCAATGATGACTCCAAGGAAACTGTCTTCCTCGACGTAACATGGCAGTGTACGTACAAACTCACAGTGATTGTTAAAGCAAATATAAGAACTGCACCACCTCATGTCAGACAGTATCCCAGCAGGGAGAAGAAAGATGGACATAAAATCCCACCACAGGCTGAAGAGCTATTGGCTACAGAGTGTCAGTTTTCTTTAAGGATGTAAACCCTGATAGATGGACCACACTCTGGGGCAGGTTCCACTCCCAAGAGGAGTTGGGCAACATGAACTGGATCAGATTGGGAAAGAAAAGAAAGAAAACTCAAAGTTGGGTGGATGGGGAGGAGAGGATGGAGGGGTGGGTATGGGAAGAGTTGGGAAGGAAATGTGAAGATGATCAAAATACATTGTATAGAATTCTCAAAGAATTAATAAAAATATTGCTTTAAAAAGAACAGTGACCCCCCCCCCGCACAGATCTAATATAAGCTTGAAATGTCCTGTGTGGAAGGTATTTGGGGTATTTTTATTACACTAAATATTAAGACATTGAATTTTACATAAACGAATTGGCCTAAGTCTTGGATAGCCAATCCATGAATAGTAGAAGTTTTGGATGATGAGTGGTTAAGATCGGTTCTGGCCTGGGGAAGTGATTCAGTGTTTAAAATGCTTGCTCTGCAAGCAATAGGATGGGATTTTGGATGTACAGAACTCCCATAAAAACTAGGTGGACATGGTGGCCTACATCTAATTCCAGCCTTGGAAGGTACATTCGGGAGATGGGACATCTCCAGAGCAAGTTGGCTTATGAGAGTGGCCCTATCAATGAGCTCTGAGTTTGATTGAGAGATCCTGCATTAAATAATAAAATGAAAGGGCAACCAAGGAAGATTCCTGACATCAACTGTGGATCTCCACATACAGGTGCATGTCACCCACACATATATGTACACCCACATATATATGTGAACCCACCACACACACAAATAAACAGAAGAAGAAGAGGGAGAGGGGAGTGAGAGAAGGACATGAGGGATGATTAGTTCCTCCCAGGTTCTTATGGGATGCAGTTCCCTTGAGAGATTCAGTCCACAGCCATCTCCTGTCTGGCCACATAGTATTTACATATCTGTATCATTGGAGAGAAACTGTGTTCAGTTCACAGGTGGTAGCCTAGACCACAG